CTCGACTACCTATCACATTATTCGATAATCAAAAGATTGGAGATACGGGTCAATGATGATACGCGCATGGTCCATGTTGATTTGTTGATGAGGAGGGATGGAGAGGGTCTAAGGGTTTTAGGAGGGTTGGTGGGGAGGTATATGGAGAGGAATGCGAGGAGGTTTGTGGATTTGAGCAAGGTGTTTGGGTTTTGTGCAAAGAGTGGGTGAATTTAAGTATTTGTGTTGTGTGTGTATATAGGGAATGGATGTGTTTATTTAGAAAAGTGGTCTGGTAAAACATAAATGCGTTATATTCGATTATAAACCCTTAAATTCAAAATCCCCACTCGTCACCACCAACACTCCGTTGTTCTCGTTTCTTTTCACCTCCCAATGCTTCCCACGCCGCCCTCTTATCCCCTCTCGCCAACGCAATCCACACCAACGCCCCCTTCCCACCTTCATACTCCCTAACCGCCCCCTCCAACCTACTCAACAAGGAAGGCAACGCCGGATGCGGGGGGTACGTCCCCCTCGCCGCAACCGTTTGTTCAAACAACCCCAAAACAGTCGCCAAAGAATGCGAAAGCGGTTCCAACAAGGGCGGAGGAGGCCTCCCTAACGTGATACACGCAATCCGGATATAAAGCCCCGCAAGGACATGTGACTGCCCAATAGGTTCATGATCCAAAACAACAGCACAGTACTGCAAAACTTTTTCCATGCGACGCTGTAACAGACTCGTGTAAGCTAGATAAAGGTATATAACAGGTACCGCGTTTGCCGGGCATTGTTCAAGAGCGGTTTCGAATGCTTGTTGGGCTTTTTGGAGGGGTACGTTGCTTTGGTGTTTTGGGGTCACGAGTTTGTAGTGTCCGATGGTAATCGTTTGGGGTGTCAACGTTGGTTTATACATGTCGAGACATGTTAGGCCTATATGGGTGTACAATAGGTAGGGTGGTACATGTGCTGAAGATGGTACTGTTGATAGCGCACGGGAAAAGCATGTGTAGGCTAGTGAGGGTTTACCGAGGTGGGCGAGTTGGATGCCGGCGTTGTAGGAGAGGATGGGGTGGGTGTTGCAGAGGGTTGGGAGGGAGGGAGGGAGTGGGGTGGTTCGGGCAAGGTCATTGTCGAGACGGTCTTGTTCTTCTGCGATGCGTTCCCATTCTTCTTTTTCGTCGTCTTGGTCACTGATGGTGGTGGTGTTGTGGGGGGTGGTTTGGGATACGAGGTGTTTGATACATGTTTGGTTTTCGGCGAGGGCTTTGGAAAAGGAGAGAGCGGCTGTGGCGTGGTTGCCGGATTTGGCGTTTAGGCAGCCTAGAGCGTTGTGGTAATACGTAGGTAGGGTTTTGAAGAGGGGGGTTGGGTCGTCTGGTGGGATGGTCGGGGTTCTTGTAGGAGGTGGGGTGAATGTAGATTTAGTGCATGCGTCGAGGGCGGTCATGGCTGTTTGGGGCGAGTCGTGGAGGTAGGCATGGTGGGCTTGCATGTAGAGAGTCGACATGTTGCGGTAGATTGAAGAAGAGGTCTCTAGCGGAGGGTTATCATTTTCAAGACGGCTTAATTCGGTTTTAGCATCTGCTTTGCTCTTTTCCAGGAGGTAGACACGGGTTCTCAAGACAGACAACACAGTGTCTAGTGATCCACATGAGACGGGTATAGCATCCTTGAGCGTCGGCGCCAACCCGCTACTTGACCCATCAGCAGATTCCTCCTCTCCATCGCGTACTAGACGGTCCTTGAACGCCCGCTCAGCCGCATCCAGCACATTTCTGGCCATGACAGGCACCCGTAAGGCCATACAACACTCTACAGCCAACAAACTCGCCCGAAGGCCCACGTAGGCGTCTGTCATTTCCAAGTCATCCAGAATGGGACGAAGGGAATCGAGGGCTTTTTGGGCGTTTCCAGAGAGGTACAATCCCACAGCGCGATTATACGTAGCAGTCATCTTGTCACGTCCAGATCCCACCACTTGATCACCATTCGAATCAGCCAACAATGGATCCCGATCTCGTGAATCATCTTGCTCCTTTTTTAATTGCGCCATGCCTAATATTCCATCGATCCTCTTGACGAGATTCTCTGCACCAACGAGTTTCCCAGCATACCATTCCGCAACAAGGATATTATGTTCCACGTGTGGATCTTTTCCATCTGTCAGACTGGAGAGTTGGTGGAGGTGCTGGAGGGCTTCTGCGTATCTGCCATTGAGGAATGCTTGTGTTGCGCTTTGCGTGAGGTGAAATGTGTCGCCCATCGCAAATTGCCGGTTCGAGGATCCTACCAAACAGATGCCGTAAATGTGAACCTTTGCATCTCTTGACGACAAACAATGATGACATTCTATCCTATCGAGGATTCCCACACGTACCTTTCACTCTCTCCAATATAAAAAAGCAAAAAAAAACAACCTACACACACACACACACACACACACGCAGAAATCTCCACTGAATCAACCAACAAACAAAAAGCTCCCATGGGAAGAAACTGCAAACGCGAATATGTGAGTCACATAGGACACGTGTTTGTATCACGTGCATAACGCGTGACCATTGCGCGTGACCTGCTGTTCTCTCTCAAAGGGCCCCATATTCTTTTAAACTTTTGAAATGTAAAGCCAACGTCATCATTTGGTTGAAAGGGCCCAAAAGGCTTGCAAACTTCGGAGGGTTTGAGCTCCGTGAACCCTACAATCTTGTATGTGATAGATAACCCTTTCTTGCTCAAAGCGTCATATCCACGTCATGGATAGAGAAGATCTGTAGTTTTCCTTGCCGATATCGCAGGTCAAAACAGGGACTGTTTTTGCGCAGCAATGTTGCAGCTCCGTGTCTCCGAATCACTCCCGCTCTCGCAGAAATTGTCTAGACAATGTCTATAGTAAAGTGGAGCACAATGAATGGGGATATTTTCGAGCAAATTCATGTTTTGGGTATTACAGTATTCGTAAAAACAAAAAGCTTCCAACACATGCAGACACACACACACCACAAAAAAAAACTCGTATGTACAAAAAAGTAACACCCAAATTGTCCCTCATCCACATCACATCTCGTCGCATCTCGTCTCTCATCCCATCCCATCACCAAAACACCATGCGCATAGCTTTTCCCAACCAGCAAACCCTCCCTTTGCACATCATAATGATGAGACATATCAAACACACCAATACAAACACTGCGCATCAACATTTTCTATTCCATTCCATTACGACCGTAAAGAAAAAAAAAAACGGAGCGACACTTCTTTGTCTATCAGTATCTTTTGTTTGTCTTCCAAATTCTTCCTCTTCACCAATAGCCTTCCTCATTAAACGCCGATGCAGCTCCCGCATGCACACCGCGGGCAAATCGCATATTGTAGGGCATCATGCGACGCTCGCACTCTAAATTCTCACGTAAACTCTGTGACAGCTCGGATGTTGTGCCTGCTGATGTAGTTTCACACTCGTCTCTTGATGGGCGTCCCATGGCGTTTAGGTTGCGAAACTGTGATGGCTTTGCACGTTTCAGAGCGGAGCCTTCTTTGAGCGCAACAGAGAGGAGAGATCGCTTGGGTGTGACTGTTCTGGCGGCAGCGCTCTGCGAGTAAATGTCCACTTTGCGAAAGAGTGAGACGGGCGCGTCCGTTGAGCTAGGCTCGTCCGACTCATCATCACTATAGTCTTCAGAGTCTGAGAAATCTGAAAAATCCGAGTCACTGAAATCGTCATCAGAATCATAGCCTTGAGTTGCCGCTGTTGTTTGTGGTGCTGCTGCTGCTGTCACGGGATTTCTTGTTGTAATACTAGTACATGTAGAGAGATTGGATCGAGCAGGAAGAGGGCGGCGTTGAGGAAGACGTTCAGGGGTATCCGGAGAGTGACTCTCTGAAATGAAAAACTTCACTTTGGGCCGGTCATTATTTGGATGCACTGCAGTGGGTTGTGGACGTGGGCCGAGTGCGCTGGGTGGGAGAGCGCGATATGGGAGAACGGCAGGAGAGATGCGCGCCTGTGGGTGGTGAGCGGGAACAAGTGGTGCGGCGTAGGTTCGGGTGGGTTGAGGTTTAAGGATGGCTGCGGCAGAATTACAGCGTTGGATGGCAGCGGCGGGTGGAGGCGGTGCAACGCGAGCAGCAGGGGGAGTGAGGACGAGGGCAGCCACGGGTAGATGCGGGTCTTGTTGTGAAGGTGGTTGCTGCCACAATTCTCCTTGTGGTTGTTCTGGTTGTTGCTCTGGTTGTTGTTGTTGTTGTTGTTGTTGTTGTTGCTGCTGTTGCTGTTCCTGAAGGATGGATGCTGCGGCATCAGCCTTTAGTTGGGCCAAATTCGCAGTCGATTCTTTGCGTGCGGTGGTGGTGTTTTTCGAGTCCTCGACTGCTTTTTTCAATAGTCTGTTAAAGGATTCGGGAGAGACGTGCGGGGATTTTTGGGATTTGGGTTGTTGAACATTGGGAATGTGGAGGGGAGAAGCGTCTTCCTTTGGTGAGTGGCCATGACAGGAGCGATACCACAGTCTCCAGCTAATGTTTTCCAAGCGCCGGCCATTTTCCAAATTGTCCTTGCACTTTGTAAAGACTAGCGAGAGAGAGTGGGTAAGTATACGCTTTGCCTGAGAGAGAGCGAGACTATGCAAAAAAGCGGGCACAAAGAGCAAGGCGAATGCAAAGGTAAATACTTGCCATTCCATATTGTTTGCAAGTCTGACTCGTCAATGGAAGTGAGTTTCTGAATGTTGTTAAAGGCGACCGTCAAGACGGGTTCCGCCAATTGTCCAGGCATGTCTACGTTCTGTTTTCTGTCAGTCTTGTCTGTAAAGCGTTTCTCTTGTTCGTTGTCGTAATTGCCCTCGGTAATTGTCGTCCGTAAGTACCGTAACTGTAAATTGCAAGTAAGTCTAGAAGAAGAAGGAGAAAGGGGAAAAGACTTGAAGCATCGTTCAAGAAGAAGAAGAAAAAAAAGGTCACAAGTCTAAAATACGAGAGCGAGAGATAAACACACCATGTGATGTGTTTAAGTGTGTGTGTGTGTGGAGTGAAGAGATATAAAAAGTAAACGCGCGCCTGATTTGAAGCGCGTGGGAAAAATAAAAGAATTATAGATTTCCTTTTATGGAAATAATGCGGAATGAGACGGGAGAATGAATGACACGGTTCCCTCCGATTATTCACTCTTTCTCACACACAAGGGAGACACGAGAGAGATCGGCAGGCGGGAAATAACGCGTTCTATAAAAGGCAATTATTCACATGCCTTTATCACATGCGCACACACACAGTCACGTTATATGTTATTTATTTGCTGTTGATCGATGGATAGAATTTAGAGAGTGGCTGTGTGATTCATTTAGATAGTTTCATTTATCGATATCTCATGACTAGCGGGATGACCCGAATCATGCAAGACATTGTCATGTGATGACTAGGCTATTGGTTCAGTCAATGACTCTGGGTACTAATAACAAAAAGGGAACTGAAAATTTACTACTAAAAGTATGATAGATATTTTATTACATGTTTGAATGGCTATATGCAACTGGCTGGCTGGCTAGAGAGATAGGCCATGACATGCATAGCATTGGACGGAAAGAAGGAGGCTATGACACATGCATAGCATTGATGGCAATGTCGTTGTGGCAAGAGAGAGCGTTTGCATAGCACGAATGGGTCATGCCGTGTGGCCGTGATATGGATAGCACTGGTCATGCCGCGGGCTGTGCATCGTGGGGCAGGTGAGCCGCTCATCTGTCAGGTGAGCAATAGGTGGCATCCCTCTTGTGGGGTTGCACAGCTCATTATAAACAAGCGCACATGTACTGCTGAATTGGTTCCATGGTGTAGCGGTTAGCACTCAGGACTCTGAATCCTGCGACCCGAGTTCGATTCTCGGTGGGACCTTCGGGGGTCATTCCAGTGGACATTTTTTGGTGGCTTTTTCTCGAACATAGTGCGGAGCCGGTGGGTATTGGCACTAGTACAGTGATTCCAACCAATTGAATCATAATTTTACTCGATTTAGACTCATGAACTATGATTTGATAATGGTTCGATGCCCAAACGATGCTCCACCATTGAAAAACAGGTCCAATATGTGCGGCAATGAACGGATTGAATATTCTGCAGTTGCTCCACCATTGAAAAATGGGTCCAATGCGCAGTTGTCATATCTCTATATAAACCCGCCTTCTCTGCCCATTTCCCAGGTTTTCATCATTCTCTGCCAATAGGCTTTCATCATTCTCTGCCCATTTTCCAGGCTTTCATCCATTTTTCTATTCCAATCATCATGCCGCCAAAGAAAAAGCAAAAGCTTGAAAAGCTTGACAAACCCACCTTACATACATGCAACAAAACTTCCTTTGCAAAAGCTTTCCTGCCTAATGAGACCTATCTGGTAGTGCATCACCCATGGTATATACCATGGGTGATGCACTACCAGAGGGCCCATAGTTCGTTCAACTCTACCAGGACCCATAGTACCCAGAAATGCCAGAAAACCCATAGTTCGTTCAACTCTACCAGGACCCATAGTACCCGTAGGAGCCATATTTAAACGCCCTGTCAACAACTATTGCTGAAACGCCCACTCCATATTTAAACACCCTGTCAACAACTATTGCTGAAATGCCCACTCCATATTTAAATGCCCTGTCAACAACTGTAGCTGAAATGCCCACTCCATATTTAAATGCCCTGTCAACTACACTCGTATAAGCTCGACCTGCTTTCATAATGCTTACGTAATCAATAACATCCATCATGTCACGTGGCATTCACTCCATCGCTGCCTCCCACATTCATTTAAAAAAGCATGACTCCCCGGGATTGGCCATGCCCCATTTCCTATAAGGAAACAGTTGTATTTTGAGGTATTGAGTTCGAACACCTCATGGCCAATTGTTTGGGCACATTTCGAATGTTGTATATGGAATCGTTTACAGAGGAGCTGGTTGGATTGGGGGGGAAGGATGCAAGAAGCTAGCCGCCTTTAAGCAAAAACTTGGACTTGCTATTGATAGTCGCTTTTCCCACTTTACATCAGCAGATTACTATGCATACAACATCAAAGCTATGCATACAACTCACGTGACACATCTTCACCATTTTGGATCAAAAGGTACATTCACTTCACTCATTTCCTTCACAATCGTTGAACCAAATAGTGTTAATGGAAGTCACGTGATTTGACATGTCTCAGACATGTTTGCTCATCATGGTTCTTTAAATACAGCTTTGGTTTCTGAGGTCGCCTATGGCGAAAGTAAAGGAACATTCAATCACTTCACTGCGTGTCCTCGCTTCCTTCATAATCATGGAATCATATGGTGTAAATGGAAGTGAATGGTGACTCGATTCCACATATACTTACACAAAAAACCCAGACCCAAACATGTGTACATACTTCCACTATATGAGAAAATAATTTTTTTTTTTGAAGAAGCTTTATTCTTTTTTTTTTTTTAAAATCTGTCTCTTAACTGAAGCAAACTACACTTTTGGGTCTGGGTTTTTTGGGTTTCTCTCCATTCATTGAAACAAACTTTTACTAAATCATCTCGGGTTTGAGCCATTTTATCGAGTCAGCTTCTCACACTACCCGTTTTACCCATCTCTCACTTGTTTCTATTCTGCCATTACTGATTCAATGGAAACATGTACATCCCTCCATACATTCTCACTCTTTATTCGCCCTTTCAATCTCCTTCCGTTGCCATAACACCTCAAAAAATGCAATATCTCTCCTTTGCCATAACACCTGATGACGGTAATCCTCTCGATAAAATGCATATGAATAATCCTCATCATGGAAGTCTTTGAGTAGAACAAAGTAAAACTCGTCATTGTCTTCCTGATGCATCTCTATGCATTCATATTTCCCCAAAAATGTTACGGTGCGGCATTTTATATGGTCACATACAAATTTAGGCAATTGATTGATTCTCATCATCTTATAAAACTGATCGATTCTCTTCATCTTATGAAGAAACTGTGGCTCATTCGGTATTTTGACCCTCTCCCATCCGAGACTAACTGCCTTGCATAGTTTAATCTTAGTGTCGATGTCACAATACTCGTCGATGAAGGTTACTATTTCTGGGGGAAAGAGGGAAGCCATTTTGGATTTTAGCTATAGCATGGTATGCATTCAATTTATAAGAATTAGTAAACATCAACTACTACATCATGGTTATGTAGAACAACGACGTATCTGCCTCTCGTGTATGCCCCCCACGCCCTAAAAAACATCCATCGCCCTGCCCCACAATTGTCTCATTACCAGCCTGTCCCTGCCACGATGTGCTATAAAATCTGATCGCTTATCCCTACCATCATACTCTCTGAAAATACAGCCTTCCTCATGACCATAATGGTAATACTCTTGATACATTGCATACGAATAGTTTTCGTTCTCAAAATCTTTGAGTAGAACAAAGTAAAACTCGTTGTTGCCTTCTTGATGCATCTCTATGCGTAGTAACTTGTCGTTGCATTCATATTTCCAAAAAAGGGGTGGCATTCTGTCTCATGGTCGCATACATATTCATCATAGAAAGGCAACTGATTGATTCTCTTCATCTTATGAAGAAACTGTGGCTCATTTGGTATTTTGACCCTCTCCCATCCGAGACCGGTTGCCTTGCATAGTTTAATCTTAGTGTCAATGTCACAATACTCGTCGATGAAGGTTACTATTTCTGGGGGAAAGAGGGAAGCCATTTTGGATTTAGCTATAGCATGGTATGCATTCAATTTATAAGAATTAGTAAACATCAACTACTACATCATGGTTATGTAGAACAATGACGTGTCTGCTTCTCATGCATCCCCGCATTCTAGCTGGTCCCAAAATTTTACCATTCAAAAGGTCGCCCCCCACATGCCCCCCACGCCCCCGCTCACATTCACTTCTTACTCATTGAATTTAGTTGCTGTATCCCAGCAGGCATCACTACAAACACCGGAGAGAGCCATCTCCTTTTCTGTTGCCGTTTTGACTTTATCAGGAATATCATAGTTGCGCGAACAAACAGGGCAAATCCGATTCTTTTCCCCCACGCTCCTTTTGGTTTTGTTATGAACAAAGATGCGAAACAAATCTTCATCATTCATAATACGGCGAACTTCAGGAAAGTTGGAAGTGTTGATATGGATGCACCTTCCTCGCTTATCCATTGCCATCAACATGTCCGTCTTGAAGAGCATGATGCAATTAGCAAAGTGTTCATGCTTTGGAGTAACAGGGAAATGTAACGGATTTTTTGTTGGTAGACTACAGTAAAGACAACTTGGGTCTCCTAGCAGGTTGTGTGGGTGTCCGTACTAGGAATCGTAGTCTCCAAATCCTTTCTTTGGGCGTCGGTAGCGACTTGAGGGCGAGAGGCAAGGAGAGTCGGTTAGTTGTGAACCGAGCAGGATTTAGAGGCTTCGGTACGGGTGATCAGGCCGTTGAAGCGCTCTGTTAGGTTCCTGTTAACCTAAGATTGGAGTTGAGAAGCGAGTTATGGGGATTTTTTGTCGCTACGGCTTCTGCCCCCGACTTATTTTATTGAATACATCCTTTTTATACAAGATTCTTGGATAAACTGTTAAACTAAACTAAACTAATGGGTGTCGCTGCACCGCAACTGATTTATTGGTGGCGGTACCGATCTCTTCCTTTTCCGCACTGGCTCGGGCCTCCACAGGTTGTACGAGGCACGCTGAAATCTAATGCGCCAATTGCCATTCTCCGAACCGGTTTTTTCGGTCGCGGTAACCCAATCGGTGGAGTTGGTCACGCGATTCGTGCTTCCCGCGTCCGATTTGGGCTTACTCGCGATCTCTCGAAGACGTCCTCGTCGTTACAGAAAGACATGTTTAGGTTGTGTTTGAATGCAGAAGCTCTGCTATTGCATACTAGCTTTTTATAAGAGTTGGTACACATCAACTACTACATCAAATTAGCTACATGATGTAGAACAATGATGTAAAGTGTCATTATTATATAAAGTATCTTAACGTTCACATTTTGATGGCATTGTATAATGTCGTCTGACCAAGAACCTGAAAATGCAAAGCAGTTCCGATGTGTTTTTTATTCCCAGGTTATTCACCGAGCGATAGATGGAATACTCACGGGCGCTGGGGATGGTAGAGAAGAACGTCTTGTGGCTGCACTTGAGCCAGTTTCATGGGCAGCTCAATATGTTTTCGAATATCCTACACATTTTGAAACTAGTTGGCCTGGTATGATTCTCTTACTATCTACTACCACTATAGGAACATATTGTCAAATGCAGCATAAGAGTGAAAAGGAATCATTTGCAGTTGAACAATTAGACTTAATCCTTGAATGTACTAAGAGTCTATCTAGTTCTATGGATATTGAGGTTGTTGTGTGTTGAATAGAACTGTGGCTCATGGTATCCTACTGAACCTCCTCCATCCGCATCTCTAAAATGAACAGTTTTTCATTATGTTCATGCCCTAGCAATATACAATCATTCAAAATTGCGAGATAACTGGTACAGTTGAAGCATAAATGATCCAATTTGCTCAGGTGGACAATTGACATGATTTTATCAAAAATCGGTTGGTTCTCTTGATTTTTTTTAAGATACAGTATGATTTTTGCCTTGTCACTACCGGTCAACATGCTCTTGCAATATCTCCAAAACTTATCCATGTCACCTTTGATGGCATCCCTGATATTGAATACCAAATGATAATCTATATCAACACGTTGCATTGTAAGTTTACATAGCTTTGTTTTTTAATCATAGCGTAGTGCACTAAGTTTCTAAGGGCCGAGTTCCGTGATTTTGATGAGGGTAACATCTGTGGTATTATCAGGAGCAGCCTGACTGATACTAAAATTTGTGAAGTAAGCCACGTTATCGGCCATCCCTGTAAGAATGAATGTGGCTGTCAGCGTAGTGTTAATTCCACTGTTGAAATTGAAGTCTGAAGCATATACGAGAGGCATTGAGCCGGCACTTTGTCCAAGGAAGATGGAAAGTGTACCATTTGAGTTTGCATTGCCATGCAAGCGTATTGTCCACTCCATAAGTACCTTGCCTGGTGTTGAAACATAGAAAACTTTCGAGGCATTGTTGGATTGCCATACATCTTTAGTCAACAGTTTGAAAACTTGAACATTTCTTAGGAATGTCTGACCGGTCACCCATGACTGAGTTGCGCACACCTGACCATTCGAGTAAACTGGGCCATTGCTATAAAGATTCCCTCCAGCCACTACATGGGCTCCAACAGCGACACCTCCATTCACCACCAATGCACCTGTTGTACTCGATAAAGCCGGAGTGGTGCTTTCAACTATGACATTTCCTGTCGATGATGCAATAGTAATACCCTTCGCTCCCTGCGCTTGCAATCGCACTCCCCCTGCATCGTTCCTTATTGTAAATGTATTTACTCCCCCATCCACACTCCTATTGTTTCCGTTCAAAAACATAACAGCACTCCCTGCGGCATTCTGGAAGTATTGGATGGCACAAGCATTGGTTCCTGGGTCGAGATTTTTCAAAATAATAGCCCGTAGCCCATTAAGTGGCAAACCAATAGTTAGATTACCGGACAAGATGAGGTCTCCGGTGTAGGTGTTAACAGAGAATCAGCTATTCCATGTTCCAAAGGTATCACTGGAATAATGACCGAATTCATAACGATGTTGGTCTATGCTATCAGACGAGCCGGCGAGGTGGACGTGAAGGGCGTCTCCGGAGTTGTTGTAGGAGATAGTGTAGTCACCTTTCATAGAGGGAGTGTCGCTTCTCAACTTGAAATATCCACCTGTAGAGGCTGCTATAAGAACTTTTCCTGTAATGTTTCCACCTGAGAAGATGCTTTTAGAAACCCCTATACCTCCTTTAACCTGTAGAGCCCCACTTGATACGGTTTGTGCATCGGATGTATCATTAGCAAGAATTGTATTTACCAACAGATTGCTGGAAGACATTATAACATCTTGTTTCGATGTTTGCAGTGCTGATATGCTGGGGGCATAGTTGACAATGTTTAAAATACTTCGCACAGTGACATCATTTGCGAGAGTGAATCCTTGGACATCATCTCCCATGAGAAACATATTGCTCATTGGTGACATCGAGGCAATGGAATCGAGTAAAGGACTTGCATTTTGCTTCCCTGAGAGGTCGACATTCGTAACACCTAGAATTGACTTCACCTCTTCAACAGTTTTCGTGGAGAATGATGTAGCAGAACTTCCAACAATGAATGAATTTGCAGATAGTGCAAGACCGCTTATGGATGATAATAGTGGACTCGATGCCTGTTTATTAGCAATGGCCATCCCTACATAACTCTCGGTTGCAAGTTTGAGATTATTGGAGAAAATGTCACCACCGACGTACAGTGATTTAGCAATTCCTGCACCTCCTGATACCTGCAATGCGCCCGTTATAGTTGACGATGAGTCTGTAGTGGAAGTGATTGCAATGGTTCCATTGGCTTTGAGGATGAATTGATGGGCGCTAGTTCCATAGTTATAAAACCCGAGGCTCCCATTGGTAAGTATACCTGTTCCATTAGTTGCAGCATGGTATATACCCCATGAATTACTCGAAGCAGCATTGTTACTAATCAGAACGGCCATAGATGCAGTAGCACTTGAAGGCGCATTGATGACTATGGCCGCAGGCTGCAATCCTCCTCCACCTGCTCCTAGGGTTAGAGTTTTTCCTATGCCAACTCCACCTGATACCTGGAAAGCACCTGTTGTCACACTAGATGAATCAGTTGTGTTTGGTATCTGCATTACGCCTGTATTGGAAACTCTCAGAACGAAGCCTGTATTGTTATAAGAACTATTTAGACCGAATCCGCCTGCTGATAATGTTCCGTCTCCTGTGCTTCCGGCAACTCTCATGCCCCATGTAATGTTACTCCCAGTGTTCACTAAGGACATTGTTGTAGATGCTGCGCCATTTTGAATGGTTATACCCCTGCCAACAGTAGCGCTGTTAAATGATAGCGCAGTCGATGAGGTAATAAGAGGTTGATATGAGGAAAGTATATTCGATGTAGGAACAACTGAGAACCCTGTGGGTGTTCCCATGATGAATGTGTTAGCCGCCGGTATTAAACCACTGATGGAATTGAGTAATGGAGAAGCACTTTGTTTAGTAGCAAGCGCCATATCTGCGGCGGTCTTGTTATTCTGAACAAGTGTTTGAAGCAATGTCAAGGATTGACTGAGAGGAGTTGTCATGCTAGTCATCATAGCAACAGCCCATTGTTGCATTGCCACCTTGACACCATTTTGAATGATCAGTCCTTCAACATTTAGATCCTTTTCCACAAGTAAGCCACCTGTCAAGAGTCCATTGCCTACATTATCAACACGGAACACCATATCCATAGCCCCTTGTACAAATATCCCACCACTGGTCATCAGAGAATTCACATTCAATGAGGATGATGTAGTAAGAAGAGGTTGGTATCCACCAAGAATAGTGGAAACAGGTGTCGCTGTAAAACCGTTCGATGCCCCCATGATGAATGTATTAGGTGTCGTTGTTAAACCACTTATTGCATCGAGTAAAGGACTTGCATTTTGCTTCGTAGCAACGGATGCTGTTAGAGAACTTTCAGTAGCCAATTTCACACCATTTGTGTATACATCCCCTCCAATGTACAGTGATTTAGCGATGCCAACTCCACCTTTGACTTGAAAGGAGCCAGTTGTTGTGGAAGTACAATCTGTCGTCATATTGATAATAACATTCCTGGATGAGAGAATATCCAGATTAGAAGCCGTCGCTCCGTTTGTACCAATATGCAAATTACTGGTGCTTGTTCGCAAGACGTAATCATTCGCTAATGTGTTTGTGAACCATTGTCCAGCTGAGTCAGCGAAGCCGAATGCCCCATTATTTATCTGGAAGGCTGCTGCGGTGGGACTTGATATAATAGCATACTTACCCATGTAAACCGTTCCTTTTATGCCAACTCCTCCTGCCACCTGTAGAGCGCCAGTGACTGTTGAAGATGAATCAGTTGTTGCATCCAGTGTAACGATTCCAGTGTTCGCGAGTATTGTCAGTCCTTTTTGTAACGGATTTTTTGTTGGTAGACTACGGTAAAGACGACTTGGGTCTCCTAGCAGGTTATGTGGGTGTCTGTACTAGGAATCGTAGTCTCCAAATCCTTTCTTTGGGCGTCGGTAGCGACTTGAGGGCGAGAGGCAAGGAGAGTCGGTTAGTTGTGAACCGAGCAGGATTTAGAGGCTTCAGTGTGGGTGATCAGGCCGTTGAAGCGCTCTGTTAGGTTCCTGTTAACCTAAGATTGGAGTTGAGAAGCTAGTTGTGGGGATTTAGTGTCGCTACGGCTTCTGGCCGCCGACTTATTTTATTGAATTCCTCTTTTTATACAAGAATATGCTACGGTAACGTCTACACTAGTTTCCGTAGCCTTCATTAGGGTGGCGGCATCCGATCTTCCCATCTCGGACCATTGCCATGATCGATCATGGCTGCGTAACATATCCTTCACGCTGCGCTGGTGTAGCCCAGAACCGAGCTTGATCTTAGGGGTTTCGAAGCTTAGGTTACAATTGCGGAAACCTCAATCATGGTCACCTGATGCCTTTGAGCGAACCGGTTTATCAGAGTCATTTGCTACATCCCCCCTTCGAAAAAGAAGGTTCGGCGACTCGTCTGTGAGTGCCCGAACCTCGCTTCTACCATGACGCAACTGGATAGTCGTCGTCAGCTTCAAGGCTGTCTTCGTTGATCGTCCAGATTATGGTAGCGCGCCCCATGACGTTCGCGCAGAACCAAATTTGGTCAGTGGCTTCCGGAGCCGGGGTTCCAGGTGTCCTGGAACCGTTGGCTCGGGTTACGTAGAGGGCTGTGAACGTCTCTGCGGCCCTTTTCAAGTTAACCGCTCGAAAGTGGTAATAGGCGTGCTCCCGATGTTTGGGACGGAGCTGCTCTTCTGTGGTTTCAGCTGCGTTGGCTAGCTTTAACAACACTGCTCTCGCGGCTTCGATGGCTATGTCCGCGAAATCGTGGGCCTCGCGATCGGGCCAGAGGGTGAAGCGGGCCGTTTTGGGGTTTCCGGCCGCATGTTGAGGGACCCCAGCGTCAAGCCAGGCGGTGCAGGGTACGTCCCGTAATCTCTTCCCAATCTTTTTTGTGTCGGCGATGATACCGACAGCTGCTTGACTGCCGTCGGAAGCCCTACTGTAGGGCTCCGCAATATGCATCGTGAGGGGCTGGCTCGTGGCGTACGGCTTCGAAGCCCCGTCAACCACCCAATCTTCACCACGATAGTGTTCGAGGGGTTTGTTTGGGTCTTCGAACAGCTCACGAATCCAAACTTCGACCCAGGTGGCCATAGCTGCTCCGAGCCGCTCGATAGAGTTCTCGGCAGCGAAGGCGTCGCTTACTTCTGACCAGGGATAGCCTTCCTCAAGGGTAGAGAGGATGCTGACTCCTTGTTGTCCTCGGATATCGGTGGTCATGGTGTTGGAAACGAAAGCTTTTGTCTCGGTGTCCATAGACAAGGTTTGCAAAGCAGAGTAGGTCTGTAAGGGAGATAGGTCATAGGTAGTTGAAGAAGAAAAAAGAGGGGGAGTGTGCAGGGGCGTCCTTTTAAGGTCATCGCCGGCTGATTTTGACAGCTCAGATGCACATAAGCATGATCGGGAGGCTTGGTGTGGTGTTCTCGACTGGTGAGGTAAGCCGCGCAAAACTGGTTTTCTTTCTGGTGAGAGGGTGTGATTATCACGTGAGCTATTGTCCGGATAAATCGTGAAGCATTGGTGGTCAGAAGCGTAAGCCAGGGTGTCGCCTGCAAAGCTGACTACCAAGGAGTCCTCTACTAGTGCGCTAGTGGGAGCTCTGGATCTCCAGTACTCTTCTAAGGCTTCGGAAGCCTCTGTTAGGGCTTCCTCTGGTTCCCAGGTATCCTCATGGGGTGGGTATCCGGCCCAACGTATTCGAAATTGATGCTTTCCGCGCCTGGTTCGATGGTCTACTATCGCTTCCACTTCGAACTCGCCTTTTGAAGCGTCGGAATCCTCCATTTGTGCTTCCACGATCCTTTCCTCAGTTTCGGCGTCGACAGGCTTCTGGTACGGACGTAATTTTGATATGTGAAACCATGGGTGAAGTCGTCTCATCTTGTCTGGCAGTTTTAGCTCATAGTTGTCGTGGAGAGGGTTGCAGTCGGTCACCGTGACTGGTCCCAGCCATTTCGGAGCGATCTTGGACTCATACCCTGCTAGGTTTTTTGTGCTCAGAAGCACCTTATCTCCTCTCCGGAACTCCAGATGTCGTCGCGATAAATCGTAATATCTTTTCTGCGAGTCCTGGGCCTCGATCATCAGATCCCGGATAAGGATGTTTAGGTCTCTGAGATGTTTACAGAGCTCTTCCACATCTGCATTTCTGGTTTCTGACAGCCTTTCAACGATGTCCGCCAGTGGATTGTGGGGCTCATAGCCTAGGTCCATCTTGAACCGCATCATTTTTGTCGCCTCGTGTACCGTATCATTGATAATGAATTCTGCAACCAGAAGAAAGGTGTCCCAGTCGTCTAATCGGGTGTTGACCATTGTGGTAAGGACCTGCAAGACCGTTGCGTTGTCTCTCTCTGATTGTCCATCACCTTGAGGGTGGTAGGCTGTGGTGAGCTCTTGATTAATCTTTAGGTTTTTGCAGACCTCCTGCCAAAATCGACTCGTAAATTTGGGGTCGCGGTCTGAGATGATAGTTTCCGGGATGCCGTGCAATGGGACGTAGCGTTCTATAAATAGTTCCACGACCTGAGTAGCTGTCGCAGTGCTCTTGAGGGGCCATACGTGGATCCTCTTTGAGCATTTACAAGCTATTAGCCAAAAGGCATCGTACCCTCTGGAAGTAAGTGGGAGCTTGGTTACGAAGTCAGTCGTGATGACTGTCCAGCGTCCTGGAGCTGGTGGTATGGGTTTCAACAACCCCGGAATCAGTTGCGGTACCCTTTTTGAGCGTTGGCAGGTTTCACATCCTGCGCAATGTTTTCTGAAATCTTGTGCCATTTTCGGCCACCAGACTTGTGCTGCAGCTCTAGCATAGGTTCTTTCGAATCCAAAGTGTCCTCCCCCCTCGTGAAAAAGCTTGCGCACCTTGGGGGTGCAAGCAGGGGGCACGTAGAGGTGCCAAAGGTCTTTGGAGACTGAAAAACGGTGCCACAGCAGGTTATCTGCACGTTGCCAGTCCTGAAGAAAGCGCGCGTCGGCTGTAGTGTAGGTGTCGGGGCTGGTCTCCCATAGGAGCATGCAGGCCTGTTGGGCTATGGGGTGGAGCTGGCCGGTGAGGCCAGCGCGGATGGCGGCAATGAGTGCAGGCTGTAAGGCCAGACGAAAGACGGCATCTGCCAGTGTCGAGGAAGGTGCGAGAGCAGCTGGTGTGGTGCGCAGCCGTCGTCTTCCGCATTTCGACACCCATATTTGGGTCGCGGTGGAGCAGAGTAGGGTTTCCGCTCCTAGTAGCCGTGAAAGTGTATCAGCGACAATGTGAAAACGTCCTGGTTTGTGAACGATTGTCATCCATTCGGACCAGTAACTAAGATCGAGGGCCCAGCGGAGAAGCTTACGGTTCTCGCCTTTGTATTTAGCGAGCCACAAAAGAGCTCGGTGATCAGTAATGACCGTGAAAGGCAGGCCTTCGAGGTATGGGCGGAGTTTTCCGAGGCCCCAAATGAGGCATCCGGCCTCGAGTTCGACGGGGGGGGCCTTCTTTTCTGAGGTGGTGGTGCCTCGGGAATGGTAGCACAGCGGGCATTTAGAAGCATCCGGCTGTAACTGTTCAAGCGTGACATTAAACGCTGTGTAGGAAGCATCACTGTGAAGGGTGTAGGGGAACCCTTTTCTGGGTGCCGCGAGCACTGGAGCTGTTGTCAGAGCCTGCTTGGCGGCTGCAAAGGCAGAGTTTCGGGAATCGGTCCATGAAACTTCACGCTTCGCGATAAATCTGCGCAGACCTTGGTCGGGGCGCTTGCGAGCAAGGCGTCCGACACAAAAGGGGTCAATGGGTAAGTCCGCCAGCGATGATTGGCGTAGATTGACCGCCGGTAGGTCTGAGGAGCTAGATTTCGGATGTTGCGAAACCTCAAATCGGGCTCCGGTGGCTGTTATTGTAGGGGCCACCGCCATGTCAAGCATGGATGGTGAATTGAGCTTTTCAGCGCCTTTCTTCGGGTCAGCGCGACCCTTTTTAAGGTCTTGGTATTCGCGAACGCCCTCTTGGATAGCATCTTGCAGGGGTCGGACGAGTTCCGCGTAGCGAGAAATGAATTGGGCGTAGAACCCTTTTCGGTTCGGGTTCTGCCAGCAGAAAACATTCCAATGCTTTTTCTGACAGAATTTGCAGGGTGCCGGTGGTTCCGTGTTGGGGTCCGGAACCATCTTCTGAGGGCCGTCGCGACTCTTTTTGGGGTTTCCGGTTTTATGTTGAGCCATCTGCTTAGGGCCTTTGTCGGTTCCGGTCTTTTGTGACTTCTTCTGAGCTTCAGCAGCACCGCTGTAGCAAGGGTCTCGTTTTCTGGTGTCATCAGAGCCGAAATAAAGGCGCAGGAAGTCTTTTAATTTGGTCAGGTTCGTGATGTTACAGGATTTGACCATGATTTGGATGTCGCTGGGCAATTGTTCGACTATTAGGTCGAAATGCTGGTCAGTGGGACATTCTATGTTTGCCCGGTCGCCGTATGCGAGGCGCCGGAGATGAGTTTTGTGGTCAATGAATGCGAGGAAGCTGCGAAATTCTTTGGGGTTCGCGTGGCAGTGCACATATTCGGTTTTGCACTTGGACTCGGTTAGGGGACCTCGGAACTCTCGAAGCAGTTCTTCTTTCCACCTTTTCCAGGTCCACGAGCAAGTTTCCTGGGCTTCCAGAGTGTAAAACCAAGCGTCGGCAGGGGTTTTCTCGGCTATCATGGCTGGTAGGAGCTGTACCATCCTGGCATCCGATGTTGCGCTAATGTTTTGAAGAAGTTGGACTTTGTTGAGCCATTCTTCAATGTCTTGGTTTCTTTTGCCCGTAAACTTGGGTACGTCCTTTGCTTTCAAGGAATCGACCTTGGTGTTGCTGGCCCACGGGGCCGCTGGCACTTGGATTGGAGGCACCGGACCTGAAAAACTTGGTTCGGTACGCTCCCTTGGTGTGTCCGACGTTTCCCACGGGGTTGCGGACCGTTCTCTTGTAGCTCGTGCTATGAGAGGTTGTTCAGGCAGTGGGCGATGTGCTAGGGCTTCTAAGGCTCGTGCGAGGCGCTCATCCGCCGCTGTCTGACATTCGGAAAGCCTATGAAGCTGTTCCGTAAGATTTTGAGTTGCCAACTGCATTGCAGCAGTCGAGCGGGCAATGTCTTCTTTTAACGCTGCCACTTCAGAGGCCATCGTGGCCAAGTTAGGGGCTTCCGGTTCGACGGAAGTGGTCCCTGAACGCCTTGGGCGTGTTGCGGGAGGGACTTCGACGTCCTCCGCAGGACCCTGACTACGAGTCTGGATCACAGGTGAGTGGCCTCGCGTTGGAGAGCGTTTGACCGGCATCATTCTCGGTTTCATGAAGTCTGTTTCCGAAACAAGAGAAAAGGTTTCCGAGTAGCTACCTGAGCAGATCTCAGTTTGCGCAAGAGTTTCGGTATGACCGAATAAGGTTTTCAGCTGAATTTGAGAGGGGAAGGCAGTTTGTCGCGCTTCTCCACCATGTAACAGATTTTTTGTTGGTAGACTATGGTAAAGACAACTTGGGTCTCCTAGCAGGTTGTGTGGGTGTCCGTACTAGGAATCGTAGTCTCCAAATCCTTTCTTTGGGCATCGGTAGCGACTTGAGGGCGAGAGGCAAGGAGAGTCAGTTAGTTGTGAACCGAGCAGGATTTAGAGGCTTCAGTGTGGGTGATCAGGCCATTGAAGCGCTCTGTTAGGTTCCTGTTAACCTAAGATTGGAGTTGAGAAGCTAGTTGTGGGGATTTAGTGTCGCTACGGCTTCTGGCCACCGACTTATTTTATTGAATTCCTCTTTTTATACAAGAATATGCTACGGTAATGTCTACACTAGTTTCCGTAGCCTTCATTAGGGTGGCGGCGTCCGATCTTCCCATCTCGGACCATCGCCATGATCGATCATGGCTGCGTAACGTATCCTTCATGCTGCGCTGGTGTAGCCCAGAACCGAGCTTGATCTTAGGGGTTTCGAAGCTTAGGTTACAATTGCGGAAACCTCAATCGTGGTCACCTGATGCCTTTGAGCGAACCGGTTTATCAGAGTCGTTCGCTACAGTAGCCACGGAACTTTTAGAAGAATGTCAGGCATATGTTACAGAGGATACTAATTTTGACGTTCCATTAGTCATCAAACCCATGCTTGTTTCAATGGAATTTAACGAAAAATATCACATCAAAAATGCTGTGGAAGTTGAAGAAGATGCTTCCGATGATGCCGACATGGACCTGATGGGCGAACACCTCGACGGCGAACTACAAGAAGCAGTCAAATCCCCTAGCCATCTCTCTATGGCACAACTTCTACGCAAACTGAGTGATGGGATGTTTGTGTATGACGGAACGACGGTTTGGATGTTTAGGGATGGGTGGCAACCTATATCGGAACACTGCGAGATTGTCCGACAATTTATGGTCAAGCACATGAACCCCATCTGGGACGAACGCATCAGAATTTTCTTAGATTTGCTCTCCAAAGTGGACCCCGATTCCAAAAAGGCCTATAAGTACAAACGCTGCTTGGAAACAGAGAACTTCGCAAAATCACTGCTGACTACCAACTCTCACATCACATCCATCATTTCCTGTTTCAAGTGTGAAGTATACAATGCTACTTTTCTGCAAAGATGTGATAAGGACCCTTTGAAGATTGGATGCAATAATGGCTATGTGGACCTTGTGGATGGGAAGTTGAAACCATATAGCAAGGATGTGCTTATAACAAAGACAGTAGGCTACGATTATTTTTCTACCGAAAACGATGTTTCTGCCAAATTGCGCAACGATTGGCTTGAATTTGTTACTCGTCTCTTCCCTGTGGAGGAGGAGCGCAATATTGCCCACATATACGCTGGATATTGCCTCCGTGGTGACCATCCGGAGAAAATTTTCCGCGTCCTGAAGGACAAAATCGATGGTAACAATGGCAAGACAAAGTTTGCGCAGGCTTTGGAAATAGCCTTTGGCGGGTATGCAAAGCAGGGAAATGCCGAACATATATATCGTTCCACCAGGCATTCCAATCAGAATGGTCATAATGCTGCAATATTTGCATATGCTGGATACTTGCTCGCAATCTTCGAAGAGATGGACGAGCACAAGACACTTGATACCAAAAGAGCCAAAAAGAACCATGGGGGGAATGCAAGCGAAACTGGCTGAAGACCACATAGCAAAAAGGATGAAATTGTGGCACTTACCACCAAATGGATTATGATATTCAACGACCGCTGCCAGCCCAAATATGATACCTCCGACACAGCATTTGTAGAGCGCATGCTAGTGTTACCCTTTCGCTCCAAGTTTTTGAAGACCGAACAAGAGGTGAAGGACAGCAAATTGGAATACAAGTACCTAGCCGACCCATTCATTTCAGATAAGTTTCATGTGTGGCAACCATATATTTTGGAATGGTTACTGGAAGGGCATATGAAGTATTTACAAAACCGGTTTCAGAACATTCCAGACTCATGCAAAGATTGGAGAGAAGAGGTATCTGCAGTGGTAGATAACTTGGAGGAATGGTTGGAGGATAATGTGGAGGAAGCAGAAGATGCGGTTTTGGAGTTGAAGGACATCAAAGCATGGATGCCCCAATCCATGAAGTTGAGATTCAAAGATAAGAAGCACCTTGTAGATGTGCTTCGTAAAACTCTCAAAAATTATGTTTCTGACACAGGAAAGGGGAAGGATAGGATGATGGATGTATTTAGGGGCTACCAATTGAAACTGCAATCATGTTTCCGTTGAATCAGTAATGGCAGAATAGAAACAAGTGAGAGATGGGTAAAACGGGTAGTGTGAGAAGCTGACTCGATAAAATGGCTCAAACCCGAGATGATTTAGTAAAAGTTTGTTTCGATGAATGGAGAGAAACCCAAAAAACCCAGACCCAAAAGTGTAGTTTGCTTCAGTTAAGAGACAGATTTTAAAAAAAAAAAAAGAATAAAGCTTCTTCAAAAAAAAAAATTATTTTCTCATATAGTGGAAGTATGTACACACGTTTGGGTCTGGGTTTTTTGTGTAAGTATATGTGGAATCAAGTCACCATTCACTTCCATTTACACCATATGATTCCATGATTATGAAGGAAGCGAGGATGCGCAGTGAAGCGATTGAATGTTCCTTTACTTTTGCCATAGGCAACCTCGGAAACCAAAGCTGTATTTGAAGAACCATGATGAGCAAACATGTCTGAGACATGTCAAATCACGTGACTTCCATTAACACTATTTGGTTCAACGATTGTGAAGGAAATGAGTGAAGTGAATGTACCTTTTGATCCAAAATGGTGAAGATGTGTCACGTGAGTTGTATGCGTAGCTTTGATGTTGTATGCATAGTAATCTGCTGACGTAAAGTGGGAAAAGCGACTATCAATAGCAAGTCCAAGTTTTTGCTTAAAGGCGGCTAGCTTCTTGCATCCTCCCCCCCCCAATCCAACCAGCTCCTCTGTAAACGATTCCATATACAACATTCGAAATGTGCCCAAACAATTGGCCATGAGGTGTTCGAACTCAATACCTCAAAATACAACTGTTTCCTTATAGGAAATGGGGCATAGCCAATCCCGGGGAGTCATGCTTTTTTAAATGAATGTGGGAGGCAGCGATGGAGTGAATGCCACGTGACATGATGGATGTTATTGATTACGTAAGCATTACGAAAGCAGGTCGAGCTTATATGAGTGTAGTTGACAGGGCGTTTAAATATGGAGTGGGCATTTCAGCTACAGTTGTTGACAGGGCATTTAAATATGGAGTGGGCGTTTCAGCAATAGTTGTTGACAGGGCGTTTAAATATGGAGTGGGTGTTTCAGCAATAGTTGTTGACAGGGTGTTTAAATATGGCTCCTACGGGTACTATGGGTCCTGGTAGAGTTGAACGAACTATGGGTTTTCTGGCATTTCTGGGTACTATGGGTCCTGGTAGAGTTGAATGAACTATGGGCCCTCTGGTAGTGCATCACCCATGGTATATACCATGGGTGATGCACTACCAGAACCTACCACCAACGGCTTCTAGATTACATCACCATCATCCATCAACTCACCAACCACGCTTCCCACACTCTCAAATTCTACATCCTATCTGCACCAACCTTTCCCATGGTAAATGAAGATACAATTGAAGCAATTCTCTATCTTCTCAACAAGGGGGAGGCTTGGCATCCAAGAAAGGAAGCAAAGAAGGCACAGCGGGATTGTTTGCTGCCATATGTTCAACAGTACTGCCGCATCGTTGATTTTCCTCATCCAAACCTACACGGCAAGCAGCAGTCAATCAATTACCTGACAGCGAGTATGATGACAAACCTGAAAGTCAACATTCAAGAACATTTCATGCAGATGCTCCTTTGGTACATTAATCTGTGGCTCGACGTGAAGGGACACAAGCAGCAACTGCCCCCAAAAAGTGATGCATGAAAAGCTTTCTTTACTCGGCTATGCTACTTAAAGTCAGTTTTTCTTTTTGATATCATGCCCGAGTCACTGGATGACTTGACTGCTGAAGAGAGTGAGCTTCTAGAAGAGATGTGGACACTTAACCTGCCATTTCCTGATCAAGACAAGCCGCTCGCATATTCAGTTACTATAGACCCTCTTGCCTTCTTCCCTGCCTACTGTCGGTTGTCAAGCCTATATGAAAAGCATGGATTTCGACGGTTCAGTGCAATCCCACTTCACCGCTCCCTCATCCAAAGCCATGTGCAGATCGACACCGTCATCCTCTACTCTCATATCCTTTGCATCACGTGGCGAGATGCAGAAGCCGTCGAGAAGGTCAATTTATGGATGCGCATCTGTAATCTACATACCAAAGCTTTTCGGTCTCGCCACGGTATGCAGTTTGAAGGCTCGATCACCACAGATGGAACCTCAGTGTCTGTATACCTAAAGCACCCAGAAGCAGACAAGTATGGGAAGTGCAGCAGTGGGAAAAAGTCAGCAACAACTCTTACAGCTGAGGTGACGGTGCTTTATGTGGAGAAAAACTTACCTGCTTGTCGAGCAGCAGAGAATGTCATTGTTATCGACCCAAACAAGCATGACATTCTCTACTGCCAAGACGGCAATGGTACATTTCGCTACACTGCCAACCAGCAAGCTGTGGAGACTGGAAGCCGTCGATTTGCAAAAGAATGGCAGCAGATGAAAGCCGGCAGTATTGACCTCATAGAATCATGACTACCATCTCACAAGATGATGAACCTCATGGACTTTACTCGCTATCTCCTCGTTCACCGTGCCGACTGGAACTGCCACAAGGACTTCTATTCGCATCCTGCCCACATGCAGTGGAAGTGGCATGCATTTATAAACCGTCAGAAGAGTGAATTGAACCTCATATCCAACTTATGCAACAAGTACAGTGAAAACTTTACCATTGTGATGGGAGATTGGAGTGATGCCGGTCGAACTGCAAGATTTCAGACCTCATCAAAGATGAAAGGTTGGCGCACCCTCTTTAAGCACAACAGGATTAACTGCTTCCTTCTCGACGAGTATAAAACCTCATCTGTCTGCCCTCACTGTTCATCTGATGACTTCCTTGAAAAAGGCTTCAAAACATGACCTCATTCAAGACCTTGGTGATGATGAGAAGGCAAGATTGAAAAAGTCCATGGATTGCTGGGTTGTACCAACCCTAACTGTCAGCAAGCCTGGATGATGCGCTACTGGAATCGAGATACGCTGAGCACCTGCAATATGCTGATAATCGTGCAATCAATGTTGGATGGACACAGTAGACCAGAAGTGTTCAGCAGGAGTGTTCCAGCCGTAGCTTAGATTGGTTAGATTAGGTTTTCCGAGCCGGTTGTCGCCGGTTCAATCCCTGGTGCGGGTGCTAGTGCCAATACCCACCGGCTCCGCACTATTTATTTATCAGTCTCTTGAAAAAAAGGCAAACGACAAACTAGTTTTGTAATTCTACAATCGGGTCTCCTTCTCTTTCTATATATATATATAGTATAGGGGTAATGGTAGGGACTAGTGGAACTACCTCTCAACCCCCACCTCCCGCAACACCTTGACCAACTTGCTCATATAATTCTCCGCAAATGAACTCATCCAATACTCATGCATCGCATCATGCTCACTCACAAAATTATGTCCAAGCTCATGACACCACGTCAAGAACCAGTAATAAAACGTATCAGGATCCTCCGTCTCCACTCCCCTCGGTGCTGAAAACCCACCAGGAAGCGTCACACCCTGATGTCGTTGTTTATAATGCAAACCAAGGTAAAACCGTGCATTAAAAAACAGGGTTCGGTTCCGATTAAACGCGATCGTGCTCCCAGTTGCATCAAAGTAGACGTGAATGGCTTTCTTGTCTGTTCCAAAGACGTTGGCTAGTAAGCTGAGGACCATGACAAATTGATGGATGCCTGTCATGTTGAGGTCGGCAATAACAGAAGGTGAGGCTGCTCGGTCAATATAAAACGGTACTCCGTCAATGAGATCACGTAGTACTAGGTCATTGTCGGAAATAATCGAACAGTGTGCAGCGACTTGACGGGAGAGCATGCTGGGTGTCGGGGGTGGATTCAGAGGAATTTCGGCTCGGAAATTGGGTTCCTGTGTTCCGCGGAGAGATGCGATCGAGTTGGAGAGGTGGGATTTGAGGTTCACGGTGCTGTTGGGTGTGATTTCTTCGGCGGGCATGGTGGTTCCTCCTCCACCGGGAGGAATAGGTTGGTACCCTCCGTGCTGATTCGTGGATACGGGAGGGAGCAAAGACTCGCCAGCGAGCTCCACCAGCCCCGTGAGACCCTTGTTTTTGATCTTGTCCCTTGCCTTGCTCAAGAACCCCCCGAAAAGCCCGTCAACTGCCGGCGCCGATGACGACGGTTGCGACGACTGCGACGATCCAGCCGGTGGTACACCATTCAACGCGGCCTCCGATGGATTTGCTTTGGGGTACTCGTCCCCTGCATCCAACAACTTTTCCGTCACGTCCAACACGGGCTGCCGACTCCCGATCCGCGCTTCCACCTCTCTCCGCAAAAACCCTGGATCAGCTCCAGGAAAGATGGCCTGCAACTGTCGCACGGCTTCCGCCACAGTAGGAGACATGTCATCCGTCGATCCGTTTTTAGGTGGTACGGTCGGCGGTGTCGGTGAATTCGCTGCCGCCTGTACGGCAGTTTGTTGTTGTCGCGCTTGCTCTTGCATAATGACTTGGGCGTTCTTGAGTTTGTTATCAGTGAGTTTCAGGATACGGTCGACTGGGAATCCTTTTCGGCGCAGATTTTGGACCGACGTTGACAAGAGGGTAGAAAGGAGCAGTGAATCTTTTAGTCGGCAATTTCGCAAAATGACTTTGCCTATGGATCTAAAACCCCTACATGTCAGCATGCCCCGCACAAAATGGGAAAATCGCCCAAAAAAGTCGACACATTATTAAACCCACCTCGCAATATCAAAACAATCATAATCCTCCACCACAAACAACCAATACGTCTTTGTCCGGCTCTCAAACCTCAAACAAGCCGTGGTCTTGTCCACTTTGGTAGCCTTTTCAAACGTCCGCACAATATCAATCTCTGGAACTTCAATGACCTTCATATTGAGCAACACTTGCTCCGCATTCGAGAAAACGTCCTTGCCCGTTCGCATTTGTTGTCCGTCATATAGTAGCAGAGGCGCGCGTTGGCGAATCAGTTTCTGCAACTCTGCAGAGACTTGCGTGAAGCGTTGGTTTCCACGGGGACGCTCTTCGGTGGTGACGACAGAGGAGAGCCAACGCGAACCAAGGTCTGTGTACATGGCTTCCAATACTTCATCTGTAGGTGCTCTATTCATGATGTCGTGATGAGCTCTCCGCCTTTTCATCACGCGATAAAAAAAAAGACACTTACCCCAACGGTTTGAATAACTGATTCACCACCGTATCATCAATAATATAAATATCCATGGCCCTAGCCAGCTTGACATGGTACTGATCCTGTACTTTCCCATCCTCCTCCGCACCATCCTCGTCACCCCCAGCAGCCACAATCCCAATCAACCAAGCAGCAGACCGCATCCGACTTTGCAACCCTTTATCAGTCCTCAAGGTCGGATAATGCGTTGCAACATTTCGAATGAGTTCCAAGTACTTTTCGTGGCCAAGCGTATCGAGGAACTGGGTAGGATTCGTCACGAGAGAGGTGGCGAGTTCAGAAGGGGTAGGTTCCTCTCGAGTCCCACAAGCTCGGAGAAAGTTGTTGGCATTCAGACCGAAATCAACATATGTGAAATGGTCTTTATATGCCGAGCTGTCCGAGCCGCCAAAATAAACTGTGCGTGGGGGAACCCAAACAGTAGAACGACGTCCGTTTTGAGTCTTTTGGATCGGAACAAAATTCTTTTGTCCTAGGATAGCCCAGTGCTCTGATGTGAAATCTGGTAAAGAGCATAACGGAAACATGAGCCAAAAGAAAGCCTTTTCCAAACCCCAAAAACAAAATTTGTAGCCGTCAATCCAAAAAACGCACCAGAGATACGAGTAGCCAGGTACCCAAATACAGCTTGAGCCTTATCCACATCCGGTGGCTGCTGTAGCAATCTCTCCAAAAGTGCATTGGCAGGGGGATGTTCCCTCACACCAAACTTATCCCTCTCTAGTCGCCAATCAGGATGAAGTACCTGAAAGCCCATCACAGCCGCAGAGGGATCTGCAAAACAATCTGAGGGCGTGCCAAGTCGCGTGGGATCTGTTGTTGGAAGGAAAGGGACTTTAATGGCCGAACCGGCATACAGGGATGCGTATGTTGTTTTAAAGTTTTGGCAAAAGTGCTGTAAAATGCTCGTTCGCTTTTCGGGTGTCGATGTTGCTGCAAGTTGAACGAGATCGGGGACAGGTATCAAGGTCCGGATTTTTAAATCTTGCATCATTTTGGCTTTGATGGTTCAAAAACGTAGCAACACATCAATAAACCATCACCTGCCATGAAATATACACTTTTAACACCATACCTTCGCCACCATGAGGCTTCCACTTGCCCTTCCACTCAAGGATCGGTAACCCAAATGCACGAAACTTGTCATCAGGCGTATATAGATCACAGGCCCGGAACCGCTCACGAGAGGGTGGGTCTTGTTCTTTAGGGAAAATCGCAGTAATTCGTAGCCGTTCCAGTTCGTCTGGTTTGAGCGTGCACGTTGCAAGATATTTGATCTAAACAACGTAAAAGCAAACTACATCAATACTCTTTCACAGGCTTCAAACCAACACAAAGAATCAAAAAAACAGAAAAACATACCAACTGCACATGATCCCAATTCAACGTCCCAATTCGGTTGAAAACCATTTGAAGTTCCACATGCTCTCGAACTCCCAAAGCCCTCAAAAAGGCATCACTGACACTTTTGGGATTCGCGAACTGAACAATAGGCAAATCGGGAAACAAGGTAACTTTTGGAAAATAACTGTCACTAGGTTTTTGCATGCCCAGTGTGGTCGGAATACACTTTTTGGATGCCAGGAGTGAAACGAGTTGATCGCGAGTTTGCGTCTTGAGGGATCCATAATGCCGACTGAAAACTGCCAAAACTTTTTCAACGAATGCCGCGTCATTGGAAAATTGGGGGAGCTTGATGATAAAGTCTGCCCACACAGATAACGGTAATTCAGACCACGCAAAACCAAATCCTCTTTCCAACTCTTCCTTTTTGAACTCGTTGCTTATGGCCAGTGGCATCACCGTTACTGGTAGCGGTAAATCCGACGGTATCAAATGTTTCGGAACATAATGTGCAATAGTTGACAGTGGACGTACAGCGTCCTCTTTACCGTTCACTCCTGGCTCCAAGAATACAGCAGACCTCAAAAGCTGCTCGACATCCGTACTGGATATGACGTTCGTTTTTCGATAATCCAACCACCACCGGAACAACGCCACCATTTCGCTTTGCGGGAACGGTCGACTCGACAGCTCTCGAAATAGGTCAGTGATATTCAGTTTGCGTATAGCTCCCTTTGCTTCTAACTGCTTAAAGAGTTCCGCGCATTGCTCCATTGTCTGATCCGGAACAATTGGCACCTCTTTCATAAACTCCTTCATGGACGTATCTGGCAACCGAACTTCTATAAGAGGTTTGATCCCACGAGAAGAAACAATGTTGAGTGGCTTGGTACTACGAGATAGAAAGTAGGCGGAGAGGATCCGTCCAACCAGAGGTGATGGTGTAGAAGGTTTGAATGTAAATCCAGCCATGGTATGTGATGCCTTTTTTTGTAACCATATTTCACTGGTGCTATCAAGTGCCAGTGCCTTGTACAACCGATCGATAGCGTCGAGGTCGTCGTCATACAAAATTCGAGCAAGCAGGCCTCCCATGGACAAGAGCTCCTGGTTCCATGTATTGAGCGTCGGATCGACAAAATCGATGGACTCTCTTTCTACCGTTGGAATCAAATGCGCGGCCATTTGGATCGTACATCCCGTCGTCTGATACGTAGGGAATCCAATAAAGATCCGACCTTGATCTGTTGGTCCTGGGAGTAAATCGTTGAACATGCCATTTTTACCACGGACTGTAGACGAGCTTTCGTACTCGTCAAAATTGGACCACATGATCTGCATTTCCGTATGTACTGGTGGTCGTTTCTTGGTAGTCCGCTCCATTTCCTTCACTAGGTGCGTCGAGAGACGTACAGCCAAGTGCGCGCTAGCACTCCTCATAAAGATCCTGTAACTCGCCAAGGTCTTTTCGGCATCAGGTTGGACCTCGACATCCATTTGAATGGTTTTCATGGCAACGCTTTCGAGAGTGAAAATGCGATTGGGAGAAGAAAGATTGTAAACTCCTTTTGGGAACGCAAGGGGACGCGGTTCTGCCATTTTTTTGTCAAAGAAGAGTGTTCGCTGTTCATCGACAAAGACTTCCACTTTCTTTAGGTTGGCAGTAAATGCTAATGATGTGGCAATGAAGCGTCCGAACTGGTCCATGTCATAAAGGTCTACCGGATCCCGGAGATCCAAGTAAAAGCACGTATCTGGCGAAAGAGCCTCCGGTGGAACTATCCCTTTCTTGGTGTAGAGCATATCTCCCTTCCACAAGAATGCCATGCTTTTGTCATTTGATGTCACGAACGGTTCCTCGCATATTGAAAATAAACTGTAGAAGCCCACACCAAAAAACCCTATTTTCTGTTCGTCTGGATTTCCTTCCGCAATCTTTCGTAACCGTGCCCAATCCTCTTCTGAAAATGGGCGGCCATTGTTTCGGTATGTTACGCTGGCAACCACTCGTTTGCTTCCGCCTTGCCAGAAACTTCGGGACTGGATGTTGGTTTGGAATGTGATTTTGACCTCCGTTGCTCCTGTAATTGTGTACAACCTGACGTTAGGGTATGCGCTCAGCGCAGAAAGACAAAGAGTGTGCAAAAGGTTGCATTTACCTGCATCGTTTGAGTTTTGAAGCAACTGTTAGGTGAAACACGCCGTTAACAAATCTCCAACACCAGTTTTGGACGGAATTTGACAAACCTCTCTGAACACTGTGAATTCTGCCGAGTATCTTGCAAGGATTTTGTCAATAAGATGCCGCTGATTGACCTCAACCTTTTCTTCCACTCCAGCATTCTGTATTAGAGCTGCTTTCAAGCTTTGAAGTTGAGAAGACATGCTGGACGGTCGGGTTCACTCTTCGAATACACAATGTAAAAGTCGTCACAACCAATAGATAAAATGAAATATCTCGAGGAAAAGGTCTGTTGAGTCGCTTCGGGCGGGTTAGGACATGCGTTGGGTCACTTTCTGCGGGACGATCTGGGCGAAACTGCGGGCGGAGAGAGCTGTCAACACTCGACGGCCGTGATCGGAACGCCTTACTAAGCATGTTGTTGACATGCCAACACCCACCTTGAGGACGTCCAATGAGCCACGTTCGACTTCACACCGTGGAAGTCGTCACGTCATGTCCAACAACTCCAACAAGTCACTGGCTGTATCGGCCGAACCCACAAACAGCTCGCTGTTCTCCAGCATCGCTTCGAGCTCTCAGCGCGCACTGATAAACCTGCTCCGAATAGGACCCATACCAAAACATGTCGGATTCATTATGGATGGTAACAGACGATACGCCAAAAAGTTGGGAGTGCAGACAAGGATTGGGCATGTGGTTGGGAGCAAAAGCTTGGAGAAGGTATGTTGGAGGCTATAGCAGCCGAGTTGCCGATGAACACCTACTGCAAAAGTCACGTGATCTCCTCTACGCCCATCACGAACCTTTTTCCTTTCTAGACCCTTGAATGGTGCCTTGACCTCGGAATAAATGTGGTGACAGTGTATGCATTCAGTATCGAGAACTTTAAACGACCACGCGAAGAAGTAGATGTTTTGATGGATTTGGCGTGCCGAAAGTTTGAAGAATTTAGTAAACACAGGTAGAGTCGCGATTGACCCAGCCCTTGCTCCTCGCAGATGGACTTAGACACTATCGCATAGCACGTTTGTATCGAAGCATTCCATACGAATTCGCGTTCTGGGAGACACATCTCTTCTGCCGCCTCATGTCCTTGAAGCTGCACGCCAAGCAGAAGCCTCAACCCGCTATCACACTCGTGCCGTGCTAAACATATGCTGTCCCTATACATCTCGACATGAAATGGCCGAATCTGTAGCTTTGGCCGTGCGTGGCGTCAAAGAGGGACATTTAAGAGTGGATGATATTGATGAGCATCTTTTAGATCGGTTGATGCAGACTGGAGAGGACCCTGAGCTGGATATTTTGGTGAGGACAAGTGGGGAGAAAAGGCTGAGTGACTTTTTATTGTGGCAGGTAAGTTTCGAAAGAGGATTTGTCACGTTTTAATGGCCTGTATATATTGAAGCAATTGGTTAACTCGACAGGTGACTAAGGACTGCCAGGTTCATTTTCTTGATGTCCTCTGGCCGGAATTCAGCTTTTGGAATATGCTTCCCGTTCTTTTGTCTTACCAGGCAAACTACACGCGACGCCAGGCAGCCCGGATTGCTAGCATTGCTCCTTCACCGGCACGAATAACCTGGCCGGGCAGTTCTAATCCCGATGACCAGGCCGATGGCACAGAGGATGAGGAGGCGCGGGGTGCTCGTGTGGAGCGTTACTTGCAGTTACTTAGAGAGGAGAAGATGGCACAGTAGAGCTGATGTCATAGGGCTGTTTGTGTCAAGTGGTAGCATAGGACTATGACCGCCAGCATGACAATAGCGTCAGTGTTGGCCGCCCCGTCTAGATAAACTTGATTTTTTGTAAATAGACAATTTTTAGATAGAATAATGCATAGCGTTCTATAGGTCGGCTCCAGTATTACAATTTGGTTACTACAAATAGTGCTGCACACCTAGGTCGGAAACTTATTGGAGGCAGGCGAGGATGCCCGTTGCTGGTAGTTCTCTATAGGCGCATAAGCAATGAATATAAAGATCTTCCCAAAATGAAATAACTACAACAGTACGAGTGACAAACTAAAACATGATCATTAAAGATGCAAGGAAACCGGTTCCTAAGGTAGCAAGGGAAGGAGCGCCAACTTTGGCGTAGCGCGCAACCGTCGCGGCGTCTATCCCAAAACCACCTGAGCCGGTTCCACTTGTATCAGTAGTAGGAATCCATGCTTGAAAGGGACTCTTACTGCCAGTTGTAGCAGTCCCGGTTCCCGTTTCAGTCGACGAATTCAATCCAATAAGCTGGGCTTGCACGTTCGGTGTCCGGACGGCGAGCGCGAATCCCGTTCGATTCTTCCCCCAGTCAAATACAGTGTAAAACTTTCGGAGAAGACTGTTGCCCAGAATTCCCGCAATGAGCGGACCATTCACAGTCACTTTCTGAGCGACAGCATCGTTCCCAACGAAAATCGAGAGACAATAGTTGGGCTGGTTATTTTTCGGTATATATAGCACCCACTCGTGAGGTTCTAGGGTTAGACTGACGAGCCCTTCTTCTCCAACAAACGACAAGGTCACATTTCCTAGTGTGTTGAGATCACACCATCCAGTATAATATTTTCCACCCGGCCGAGATGGATCGATGGAAAAGGCTGGAAATTGGGCGTGGATATCGGCGGCCACTTTGGTGGGTACCACCGACATGGAAGTGCCAGTATCAAAGACGGAGAGAAAATGACCTTGTGACCAACTGAGAGGTGTAGTGGTGTTGCCCATTGTAACAGACCCTGCGACGGTCAATCCTTGGAAATAAATGAACGGGCCACCGCCTCCTCCGTTGCTTGCAAAACCAAAGCTAAGACCAGCAAGAAGACTATTATGAGTACCAAAGCAAAGGGAAGTAGCCTTCTTCCATTGTAGTCGCCATACCTCGGGACCCATTGGAGAGTTCCCGTGAAACGAGCTGAATCTACTCCTCCCAGGGTTATGGAACCATCTGTGTTTGTACTATCGATTACCCATCCCATCACTGGGGATGTTACTCCACCATTTTGGACGAGCGTTTGAAACCAACTTTTAGGTTTGTCCACAGGTGGCCAACACATCCCCATGATAGAATCGTACGCAGCCCCCAAACTTTCATTCGTGTCAGTGACCTCCTCAAAAGTTAGACCTTGAACAGCTACGCTGCCTACTGAAACTTTTTCCTTAGCGTACACGCCTTGTACTTTAGTTCCATCAGCGTACGTAATTAGATCGGCTTTCGTGTTTGTGGAGACGTAAGAGGAAGAGAGGTCCCCATCGTATTTTGGATGCCCTTGACATGCTTGCACGGTGCATAGCTTTGATCGGACCCAGAATTGGTAGGAGCCGGTATCAAACATGGCTGTGAAGGTTTGGGCAGGTGTGCCGAGCTTGACTTGTCCGAAATACTATTAAAAGCAACAACGCTGTTCAATTACACATTGTGATCCCGCGAAGTATGGAACCTCATAATTACCGCAAAGAGAATGTCGGGATCGTACGCCAACTCATCCTCAACAATTTGTCGTCGTTTCAGTCTTGGTGGTCTCAATTCGCCAGTCTCATTCAAATGTCGTAGCCGTCCCTGATGATCGTCCATCACCGGTGACAGCATGGGTATATGGAATGGTCGATCGAGGGTAGGAATCACCATTTGCGCTTGGGCATCTGAAGTGGCTGGTATACCCCAGGCGGTTGTTCGTAATAGAGCCAGCGTTGTGGCTAGTCTTGCAACTAGCATGATGGGGTTTTTCGCTTCAAAATGCGGTACAGCAAGGCTCTCCTCTCTACATGGAGCTATATATTTGCCTGCATAGTCGTCCAAGAAAAACCATGCCTGTAACATCAATGCCCATTTTTACTCTGTTTGCCAAGCTAAATTTTCAAAGACAATTCCATCTTTACGCCTTTCGATTGTTGCGCCAATGTTTATTTTTGTCAAATCGTATTTTCTATTGTTGACGTGATCTCGAAGCATGCATGATCGGCCGACCCCTCCGACGCTTACGTAAGGCTGTCACGTGGACAGGGTGACTCAACATCCCATCTTGAGCTCACCTCAGTTCTGGTTTTGTCAAATCTCGATCGCACAATGCACTCTGCAGTTGGACGTCTGGCAAATATCGGATAAGGACACATTCAGGGCCAATGGAAGCACTGCTGGAACAGGTGTGTAATGGAGTCCGCGGTGATCTGTACTTGCAACAACCGTAGTAACTCATGATCTGGTAGCTGTTTGAGTACATCACTGTGACCGAGGTTCCCTCACAACAGACCCCAGAAGATATCCAAGCTTACCAACAACTGCTCTCGACATGCGTGGAAAAATGTCTTGTTCAACCGGCCGCGGCTTTGAGACGGGAAGGTGGGACGCTCCCCATGGTTTCGAACTTTATGTAGGGTTAGACTAAAGCTGAATACACACAGGCTCATTGAAGAAAACAGAGCTCCGTGGTGCAACAATGACAGTTGGTCTCTTACGTGTTGCAGCCAACCGCGTTCCAGAAATCTTTGTGTTGCCCGTAGAAGGCGGGGTTGGCGGCCAGTCAGCCGGACTGGCAGGTGCTCAGAAAGATTCAGATGGGTCTAAGCCTGCCGGACCTGTTCTTCTGTCGCAATTGTATGCCCCAGCAGAGGCTGGAATGTCTGATACGTTTACGCTATGGCTCGTAGCTCGCTTATTTAATATCCTGGCTAGCCCGGAGCTGGATGGACTGCACCCAGGCGTTCTTGACGTACTTGATGAAGTACTTTATATTGTAAAAGAGGGACGTGGGAGCGATGAGGTGGTCGCATTTACAGCTATTTTTCGAGATATTCTAGATCTATTTAATGGTATGTCCCTCATCCTCCACCATTTCAATCCGACATGAATGATAACACCTGCACAGACCTGCAGGAGCTGGGGATACCCAATAATGAGACAATGGTGCAAGTATCAATATTCAAACACTTGGAACGGGCCAACATTATACCAGCTGTGATCACACAAGAGATTAATTTGCGAGGAGTGCGAAGCTGTAATATTTTACTGCAAAACGTCTACCGATTATTGTTGCGAGTTGTCGTCCACTCTAAATTTGCTCTGGGTGATTGTATTCCTCAACTCTGGGAACTCATTCTTCAACGTCTAGAGTCACCACATGCGCAGACCGGATTGAAGGTTGGTACAGGAACTGGGCAAAGCCTGATCTTGCTTCAACTAACGTATTGGCAGGATCTATTGAACTTGATCGACGGCCTTCAACGAAACGCTTGCCCTGTGCCTTCACTTTTGGCTGAACGCCTTCTGGTGCAGATCGCAACTATCTGTTTAGAGTGTCTTTCCGAGCGCGAAAGTGGGAAGACCGCTCTTCAAGACCCACAGACATCACTGGACGATGCATTTGCAAATTATTTCAAATTTTGCCTAGACTCTTTGTGCGCTCCAAGTAATCTTTCGATATCACTCAGTGCGATCATCAAGCAACTCTTGGAACCTCACATATTTCATCGTATACGATCTTCAACACTTCAAAGCGTCTTGTTACATTTTTACGCCCGAACTCTGCGCTTTTCGCGATACATTGAACCTGCTATGGCTACGGCGCTACTCGACTATTCTGTGGACGAAAGCCTCCGAGAAGCTGCTGCAAGTTGTTTCGATGCCATCTTATTGGGTCCTTCTCGAAAGTTGGGAGAAGATTGTACGATGACTGCTCCACGTCGAAAGAGGAAGCATGGTGACAGCCATTGCGTATCTGCGGATGGCCCCAATGATGAACCGCAATCTAAGCGTCACAAACTTGCAAACGATACATCGCTGGAGGCATCAGCGCATCCCACCAGAAACTTCGTTGCCACGAATGGAAATTCGCCCGACTTGCCAGACTTCAAGTCAGATACAACTGATCTTCTTTTGAAGCAAGGAAGTCTGTTATTGGATGAGCTTGCGTCCTTCGAAGCAGTGGCGCCGAACAAGACACGCTCACTCATTCAAGGATTCATTGCGATACTGGACAAGTCGCATTGCTGTTTTGACGTTGCGAACATCGCCCACTTGTTGGATCAGTTTATACGACATCTTTTGCCCGCTGCGATTCGTGCTGTCGAATCGGCGTCCGTTACTGGCGATCCATCCATGGAGAGATTTGAGAGTGTCGCCCTAGTTGCCTCCGATTTGGCAGCCCTGGCTATATACCCACACCTATGGTCGTCGGACTCCATTCGCGGTTTGTCATGGATTTTGTGTGTCCCATGGATGAACGAACTGAGCACCATAGCGCGTGCCGAATGCTCGGGGTTGACGGATCCACTCGCAGTGGCAGGCAAGAATGCCATGCTCGATTTGAACGATAGTATAGATTTTCAAGTTGCAGGTGTCGATATACCGACTATCACCTCGTTATCTATGCCATGCAGTGATCCTCTGGTGGCAAGGTGCTTGAAATCGATAGTTAGTGTCTCTACTCATCATCCGGATTTGCGATTGTGTCCATGGACTGCCTATCTGGTATCAAAAACGTTGTTACAGCCCATGAAGTACATTGAAACGTCGCAAGTTGCATATGAGTTGTTCCCAGTAGTCGTATCGGACCTTGCCGACAACGAAGGATTACAGAAACAGATAATTGATATGTTGATGTAAGAATGTATCTGCTGTATCTATTTGACTGTGTTCAATCCAACTAACAAAGGTTATTTCCAGCGTACCTGGAAATCCAGACGCCATGGAAAATGTAGCAGGGATGATAGGTTATATAAGTTGCGCCAGGGCGCGTACGTTGTTGAAATCGCACACGTCCAGCGGCCTTGGAAGCCCAATGCGCTGCATGATCTGCGATGGACGAGTTGGCGCGGCACCGTCCTCACCGGTAGTAGCGCAGCAAGCGGTCAGTCTTGAAAATTGGTGGCCATTCCTCCCATTGCTAGAAGATGGTAGTGAAAGTGTACAACAACGATATCTATGTTCTGCTTTACGTTTCATTGCACATGCGAGTATGGACGAGTTGGACTTGAAGGAGTCCTCTTTTACCGCAAAATGCTTGAGTGCCATGTCAAGTCCTCATCGATCCGTTAGGTTAGCGGCCGGCGACGTGGCGATCGCTATATTCACCCGCCTTCAATCCGTTAATCAGGAATATACAGTTTTGTCGGACAATGAGCTGGCCTTAGCAAAGGAGATGAAACGGATTGCAAAGACAAAAAACCCGCATATATTGCAAACTTTTTCCCGGACGATTGGCCGCATCGGGCAGACTGCGGGCGAGGCCCTCCTGGTCATGGTTTTATACTATCTATTGGATCAACTCGCCAATGAGAATGTCATCTTGCGCGCGGTTGCCTCGGAAGAAATACAATCGATTGCGCGAGCACGTAGTAAAACTGTTAGGCAGCTCTTTGAACCCTTCCGGGATGAGCTCAGTGTATATCTCATCGATCGCGTGGAGAACGAACCTAGGATATATCGGACTTGTTTACAGCTTCTTGGAATGTCAAATCAAGAGGTTCTAGAGGAAAGCCTACAGTACATTTTACCCCACTTGGTTGTTGAGCAAGACGCCGACAAGATCCAAGAAATCGCACGTATCTTGAGGCAGTCGTTGGCAGTAATGCTGGTGAACGAAGGCGGTAACATCCTTCCATTCATTCTGATGCAAGGCAAAGACTACAAAGCAACTTTGAACTTCTTTTTGCAAATGATATCAAAGTCTGTCGGGATTTCCAAGCTACTGAAGTCTTTCGCTCTCACGTTGATTATCAAGCTGACGATGGAGCTTGGTGCAAGCAAGTCAAGCCGGAGCAGGGTATGTTACAGGCTGATGACATGACCGTGTAGTCAGTATTGACCCAAGGTTCTAAGGCAGAAGGAGCGCTAGTGGTTATAAAAACTGTGTTGACAAATGATCTCCAAGAAATTCAGGATTCGGACCGCCCTGCTGTAAACTCCCATGTTGGGAATGGACTATCCGGCTTCCTTCATTCTTACATTCTGGGAATTCTGGAACATGTAAATCAGAACATATTGGATATTGATAACCGTTTGTCTCGTCGGGAGAAGATAAAAACTGTTCGCAGCTTGACGGAGGTCATCGGTATCATAGGGCCTCTGATAGTGTCTGTGATACCTCAGGTTGGTATGGAAAGCTCATGAGCCTCGTTCACATGGTTTTAATGAAGTAAGTTCATATTAGATCATGGCAACTCTGCAAACAGCGCTGGATATGGCACCACTCCGCAGCACGGCGCTGCAAGCATGGGAGATATTCCTGACGACTCTCGATCCTATCGATATTAGCCCACTCTTGAATCAAGTCTGCATATCCCTATGCAAATTGCATCAAGAGTTCACACCTGAACAAATGTCCCAGGTGATTGCCATTCTTGAATACCTCCTCGTTCGGAACGCCGAGAAATTTGCGTCTGTCCTCGCTGGCATATGTCCGTTGCCTGACATCCCAGATTTCGGGCGTTTTAATTCTGTACTGAAAGAACATCAGGGCTCAATGGACGTTTTACAGCAAATCAGTCTTCTTTTGCCAGTTATATCCGACGATAACGCATCAGTCTCCCGACGCGCTCTGCAAGAGCTGCGAAAGGTCCTCATCAACGGTGCCGAGGAACTGCATGTATGTATTTTAGCAGAAACGGTGGACGTTCGGATAAGTCAGACTGTACGGACTCTATTGGAAGCCTGTCGACGTTATAATGGGAGCGAGTTGGACATCCAAAGATTGTGCTGTGAATGCCTTGGCGCTATTGGAGCGACGGACCCGTCTCGATTGGACGTAGTTATCACTGGTGACACCTGTGCATCTGCTGCTCTGAACAGTGCGGGAGACTTCTCATCTTTCGAGCAGGCTGTTTCGTTTGCATGTTCCCTTATTGAACGGCGATTGGCACCTGCGTGTCGTTCCACTCGTGACACTAAAATGCAAACCAACTATGCATTTGCCATTCAAGAATTACTACGCTTTTGTGGATTCACGGCGGATATTGTTGATGGCGGTGTCAAAGCTAAATCGACGACAGGGAGGACCGAAGAAAGCAGTACGGCGCCACTTCTCCGACGAATGTGGAATTCTTTTTCGAGGACTGTTGTTGCCACCATCAGGCCTCTTTTGAATGCCAAATATCAGCAAACGGTGCGAGGTACCACATCAGCACCACTTTCCTACCCACTGTTCTTGTGGCATGAGACCTTCCGGGATTGGCTGCAGACATGGACTGTAGACTTAATCCGAAAGGCAAATGGACAGCGGGCGCAAGATATATTTGGTGTGTGCAAAAACGTGGTCGTGATTGGAGACATCAATGTAGCGCAGTTTATTCTTCCACATCTTGTTCTGAACATTTTGGTCGCGGGAAAAGACGATGTACGTGATGAGATCTACACTGAATTCATTTCCGTCCTGGAAGATGTACGCAATAGTCGTGGGAAAACCACAGAGAAGAGACAGTTAAGCAGTCAGGTGCTATAGAGTGCGTTATTTCCACTATTCTATTCGTTTCTTAACGACCATCGGCAATAGATGATTTTCTCTCTCGTAGATCACCTTACTCAATGGCTCCGCTTGAGGCGTCAAGAAGCAGCGAAGCGAAAGGCAGCACAAGCGCGCCGGCAGGGCCGGTACATGAATGTGGACGAGACGGACGTAGACAAGGACCCGTCCGCGCTTCAAGTCGAAAGTTTCCTAATGCGGATTCCGCAGTCCGTCATGGCAGACGCCTCGTACTGCTGCAGGGCGTACGCTCGTGCCCTACTCCATTTTGAGCAGCACATACGCCAAGAAAGAACAGCTAAAGATGAGACGGCATTGCAACCCCTTTATAGTCACTTACAGAAAATTTACGCTCACTTGGATGAACCCGATGGGATGGAGGGCATCTCTACGAAGTTTCTTACCCCTTCACTGGAGCAACAGCTACTGGAACACGAAAGCGCTGGACGATGGACTGCCGCTCAAACTTGCTACGAGTTGTCGCTACAACAGGAGCCTGATAAGTTGGTCTATCATATCGGATTATTGAATTGTTTGAAAAATTTGGGACATCTCGGTAGGTAGAAGTGATACTCTCTCTCTCTGTAAGATGCTGATTCACACACGTCCAGAAACATTGTTGAATCACGTCAGGGGCACTGTGTTCCGTCATTCACAGTGGTCATCAATTCTCAACTCTTATGCCATCGAGGCTGCGTGGAAGATGGGAAACTGGACCGCACTGGACGAATTCCTATCGCGCCCGTTCGAAGGACGTTTTGAGACTTCCGTGGGAGTCCTGGTGAATGCTGGCAGAAAAGGCGATAAGGACCGGTTTGCAACCGTATTACAAGGCACACGAGAGGCCCTGACTGCAGATCTGGCTGCTGCCAGTATGGAGTCGTATCGCCGGGGGTACGATTGCGCTGTGAAGCTCCATATTCTACATGAAATCGAGGGCGTTTTCGGTGGCCAAGGCTCGAGTACAGGGACCTTACGAGGGAATGCACTGTTGAACAATTGGGATTCACGGCTGAAAATTACGATACCATCATTCCGCGTCCGTGAGCCTATCTTGAACGTAAGGAGAATATTGCTACAGGAACAAACGTAAGTTTGTACGACGCTGCTTTTTGAAAAAAACAACATAGTAAAAGAAACTTATTTCAACGCCGTCCATGTATTTGGCAATTAGCTCGTGTCTAGATGCTCACACGTCCGCTAGTGTCAAATGTGGGCAGATATGGTTGCAGACAGCCAAAGCTTCGCGCAAAGCCGGACATCTACAACCCGCTTACAATGCGCTCTTGCATGCCTCTCGACTGGGTGCACCGCTCGTCCATCTGGAGCGAGCCAAATGGCTGTGGGATCAGAAGCAATCTCATAAAGCTATGTTTGAACTCCAGGCAGTGGTGCAGAAAATGGAAAGTAAAGTGGATTCAGGTGCAAAAGTTTCCACAGTTGGGTCACAAATGCTGCTCTCAGAGCCGTTAGTAAGGGCCAAGGTGCGTTCTAGCCCGTTTTTGCCCAGTGCGCGGTAGTTGAAGTGACGTGCTTCGTACATCCTGTAGACACAACTGCTACTCACGCGATGGATGGAGGAAACCAGTGCCGCTCCGTTGGGCGCTATCCTAACCAAATATCAAGCTGCTGCAAAAGAGCTTCCAGAGTAAGGCTGAGCTTCATTTTGTGCTTTTGTCCGCTTTTTCGTAGCCAATGACGGAACTGATGTTAAACCAAGGTGGGAAAAGAGTGCATTCTATTTGGGACGGTATTTTGACAAGCTGTACGACGCGGATGAGGAGAGACAGAAAGAGCAGCAGAATAAGGGCGACCTGCGGGCAAGGTGAGTATCGTCGGCTGCCGTCTCCTGTAGTCATTCGTTGATCCATCACATCACAGCAACCCCGTTCAACTCGCATCCTTGGCGTACTCTATCTGCCACCAGTACCAGAGGGCACTTACCTATGGAACCCGATATATCTATCAAACGATGCCTCGACTCCTAACCATATGGCTAAACGTTGGTCAGAAGGTCGTTCGACTGATGGAGAATCCGGAGGCAAGGTATGTCCTAAGGAGGCACTGTGGAGGTGGTCCCTGCAATGTAATAATTGTCCAACTTTGACAACAGCAAGGATCCGTGGGTGACCAGGTTCAACCAGATTAACCGACTTGTACGCAAATTAAACGAACGCATCCCAGCATATCAATTTCTGACCGCAATTTCCCAACTTGCATCCCGCATCGGTCACGCGAATTTGAGCGTGCATCAAGTTCTTGAAGCCATCCTCATTAACGTGCTGTGCGTCTATCCTCACCAAACGTTGTGGCAACTGATGGCGGTTGCTGAAAGCTCGTCGCCAATACGGAAGCAGAGAATGAGATCTGTTTTCGCGAAGGTCAAGGTGAGGCTCCAGTGAGAAGTGTTTTGTGGAAATAATGGACTCACTCATATTTTTAAGTCCGACCCGGCTGTAAAACAGTACAGTCAAGGTAGCTTACCCGAGCTAATACAGGTAACCATTAGCGCCCGTCAATAATACTATCGTACTTGTCTGAATTGACAACAATTACTGACACAGGAGGGTCAAGCCTTGACGAAGAATTTGCTCGACCTCTGCAATTTTCCAGTTCAGTCTCGCGAAACCACCTTAAGTGTTTCAAAGAATTTTCGTACTTTAGAGCGAATGGCACCTTTGCGCATGATAGTACCCCTACAATCGACAATGACAGTCACGCTACCATCTGGGAAGCAAAGCGCCACTGCTCATAGGCCTTTTCCTATAGATGCGCCTACAATACAAGGTAGAGAATGCAACCTGACACTACACACGTTGCGGTCAACCTCATTTCTTTTCGTCCTAACTAATTCGTCCTAAAGGCTTTCACGACGAAGTTGAGATCATGAATTCACTGCAACGTCCACGCAAATTGACCATTAAAGGAAGCGATGGTCGGGACTACATATTTCTCTGTAAACCAAAGGATGACTTGCGCAAGGACAGCAGGCTTATGGAGTTCAATTCCATGATAAATAAACTGCTAAAAAAAGATCCGGATGCTCGACGAAGGCGGCTATGTATGCGTGTGCTTTAGGAACGCTTGCCTGTTCTATTGGTAACCTTCTCCCTTTGTTGTAGACATTCGAACATATGCAGTGCTGCCACTTAACGAGGAATGTGGTCTTATTGAATGGGTCAAGAATACCATTGGCTTCCGGCATATTATGGTTACTGCGTACAAAACAAAGAATACATATTGTCCGGTATGCTACCTTTCACAATAATCGCTGACTGTACATACAAACTCACGCGTTCACTAGCCGATGGAGGTGAAACAGCTCATGGACAGAAAACAACCGTCTCCTGAGGAGATCTTCGTCAAAATGATTAAGCCAAAGTAGGAGCATTTCGTCCTATGATGGTTTTAAAGGCAGTCATAGTAAATTCCTTTGTCTAGGTTTCCTCCCATATTTCACGAATGGTTCCTCGAAACATTTCCGGAACCAACACAATGGCTTGCTAGCCGGCTCGCTTATTCTTCAACGATCGCCGTCATGTCCATGATAGGTTACGTAGTGGGGTAAGTGTCTTGTGACAATGTTCATACTCAGACTACAGCGAACCGCATTCTGACCTTCAACATTGTGCTCGTCAAGACTCGGCGATCGGCATGGAGAGAACATTCTGTTTGATGATCAAACTGGCGACTGTGTGCACGTTGACCTGAATTGCCTTTTTGAGAAGGTACTTTACAACTGTACAGGAAGGTGATGTCATTACTCACATATTATATCTGCAGGGATTGACCTTTGAGAAACCCGAAAAGGTTCCATTTCGTTTAACCCACAATATGGTGGATGCCTTCGGAGTAACAGGAGTAGAAGGTATGATACATTTGAGAGATATCTACGAATCCCAATAACGGTAAATATCTTGCATAAAGGCGTCTTCCGAAAGTGCTGCGAGGTCACTATTAACGTTCTGCGGGCGAATCGTGAATCTCTGATGTCAGTTCTGGAAACATTCCTTTATGACCCACTGTGCGAATGGAACAAACCCTCTCGGCGGTCCATGACAGCCGCACCTGTGATCTCAAAGGACGGGGAAATTGAAAATCGGCAAGCTCGAGAAACTCTCGACAAGATAAACCGGAAACTGCAAGGGTATATTGGGGACCCGAAGGATCTGACACTGCCCTTCAGTGTAGAAGGACAAGTGCACGAGCTGATAGAGCAAGCCACGAGTACCAAGAACTTGGCGGTGATGTATATAGGTGAGATGACCATTGCTCTAATGACACACTTCATGTGCTAAGCTTCTATCTAACCGTCGTCGATTCAAGGTTGGACTGCATACATGTAGATTGTAAATTCTGGTAATGGGCTGTCAATATTCACGTTTTACGGACAAACTTGATAATGATCGCAGACAGTCATTGGCACTGCTTGGCATTATATGCAACATTGTAAACATCCCACCAAAAACAAACTATGGTCTTATAGGCGGTGCAAACAAGCAATCCCGATGCTTAGTCACGCGTCCATTGATAGTTGGTTGAACATCCGACAAACAGATATCCGCACGGAACTTATTCACTTAACCACCAAGAAGGGCGTTAAGCGCTTGGTTGGCAGGAGCGGTTTATGTAAACATTATCCTGGATAAGGGCATGACTTTGTAGTCGCACAATATTTGCGTCGCAATCCAAATCTCAACCACTGAAGATTTGCATTTCTCGTATAATAAATATGCTCATGAACGAGTTGTCTCTCCATTTTTGGTAAGGGTGGGCGTACCAAGGTAATCTGAATTCAGTCTGTCCGACCATATGGTATGACCTTACCTAGTCAGCGCTCTTAACGAGGGAACGTCAGCCCTGACGACTGTGTGCTGTGAGATATCAGATCTCTGCGAACCGTTGGAATGCCTCGGAACCACTCGTTCGACGCGAAATGTTGGCGGGTAGACAGCCAGAACGGAGAATTTCCGTGCTGCTAAAAACGGCCGTGATGATACTATAGTACCTTACAACGCCTCCCAGTTCCCTCGATCATTTTTATTTGAGCATGCGATTAGTCACTACGCTGTTCTCAGAAGAGCAGACTGGACTTGCATTGTTTCCGAATGACCCGCCAATTTACCGCGAACCTTGGAAACCTACATAGTGAAGATCCTCAATGGGATATTCTTTCACTTGTGAGATTTGATAGGGCCTCTGTCTAAGACTAATTGCCACCAAACAACTCTACTCTCCGTTGTCACCTCCTCCTCTGCTGGTACCATCTGCTGCCGATCTGAGGCATAAGGATACCGAAGCATTGGTTCACTCTTCGTCGTGAAGCAACACCGCCAATGGCCGACAAGGATAAGCCGGCCCCGGCAAACCCGAAACTGCCCAACCTTTCTAATGGCAGGAACGCGGCATGGAGCAGCTCATCCGAGTCAGAAAAGCCGAAAGAGATCCCAATTGCCGCACGGCTCAAAGGTGAGGAGAGAGGCGGTATGCACCTTGAGCCAGGAGGATGCTTCACGAAGAAGCCAGATTTTCCCGCTGGCGCTGTCATGTAGCTGCGTGTAGGAGAAGAATATGCTAATTTGACCGAACTATCCATCTTCATAGGGCCAGGTCCAGCAGCTTACAAATTGCCTTCGTGAGTCTCAGTCAGTATTACTTCTCAGACTGATATCTAATAAGTCCTCTCTTTTCTAGTACAATTGGAATTAATGCAAAAACCATGAAGCGGGCCCCTGCTTACTCCTTCGGGATCAAGCTGCGTTACGAACAACGTGAGTTCTGCTTGAACCTGAGTTCTCTGATCTGTACTGATTATCATAAAGCGAATCCTCATGAGACGCCTGGGCCCAATGTTTTCTTTCCGCAAACCACACGAGTTGGGCGATCTCAAGGTCCTGCTTTCTCATTGCAAGGAGGATACAAAAAAGCGCGTAAAGATGGTATGGATAATCTTACCGGTAAATTCCACATGCTTCATGCCGGATTTCCGGAGAATAGATGTCAAATGCTATAGCTAACGTTCCGCGTCTTATGGAAAATGCAGATGCAGATACTCCCGGTGAGTGATAGTACCGTGGATGGCAGCGTTACGTAAAGAGCACTGGTGATGACCATGCCCCGTAGGTCCCGGCAAATATAATCCCGCGTACATACCCTCGCGAGAACCCAAGGCGCCCGCATATAGCATCGGAGGTCGCCGTCCGACAGAACGGCCGAATGACAACCCAGGACCAGCCGAGTATGCCGTCGCACCTACATTGGGCGTTCATCCAGCAATTACAATTCGGGCGGCCGCCGCATACACTATTAAACCACCTCGACCGGTGAAGCGTACGTTATATTCATCTTGTACCTTGCATATTGGGGTAGATAAGCTAATGGGCTGCCAATCCTTCCAAATATAGTTGAGTCTGTATCCCCTGGACCTGCAGCATATTCTCCACTTGACCCCTCAAAAATCAAAACTGCTGCACCTGCGTACTCACTTGGATCGAGACCCCGTGGAGACTCGGACGGTCCTTTTGGTGGAGCGGGAGGTGCGTGCAAGTTACTTTGCGAGATGGGGGACGACCGTGGCCAGAATGATAGTAAACGTTGATGTCTGTTCTTGGATTCAGAAATCCTTGAAGGTCAAACGGCCGCAGGCAACGCTCTTCATACTGTGACTCCCGGCCCTGGACAATGTAAGCACCAGTACGCTCCTTTGGTTCAACCGCATATTATGCTCATCGGTTGACCTACAGACACTCCTGATGTCAAATTCAGCAAGAGCGCCAAGCCACAGTTCTCCTTCAGGTGCAAGCATTCCGAATATGAGCTCTTCGTACCAGACACAGTCGATGGCGAGTATATCTTTTAGGGATGATGGGAATGTACTTGGATGTAGCTAGCCCCTTTCCTGGAAAATGTATCCAAGATCTTCAATCTTCGTAACTTATCCTCAGGCAGTAAACTCAAGTCTATAACCAGCGGAGGGGTCCGTGTTGATCCAAGATTAAGGTGCTAGCCCAAACAGAACCATAGCAAATAGATGACACTCAAATCCTATATATAGCCAAGAAATGCCAATGTCACGCTCATCTCATCCTCCGGGCCAAACAAGAGCTATTTTTGGACACCAATGCTACATGCCAATACCAGTGTGCACAGTTCGAAGGCTTGGCACTTATAGACCAGCTATCATTTAAGTGATCGGTGGCATTACCAGCATCCCGCCAGCCAAAAGTCTCTAGCGAGGCGGGATTTCTGTTCACGCAGTATACCAGGACAACAACCAAACCAATATTGTCCACAAAGATGCGCACTACATTTCCAACCCTTGCTTCAGCAATTTTTGTGCTATCTGGAATATTAAGCAATTTGCCGGATACCTACGCTTCGCTACAGTCAGGTATGGTGGGAATGTACTTGCAATGGTGGCCTTAGCTTGACTCTTATGGTGTGTGCTCAGATACCCTATACCGAGACTTGCAACATGTGCAACTCTCCCGCCGCGGATTCGAAGGAATCAACACGGCCGATTCTGGTGCAAACCAGTCCCATTATTACGCTGAACTTTCAAAACCCGCTGGGGGGCTTTGGATTTGGACCAATCTTGCCCGACTTACTCGAGTTAATCTTCGTAATGGGCAGCAGCATATTCCCCTTCCACAAGTGCAGAATGGCTCGTTCACATTTGATGGACAGAAGACTCTTATGTATTGCATTGTGAGTACAAATGATGCTTCCAGATATTCACGGTAGCAGCGTTGACATAACGTCCATATTACAGCCGATAATTTGTTTTCTTGGATCACTTCTCCTGACTTTTATCGCCAACTGCTGTGCTGGATGTTGTCTTTGCACCTGCCGTAAACAGCGTCTGGCTCGCCGTCAAAGGGATCCCTTTACAACGAGACAAAGGACAGTTGCTGGCTTCATGCTCTTCTTCGTATACTTCTGTTGGACGTAAGTAACACTTCATCATTTTTCAAGTAACTTGGCGGCTTATATATGTTGCTACTGTAGTGCTGCTGTAATTGGTGGAATGCGTGGCAGTGAATACTTCCATAGAGCTATGGTGATCCTTGATGAAACCGCAAATCGAACATTTGAAGATGCTGACGGCATTGTCGCCAACTTTCAAGTACGCTTGGGGGACGTCTTCGACACACTGGATTCTGGCATCAACAATCTTACCGATCGTGCAGCAAACTTGATTGATGTTGCGCCTCTCCAAAATATTTCGGACCAGATTATTCAACTAGCAGCCAACTGTACCGCCCTGGATAACAAGAAGAATTTGCTTACATTGGAAGCCTCCAGTATCGAAAGTTTCAAAAACTTGTTAACGGCTCCCGCAACCGGGCTTCTATCCCAGCTGATCACCAACATCACTATCGCCTCGAACAAGATGGATGATTTATCCCGTAATTGGCAGCCGGTACCAGGCAATTCCAACTACGCATATAAATGGACTCGCGATCCAAACGCACCAGAACCTGATTGTAGCGAACTCAATAATCAACGAGGCCAAGTTGCGGGTACTGAAGATGCGGTTTCCCTCGTAACTAACGCATTGAGTGGTATACCTGAGCTGTCTGATATCGCCGCGGAAGCCTTGAGCATCGGTGGTGATCTTCCAGGCAGAGTCAAGTCCATTCAAACGCCAGCTTTGAACGGTAGTTACCGTATGAATTGCCCCTTATGATTGTTTAGAAACTAATCATATTCACTGACTTCAGATGTTAAAAATCAAACAAAATCTGAACTGGCTTCCATAAAAGCCGATGTAAGCGTCACATTTGATGATATTGGACAGAAGAGCAACGAGTACCAGGCCACTGCGAACGATTGGATGTTAAAAATCATGAAGTATGAACTTTACAGGTGCGTGTACTGTGTGCCATCAACTGAGAGCTTCTACTTTATTAACCGAGCAATGTTCTACAGACGTATTGCGTTCTTTGTCCTGTTTGGATTGCCTGCCGTTATTTTGATATTCATGACAGGAGGAGTCGGTGGTCGAAGACCAGGACTTGTCAAGGGCTGTCTGTGCGGCTCCATCCCGTATACACTGTTGGCACTTTTCCTGACAATGTTGTTCGTGATCATTAGTATTCTTTTTGGCGAAGGTGGGTCCTTCTCTGCGGTCTGTGTCATGAGTGTGACTTCGTGCTTATCATTGCCATTAATCGACTAGCATGCACTGTTGCATTCGACCGTTCAGATGGCGGGCAGTCACCCCTGGTGTCGTTTATGGGGAATATGACGGGCTCTAGCGACATGATCAGCAAAGCATTCAATGCTCGTGATGCCTGCTTGCAAGGAACGGCTACGATTGACGTTGTTCAGATGTTCGTTACATTGCCAGATGTGGCGGATAGCGCCAACCAGCAAATAGATTCGATGAATTTCTCCAGCGCCCTCAGTTCTTTGGATGTGGAGTGAGTTACAATGGTCTTCTCAAGAGACTCTTACATTCTTACTTACGTATAATCCGCGTTGCTGCATAGTTCGATCATCGGTAGTATGCAGGACCCATCATCGGCCTCGTCGAACGCTGGTGCTGCTGAAACTCAAGTGAATCAGTACAACCTTACTGCCATATCTACCATGAAGGACGCTGTAGTGCTTTTACAACAGGCCATCGGGCTTGCCATTGACCAGCTTCAAGGAAACGGAACTGCTGGACCTGATGGCTACCGAGTGTTCGTTGCATCCGACATAAACACCAACTACACGGCAGATAATGCAGCTCTCGACGCACTGGCAGCAGAAGTAGTTGCTCTGAGAAACCAGTTCCTGGGGTTCAATTCATCACTGAGTGTATCTCTCACTACCTCCACATCTATCCAAAATTCGTACAACACTATGAAGTCCACCGTAATTACAATGGTGAATATTTCAAGTACCATCGCAAGCGCGTTCAGCACACTGAAAACCAATATCGGGACGTATGTGAACAATCAAACTCAGGCCATTAACGCCTCGATTCCAGACCTAAAGGACACTATGAGAGCAACGGTCAATACAGCCCAAAACATCATATACGGTGACTCAAGTAATTGTAAAGAAGTAGCAAAGGATACTGTGGATATCCAAATGGCTGTGTGTGACGGATTGTTGACCGGACTGGACGCTATTTGGTTCGGTTTCTTCATACTTGGCTCAGTGGGTGCAATGTCCGTTCCGATCTTCATCTCGGCTGCCAATATGCTCGCGGACAGGGATGCCACCAAACCCAAAGGCGACAAGAAAAAGGGTGGTAAGAAGGGTGGTAAAAAGGATAAGAAAAGCAAAGGCAAACAGGCTAAAGGAAAGGGCGAGGATGATGTGGAAGCTGGACAGATCAAATGGACCACTCCCAAGGCACCGAATACAGACGTGAGGATTGAGAAATCCAGTCGCATGGACGAGCTGGAGTCGCCAAGAGACAGGAAGACCGCAGAAGGACCAGATGGAATGTATCCAAGCCTCAGCAGCCTTCCACCCAACTATGAGGAATCCTTCTCGTCCCCGTCGCACCTTGAACACCGAGAACCAAACCGATCAAGAGCTCCCTCCCAGCGGGCATACGAATTTCCTGTTGAGGACATCCAAGAAATGCGTCCCAGCTGGCTTGGAGCATCCCTACCTCCCGGGGATGTGGAAGTCATGTCGCCAGCGTTCTCCCCTCGTCACCATCATCCCAATGTTCCCCTCCCTCAATCTTACGTGAGCAATCACGGAGAGTACTTGGAGCCAGCTCAACCATTGATCCGTCACGGAAGCAATGCTTCCCACGGTTCAAGGCGTGCCTCATACGTCCCGCATCAGCCAGTGTATGATCATGTTGTCGCCCAGTTGTCAAAACGCATGAGCGCACAACAGTTTGATTATCCCGAAAACCCACACCAAGAACAATATTCGCATGGCAGTGGGCATCATTCACACTACGGCAGTGATGAGGAGGAGCAGTATAGGTGAACGAGCGAAGAAGTCTACGAGAGAGTGTGGGATTGGGGAAGGGAATGTGGGGGTGCATAAGGTGGAGCTGGGATGGGGAAATCCTTTGTTAACTAACTTAGCTGTACGTTGAAAAGAAGATGATGATCGCATAGTTCAGTTAATCCGTAATCATATCTACATCTCGACGGATCTGTTAAACGGCAGCCACATGAATTCAGCTGTCCTTCCAACCACGACCAAACATCCTGGTCACATAGTCCGGAATCAGGCAAAGTAAATGCTACCATGTTTACTCAAAAAACTTAAATAGCTGAGACGTGTGACGAGAGCAGACCACGCTGTTGGCTGCAATCCTGTTGATTATTCAACATTCCATATATCTTTACTTGATGACATGAGCTACAAAAAAAAGAAAAAAGAATAAAACGTCCAATTGTAATCGCTTCCGCATCGTGATGGCGCAGCCCCACCCATCCATGTACACCGCACTAGTCGTACATACACCACCATGACCTGATGGCATCAGCTTGAAGCCGAATGCACTATCTTCTCCCAGCCAACGCACTCAATACTTGTGCCCGCGAAGTCTCTGCCCATTCTGAGATATATGAAAAACCTCGGAAATCGGCTTGATCCGCGGCCGAGAGGACTGAGTTGCACGGTGTGAGCACCGGGCTCTCCCGTGTGAATTCCTCGTCAAAGTTTGACACATCCTCTGGTGACGACTGGCAAGAGCACAAAATGGAATTTGTAAGAATACAAGACCAGAAGCATGCACGTATCGGATTCAAATGCGAATGCTTACGATCTTGGGATAATATGGTGGCGGCAGTTTCAGTTGCAACATTGCATCCCAATCCACACCCTTGAAAAATGGATGCCGTTTGATGTCCTCAGCATCCCCCCTCCCCCCGCCCAACCGCTTGCTTGGGTCCTTTGTCAATAACTGCATGCAGCTGAAGTAAGTTGCATGCCCTCGTAGTGAGACGCGCACCGGAACTGACCTTTTGCAACAGTGAAACCGCATCCTTGGCCATATTCACTGGGTAGAGAATCTCATCCTCTAAAATTGCTTCGAAAATCTCTTCCTCATCCTCTCCTCGGAACGGAGACTGGCCCAAGAGCATTTCGTATATTAGAACACCAAAAGCCCACCAATCCACCGCTCGCCCATATGGCTTATCCAGAAGAATCTCCGGCGCCATGAACTCTGGCGTTCCGCAGAATGTGCTGGTAGTAGCACCATACGGCATGTTTTCTTTGCAAAGGCCGTAATCAGCAATTTTGATATGACCGCCGAGCGAAAGAAGAATATTGTCGAGCTTGAGATCCCTAAACAGAAAAAGCAATTGATATCTGGGCAAGGTATGGTGAACGAATCGACGCGATAACTACCGATAAACAATATTGTTTCTATGGAAATATTCCAACGCCAGTAGTACTTCAGCGGCATAGAATTTTGCCCTCTTTTCTGAGAACTGTTGATGCTGAATGTGCCACATTAGGTCGCCACCTGAAACGTACTCCATAACGAAGTAGATGCGTGATTCAGTTTGAAAACAGGAATGGAGATTCACAAGGAAGGGATGACGCTCGGCGTTTGCAGTGAGGAAAACTCGCTTCTCCGCTTTGGTGCTTCAATGTCAAAAGCGGCGTTAAGGTGTGCAAGATGTTCATGACATCAGGACCACGACAATACCTTTCTACTTCATCGTTCTCGATGATAAATTCTTTCTTCAAGACTTTGATGGCATAAAGTTGATTGCTATACCGCTCGCGGGCAAGTAATACCTGAAAGCGATGCCGATTCAGGAAGCGTTCCAAACTGGGAAGTTTCTCAGCGTACCTTTCCAAAATTACCCTTCCCTAGAACAGCTATGAACGTGAAATCATCCAAGCCAATGCCCTTTGGTCCAGCGCCGCCCACTACACTGTCGACTCTCGTGTTTGCTACTGCAACAGGTCCGGCCGGTATCGTCAGCCGATCACCAGCCTGCAGCATTGCGTTAGCGGAATCGGTTCTGGAGGGAGCTGCGGGCTGCTGCTGCTGTTGTTGCTGTAATTGCTGTTGCTGGAGCTGTTGTTGTTGCTGCTGCTGCAGTAGCTGTTGTTGCTTCTGCCTCTCCATCTCCGAGCGCATTACCCCTTTCTCCTTCCGTACACGTTCTGCCTGGTCAATGGCAGATTTCATTTGATTAATCAACTGCGGCTTCAGCCCGCAGAAGTTCGGTACTAGGTGCATGCACTCCTTGTGGCAAGTGGCGCTGCATTCGGTGCATCGTAGGGATTGTTTTTTGCCAAAAGGCAACATATATCCACAGTGGCAGCACCAGCTGGCAGACATTCCTGTCGTAGAGGACTCGAAACGGTGTGGAATGCGATGTTTCAAAAGTTGGTTGTATCCGGTACCATTAGCGTCGGCATCTTCGTCCTGGCAGACAGAGAGTACTGTGAGAAAGACATGATGTGACCAAGAAACTACGCTCCGTTCCATACCACATCTTCGTTCGCCTTCGTTATACATTTTGTTAAAACGCGATCTTGGCATTTCTTATGGCATGTGAATTTGCACACTGCGTGACGGGATTTAGTACACTTTCTCTAGTAAGAAACAAGAAACTCCGCCTTACATTGACACTGATACCCTTGAGCGCTCATGAGGAACTCTCCACAGACAGCACACTTCATGACCTGATAAAATTGCATGGCAACAAATTTGTGACCTCTTTTTGGGAACACCTTTTGCACTGGCTTGCGTCGCAACAAGCCGTCCTTCTTCATAACGGAAACAAAAAGGTCGAGTCAGTTCGTGTGGCAAAATGCAATATTTCAGGGTGCTTACCCGTCGCTTTGCTTTACTGGACTCTGGAACTGAAAGAGATTGTTTAGTCAGGAAAAAAATTGCAGTACTTCGAGGTTCTGAGCGGGAGCATACCGAAGTTGAGTTTTACCAGCAATTGGCCTCCTGGCTCCATCTCCAACCATGCTTCGACCCCCTCTTGATGATGATGTGCAGGCGGGTGCTGCCCGTCGGAAATGCTGTCTCGTCGGAGGCCTACTGTATGTGCACCACCTGCAACGCTGTGCGCGCTATTATCGCGTGGCAAGGACGGCCCAAGCGACCGCACACGCAGTTCCTCTTCCAACTCCCACAACTTGAACCATAACAAGGCGAGAACAGAGGATCCCTTTTCATAAATAGCGATCTCCACCTCTTGTGCTTTATCAATTGGGATATCGAAATCGTCATTCCATTTCCCCCGCGACGGTTTCGATTGTGCTTTCTGAACTCCGTCAATTCGTATTGATGCATATGTCTCGCTTTTTGCGCTTTTCCTCCCGGGTAATCCAGTTGCCGCAACTAGACGAATTTTTAGCCGTCCAGTTGCTGGTCTTCGCATGGTTTTTACCGATTGACCGGATGACGATGGTGCAAGACCCGATGTATTTTCGACATCTAGCGGAGCTTCTCGTTTTTCCTCATCTTCTTGCACATACAGACCTTGGTAGCGTTGTTGGGCCTTATGAAGAATGGCAACCTTTGCATTCGCCTCAGCCATCTTCTCTTCCACCTCCAGTCTTCTCTTCGGATCTGCATCAGAGTCCTCCGCCAATGCTTGGCGCATCCGTTCCGTCCCGGTTTTGACCTTCTGCTCCACATCTAATTTAAATTTGACCTCCTGTAGCTTGTATTTTACTTTTTCGGATGTTATGGGAGTATCGCGTCTAAGGTAATCAAATTGAGTCAGGGCATGGCCACCGCTACCACTTGAGTCGGGAGCTGCGATGGAATTTAAAGAGCTGCTACTAGAAGCTGCAGTGCTCTTGGGTGTGCTATGCCCCGACCTTCCGCGTACCCCGAATGTATTAAGAATGGCTCCGAGCATTGTTGCTGTCAGGGACATTCTCCCAGTGCGGTTATCCCCATAGAAAGATGGTCGTGCACTTTCGTTGAATGCTGTTTCCTGGTATGACCCAGGATCTGAGTTCCTCTTTTGCCGCATCTCAGCTGCTGAATGTGAGAAATCCTCGGTTTGAAGATCTCCGGAATCTAATCCACGTATGCCGGAGTCGCCGCTTTGTACTCGTTTTCGAGATTCCAGTTTCTGTAGCTCTCGATTGAGGAAGTCAAGCCGGCGAAGAGAGTCAAACACATTCATCTCGCATTGCTGTAATGCATTGGGATCCTTCAATTGCTGCAACATATGCTCCGCTCCCTCCTTACATTTCTTCTCAATTTCGATTTTGTTGCGCAAATCGGCGATTTTTCCGTCTAAGTCCTAAACAATGCATACTAGTCAGTCCAGTTACAAAACGAGAGCGCACAATGTCGAACGGAGAGAGCAAGTCCATTCTCTCTGCTTGATACAACGTGCTAACGACGGCTGCTGGCAGGGGCATAAGATTCTCACCATGACGAACTACTTGGCGCAACGGCCAAGCGAAACTTGTAAAATAGATGCCCAGTTAAAATTGATTCTTCTGTTACGTTTACCGACAGGGGACCTTCTAAGTGAACAAGAGGAATTACAATGTCAGTATAGCAGCCAGGTCTTGGGAATCTAGGGCATCTCTCAAAGCAAAGAAAACCAACCGGCCAATCCTTCTCACAAGGCGCACCGGGCTGTCAGGATATGTATGAAAACGATCCGGTTGGGATCCTTTAGTTCCTTCGAGAAAAAGGAAGTCTAAAATATGACCAACGGCATGGTGAATACTTTTTGGCACCATAATGAGCCTGTGGAATGTCTTTACAACCTACACTACGACCAGACTTGCTCCAAACGGGTTCAAGTATGGCGTCAGTAGGATCCGTGGCAGGTGTTGTGGAAGGAATTGGCTGCTAATGGGGGACCAAAAATGGTTGGAGGTCGATGGCATCCGGACCAAGGTCAACCTCTGCGGCCATCTTCCGCGTTTTGGCTTTGTGGGCTAAGCCTCATCTCATGTGAGGCTGACATCCCGTCCCCGTTGGGGGCAACAACACAAAAGCGTTGGGCTACAGGCTGAGTCTCCAACGTCCTTTTGTCAGATGTTTGCACTTTTGTACTTGCATCAACATAATTCTTAGCAGTAAGGTTTAAAACCGGAAGCAGCAGGTCACGATAATGGAAAACCGCCGCGGCTTTGGGCTGCAGAGTTGAACACGTTGGTACTGATTTGAAAACGTTGATGACCATCTCGGATGTGTTGACTTAAATATTCTTGTACCAGCTCTTAAGGAAGCTGTGAGAGCCAAGGAAGCAACAGCGAATGGGTTTGATTTCATTGATGGTATTAATGACCAAGCGTCCCAACCATGTTGTTAGTATGACACCGCCTAGGAGAGTTCCCCAAAAAATTGAGAACTGTACCCCCATACATCTCTGTATCCTGGCCTACCTGTTATCTTTGATACTAGGAGTATGGTTGCCATGAGGCATGACGACAAAAAAGGCGTAGCTTCTAAATTCATCAATCTGCTATTGGAAATATTCCCGCAACAGAAGATTGATATCGGACAGTCCGTGTCATGGCGCTACGGTCTCCGCTGGGCATCTGCTGCGACCGAGCAAGAAGAACCAGTACATGACTTTGCTCAGATGTTTTACGCTTTCATGTTCTGAGCAGGGACCAGGCCGTGATTTTGAGTATTTGCACGTATTTACGAGGGATGACTCTTTAAACAAAAGTGAAGACAGTGCAGGTGGAAAACAGTTGCTGCGAGTAGCTAATATGTGGGTGAGGTGATGGGTGTCCAGCTGAATCTGCTGCTCCAATAACCCTGTTCCGCACGTGAGATCACACCATGTACAGTAACGGAAATGGCACCAAATCCCGGTATTTCAACGAATTCGAAACAAAATAGGCCGGCAATCCTTCTTGACTTGTACCACACCCGACATAATGCACTGCTGGAGGACTATTAGCATTGGTGGTCCAGAGGTGCCAAATGGATCTCTTCGCAATGAATCTCAGTCCTCTGGCAGACTCTGACATCGTTGATTGGGGAATTCAAATTTCTCGATCCTACAATCTCCAATGTTTGACTAGCTGTAAGTTTACAGACTGGACGATATGGAAGGATTAAAAGGTGCAGTTCAACAAGATATGATCAGCATTAGAGTGACCATTGTATCAAAACATGGGCGGCGAGCTCAGTCATGCGATCCAATGTTGCTATACTGCGGCATCCAAAAGAAAACGTTGATTGGGTTAGCCCCACCATCCAATAGGGAGACGATGTGACACGAAAGGTGAGGTCCGACATGAGTGACCATTATAAAGCAGCTAATGTATCTCTTTGGCATCTGGTCCACCACAACTCATGGATTTCACAGTGAGAGCGACGGGAACGACACTTTTGTCTTTGATTGAGCCTATCACCATACTTCAGCGTCGCCAGTTTTGATGAACATTTCTCTAAATACACCTATGCATTCCATTACGTTGCCCCATTTCTTGCCAATTTCAGCATACCCCACAGTGACAGTCGGTTGCATGTATTCCTAAGATGGAGTTCAAAGCTCATCGCTATCGCTAAAGAGTGGCCATTGGTCCCGATCGATTACCTAACACGCGGCACTCATTTAACCCAAAATGGATGGCATCCGAACACGTAATCTATCCCTTTATGGATAAAAACAAATTCCAACAGCCCTTCCACCGACAGGCGCTTGCAGCCAAGCCGTTGTGACAAACCACCGCTGTCGATCTGCATTTACTTTTTTTTCTCCATTGGTTTTTTCCGACGCATCGGCAGGTTAACTCACCTGCGCTTCACCATTGGTTTACGGACTCACAAGAGCTTCACATTCACTCGTACGTCGGGTTTCTGTCGAGGGGTTACAGAGGAAAGCCATTCATTGGAAAAGGAACACCTTTATTGCGGCCAGCGTTGCACACTTCGCCATTGTATGCACTAGTGAACTTTGGTCTTCCCTCTGCATTATTGATTTATTTATCTTTCATCTTCGATATATTGTAGTAGGAGAGGACCCTTTTTTTGACGTACTCTGGAGAACTTTCGGTCCTGTGCTCTTGTGAAAGTACGTATGGAGTTTGCAGTGAGCAGTTTTGGCCATTGCTCATGGCCAACCATACTCATTTCAGGAGCCACGACCTTCCACTCGCTCCCCCTCATCCGCTCACATTCACCCAAATCATGTCAGAGGACGGTGTAGTCGTGAATGGTTCAGGGTCACAGCATCGAACGGTGAAACTCACAGGTACGCTGGAGCCGTTCGATTCCTCTCGAGCTTGTTCAAACTCACCGTTTGGTACCGGTACAGTCGTAGCTGCAGACGGTTTATGTAAACGGGATGTTTTTCGTAAGTTTTACAGATTTATTAGGAGGGCTAGGAACTCAATTCTTATTGGGGTGTGCTGTCAATTATAGGTTTACCGGATCCGTTTGCTGTCGTTACGTATGTATTATGATTGATGCAGTGCTGTGCTGCTTCTGGCACGCGTTAACATTTGTCGGCTGGTAGTGTTGACGGAGAGCAAACACATACTACTTGTCCTGTCAAACGCACGCTGAACCCATACTGGAATGAAAATTTTGATATGTAAGGCTGGCTCATCATCCGTACACCGTTGATCTGGGTCTGAATATTTTGAATTCCAGCTCAGTCACAAACAACAGCGTGATCGCAGTGCAAATTTTTGATCAGCGAAAGTGGAAGAAAACAAAAGACCAGGGATTTTTGGGGGTGGTGAACATATCTATGAGCAACGTGTTCGACGTGAACAGTGGTGGCGATGGTAAGAATCAGACACACTCGTGAGTGAAGCCGTAATGCTTAATCTTATCCTTTTCAGAAATGTTGACACTCGAGTTAAAGAAGGGCAACACAAATGATTTCGTATCGGGCAAGCTCATTGTCAACCTTTCCAGCACAACATTTGCCACACCTGCAGCAAACGGTGTCGGAGGAGCAACACTTGCGGCTCCACCCGATCCTCTGGTCCGGAATGCATCGATATCATCCAGTCATTCACATGCTTCTTCCTCACACGCTAACGGCACAATACCTGATGGTATCACCAATGGTGGTGGGGAGGCCACAGGAAAATTGAATCGTCCCCTATCTACCCAGCAAAATCGACCTGGTGTCGGCTCGAGTTCAGGATCAACCACCCCTTCTCGTACAGGACTATCATCGACAGAAGACGCCCAAGGTCCCCTGCCTCAAGGATGGGAAAGACGCGTAGATCATTTAGGACGAACATACTACGTCGATCATAACACTCGCACGACGACTTGGCATCGCCCAGCGTGAGTTCCTTGCTGTGGAGGGCAGCGCATGAGGGTTTACCTTCACTAACATCTGACACTCTCCCAGTTCTAATGCTACTGAGGGCCAGCAACAGCTAGCGGAAATGGAACGCCGTCGTCACAACAATCGCACCTTACCTGCTGAAGCAACATCAGCATCTCCGACCCCAGCATCTTCATCCAACACCGCTGCTTCTACTCCTTCGACATCTGTCAGCGGTTCTGCAACAGGCCCATTACCAAATGGATGGGAGCAACGGTTTACGCCAGAAGGCAGACCCTATTTTGTTGACCACAATACGCGCACAACAACGTGGCTAGATCCTCGTCGAGTTCAGCAGCAGAGCCGTGGAAGTTTCGGGCAACAGCTCACGCAAGGACAGGCTGCAAGTCAATTGGCAATAGCCCAGCAACAGTCCGTTGCTGCGTTGGGACCCCTCCCGTCAGGTTGGGAAATGCGAATGACAAATACGGGTCGCACATATTTTGTTGATCACAATGCGAAAATAACGACATGGGATGACCCTCGACTGCCCAGTAGTGTGGATCAGAATGTTCCTCAGTATAAGCGCGACTTCAGAAGAAAGCTGGTGTACTTCCGGTCGCAACCGGGTATGAGACCGACCCCCGGATCCTGTCACGTTACTGTTCGACGAAGCAACATCTTTGAAGATGCGTACTCTGAGATTATGCGGTACCCTGCTCCAGAATTGCAGAAGCGACTGATGATCAAATTCCACGGCGAGGATGGTTTGGATTACGGTGGCTTATCAAGGTACTGTAGTTTGCAATAATACTTCAATGACGTATACGCTTACGCTTTTCCTCCTTCGTGATTTAGAGAGTTCTTCTTTCTGCTGTCTCATGAGATGTTCAACCCTTTCTATTGTCTTTTCGAATATTCTGCACACGACAATTACACACTCCAGATTAACCCAAACAGTGGTGTGAATCCCGAGCACCTCAATTACTTCAAATTTATTGGGCGAGTCGTTGGACTGGCAATCTTCCATCAACGATTTTTGGATGCTTTTTTCATTACTGCTTTCTATAAAATGATCTTGAAAAAGAAGATTGTTATGAAGGACATGGAAAGTGTTGACGCAGAACATTGGAGAAGTCTGCAGTGGATGCTGTAAGGGTTTAAAGCAACATGAAATGCTCACAACTGTGCTTGCTCACATGTATTTCATTACAGTGATAACGACATTACCGGCGTATTGGACTTGACGTTCTCCGCGGAGGAAGAAGTGTTTGGTGTTGTGAGGACGGTAGATTTGAAGCCGGATGGACAAAATATCCCCGTCACGGAAGAGAACAAACAAGAGTACGTGGAGCTTATTGTAGAATGGAGGGTGTGTAAACGAGTGGAGGAGCAGTTCAAAGCGTTCCAGCAAGGATTCCATGAGTTGGTTCCTCCCGATTTGATCACTGTATTTGATGAAAGAGAGTTAGAGGTATGTGAAGTGATGATAGTCCTGCCTTCTCGATTTCAAGTTTAATGACACTATACTCTTCAGCTACTCATCGGTGGTATCGCCGATATTGATGTGGATGATTGGAAGAAACACACGGATTATCGAGGATATCAAGAGACGGATGAAGTAGTGCAATGGTTTTGGAAGGTAGGAATGTTTTTTTTCGTATCAGCGTCATCAACAAGTACTCATCTGTACCCCGCTCTCTCAAGTGCGTCCGATCATGGGACTCTGAAAAGAAAGCACGCCTCCTCCAGTTCGTTACCGGTACCTCCCGAATTCCAGTCAATGGTTTCAAGGATTTGCAGGGTTCTGACGGTCCACGGCGCTTTACAATCGAAAAGGCTGGTGAAGGAGAACAGTTACCAAAAAGTCATACATGTTTCAACCGGCTGGATCTACCGCCCTACCGCGGAATGGATATTTTGGAGAAAAAGCTGACAATGGCTATCGAAGAAACTATTGGATTCTTGCAAGAGTAACGAAATGATACGATGAACTCTGTCTGTACGCAGTTTCCACCTGGACAATGCATGCTTTGTCCTTGTTGTCTTTTTTTCTGTTTTATTTGGGCATGTCGTTGGCTTTGCTGTCTGCTTTCACTCTACTTGGATTAATGATTTGCTACTTGTTTCTTTGGAGTTATCGTTGTATGAATGTTGGAGGAATGAAAGGGTTTTGTATGAGATTAATGTATTGGGGTTACGAATATCGACGACGACGTAGTGGCACAGTTGTGCACTTTGTAAAACTGCGCCTCTAGGAGGAATACGCGCAGTCGTCCTCCACCAGCGCGAATCCCCTGTCGCAGGTGAAAGCTTGTAAACTTGGTCGGCATCGCCCATCCATCCATCCATCCATCCATCCACCCGTCGGCTTTCACCGCGAGCTTCATCCTTGCATCAATCCATTGGCTTATTTGCGCTCGTCTGTATCGCACCCAAATCCCCCGATCCACCCACAAAAGTTAGAAGGTGGGTACTCTCCGATGGAATTCGCGATGCAGCCGATCCGGCGATGTGGCGAATGTGGCAATGGGAATTTCGTCGTGCTTGAAGGGACGGTGGTTTGCGGAACGTCCACGAACGCTGGGGACTGTTTTCATCCGGATGTACTGGCCCCCATTACCTGAGGCTACTCATTGTGGCAGCACTGCGCAGTCGTTTCAGGCGCATCGATTGGACAACCCTGTTCTTCTGGCTCTGGGACATGATGGTACTGGCGTGGACCGATTGCAGTGCATGTTGGCCGCATGCTCCATGGAATTGAGACAACATGCAAAGGGATTATGAATGTACTAGGGCTATCGGAATTCCGGCTGTCGTTCGCAAAGGGCCATATCAACACAGTCAGATAGGACATGGCGGCAATATCGTCTTTTGCGGTGCATCATACTCACTCTCCCTCCGCCGCCCATCCTGCTTCCAGTTATCACCATGGCTGAACCCCAGGACGATCTTATTGACTACGAAGAGGAGGAGGAGACAGTGCAACCCGAGGCCCCCGTCCCGGCTGCCAACGGCAAAGAGCTTGCTGGTGCTGGCGGGGCGGATGGCGCTGACAAGGAGACAAAGAAGGGTTCATATGTCGGTATTCACGCTACTGGGTTCAGGGATTTTCTTTTGAAGCCAGAACTTTTGCGTGCTATCGTCGATTGCGGTTTTGAGCATCCCTCAGAAGGTACAGGCCAATAGTTACTGTAATTTTTGACGGTTTGAATGACACCTTTATTGTAGTGCAACAAGAGTGCATTCCTCAAGCAATTTTGGGGATGGACGTCCTCTGTCAAGCGAAAAGTGGTATGGGTAAAACCGCCGTCTTTGTGCTGGCGTCTTTGCAGCAACTTGAGTCGAATGCAAGTGGAGATCCTTCGGTTATCGTGTTGTGTCACACCCGTGAATTGGCATACCAAATCCGAAATGAGTTCACTCGGTTTTCAAAGTACATGCCCGATGTGAAAACAGCGGTGTTCTACGGTGGACTGCCCATGAAACAGAATCAGGAGACACTCCGTAACGACAAGCCTCAAATCATTGTTGGAACACCTGGACGTATCCTTGGTCTTATTCGGGATAAGCTGCTCAACCTCAAGAATGTGAAACACTTTATTCTGGATGAATGTGATAAGATGCTTGAGCAACTTGGTAAGTATCCATTACCGAAAGACAATATTGACGATGGCGGAGCTGTAGCGATGAAACAGTGTGCTCTTAAACCCAGCTCTTCGAAGCTCCGGCACCTAATGTCGGTTGCTTTTGAGATTAAGTTCATTCTGAAACAGCTTCAATTGTCGTCTCTATTGTTTGATGGATGTGATGAATATTGTCTGACGGTACCAATTTCTTCATATACTAGACATGCGCCGCGACGTTCAGGAGATTTTCCGGGCCACTCCTCATCACAAGCAGGTCATGATGTACAGTGCGACGCTCAGCAAGGACGTGCGACCCGTGTGCAAGAAGTTCATGCAAAACGTAAGCTATTTTGTCCTTCCGTTCGATTCAAGACTAGTGCAAGCGAGTCCCAGCCTCCCTATACCCCTGCGCTGTACGTGCCTTCCCTGCGAGAATGGCCGTGTGCTTTCCATCCTTCTGCAATTGCAGGGTTAAGCTGCATCGTGCCGTCACTTGTCATTGTTCACAACTGGTTGACGAAGTAGGGAACGGCCGTGCTGTGTACCGACCGGTGTCAAGTTGCTGGGAGTCGCTTCACCAAGTCGTTTTAGTGCCAACGATTACGTTCCTGACCAAACTTCCTTTCTACGCCTATTCTCTCGCCTGGTTGGGTTTATCTCTTACTTTAATAGCCTCTCGAGATCTACGTTGATGATGAAACTAAGTTGACTCTTCACGGTCTTCAACAATACTATGTCAAGCTAAATGAAAACGAGAAGAACCGCAAATTGAATGAACTGCTAGACAGTCTAGAATTCAACCAAGTCTGCATTTTCGTCAAGTCCGTGCAACGAGCGGTTGAGTTGAACAAGCTGTTGAACGAGTGCAACTTCCCGTCCATCACGATTCACTCGCAGATGCCTCAGGAGGAGCGGTGAGTGAAACTGAAAATCAATTTAATTTGTCAGTGACTGATGAGTTACACTTCTCATAGTATCAACCGGTACAAGAGCTTCAAAGAGTTCAACAAGCGGATTATGGTCGCCACTGACATTTTCGGTCGAGGAATTGACATTGAGCGTGTCAACATTGTAATCAATTACGACATGCCTGACAGCCCCGACTCTTACTTGCACAGGGTGCGAATTTTGACAATTTTGGGCCATTTTCTGGTTGTACGGCAATTGACACTCTGTCATAGGTCGGTCGTGCAGGACGTTTCGGTACCAAGGGTCTGGCGGTCACCTTTGTATCCTCGCAGGAAGACTCAAACGTGCTCAACGACGTTCAAGGACGATTCGAGGTCAACATTACAGAGTTGCCAGATCAAATTGATGTGTCCACATACAGTATGTGCCATGTTTCGATATGTCGCAATATTGCATTGTACTGACCTTGCTTTACAGTGGCATCTTAAATGTGCTTTGATTTTCAGTTTTGTGAATGTTTTTGTATACTTGACGCAAGGTGTGCGAAAAGATTTGATTTGATCCCCAATCATTCAAGTGGTGGAGCAGTGTTGTATCATTCCTGATTGGACGATGCTGTGGGAAATCTCTATCCGGATGTCCCATGTACATTTGGCGTATGCTAATGTTTGCGGGCCCTGTTTTCTTTTTTCTTAATGTAAAAATGTTTTCTTTCGAGGAAGTTGATCTCTTGGAGGCTGTGTAGAAAATGTAACTCGTGGCCGCTGACTGTTTGCTGGTTGACGTTTTTGAAATCCAAAATAACATCGCCGCAGTAGCAACCTTCAAAGTCTCGTTGTGAATTTCCATCTTTCCATTTCGCAGTCTCGATTTCGGTCTTAGTCGCGCGTTCTCTTGTAATTTAACCAAATTTGGATACAAAAGATCTCGCTGCGCCCAGCAACCCGCATTCGAATTTGTGTTGGGTTTTAAAGGGGCGGAAAGTAAATCAGCAGCTGGACGACGACGACGACGACGACCATCTCCTGCTACTGATTGGTCCCGTATCCAGCAGCCGGCTTCGACCACTTTGCATTGGCCGCAGACGAAGGTCGGTTAGTGTCGTTGGTGGATGTAAGCTTGTGACAACAGGACGAGAAATCTCCTCGGTCGTGGCTAGTTGGCGTGGCACAACGCTGCTTCATCCAGAACAGATAGACACGCTCTAGCCATCTTGTCTGGTGTCTGGGAGTGGAGAGGAGAAGAACGTTTATTTTGCGGAGCGTTTTTCCACCTTTTCGGTTTCAATCACGCAAGTTGCCATCCGCTACACGAGGGGCACCGTAGGCGAACGTGTGACCCATTCCGTCAACGGTTGCTTGACATCAAGAAGTCTTTTTCAAGGAGATGAGTGCTTCTGAAAATGCTGTAAAGCTTGAGGCTGTAGGATCCCCTTCTGGGCCTGGGGCGCAGGTGAGTGTGATAGAGTGTGAAGGACTCGTCTGGGGAGCAGATAGAAGGTGGTTTATGGTGTGAACGCGATATGAAAACTTTTCATATAGGCATTGAAGCTTTACTGTAATGGGCTTATTGGATGTAATAGTAGTATCTCGTTGGCTGAACTTTCCACTTGGTTTCTCATTAGCCCGACGTAAACGATGGGCGATACACGTCCGATCACCCAGCACAACAGCCCACAGTATCGGTTTCGCCACTCCCTCCCACACCCGCACTGGGCGAGTCTTCCCCACACCCTCCACAACAGCCGTCTTCGGTGCCATCGCCACCAGAAAGCGGTCAGCGACTTCCTCCATTACAAGCCTCCGAGTATCAGGTCCAGCAACATAGCTGGCATCCTTCTTTTGATGGCACGGTACATTCCCCATCTACGCACCCTCCGCCGACCTTTCAAGCTGCCGTGCAGGCGGCTGTCCAACATTTGCAGCAACATCAACAGCATCCGCACGAGCCACAACAACACCATTGGCATTCTGGATTCGCTGCACCTGGGACACCAGTGACCTCTGCGACTGGTCCCACACCGCCCCACTGGCATGCAGTTTCAAATCAACATCCAACATATTCCCCACCCGAACGCCGCTCCTCAAGATCGCCAAGTCCAGGGTCATCTGAAGTTGTACCCCCGTCCATTCCCTCTACTTCAACCCCACCACCGTCTACAGAACAGCAAGCATCATCTTCATCAACTAACATCGAAGGACAGCCAATCATAAGTAATGCGACAGGTGGCAATGTAGCGCGGTTTCCAAGCAATATGAAGCCTAAGCCGTCGACAACCATGAAAGCAGTCCCAGATCCGGAAGACCCAAATTTTGCCATCATAACGGAAGTGAGAGATGAGCGAACTGGAAAGACACGGAAGATGTTTCGATGCGCGTACCCTGGCTGTGCGAAAGTGTGTAACCGGCTGTACAATCTGAAGTCTCATGTACTTGTGCATACAAGTAAGTTTTCTGAACGTCGCGTTGGACCTATTTTTGTTCCGTGAAGTGACGTGGATATTCTTCTTCTGAAATTCAAAGACAACCGGCCGTTTCAGTGCGATCATTGCGCGATGTCGTTCGCGCGCCGACATGATTTGCAGCGGCATTTGCGATCTACACATCAGAAGCAGAAGGCGTTCGTATGTGATCGATGCGGATTGGTATGTGGCGTATTTCAACCGCAGCGTGTCGTCAAACTTCTTCTTATTGGTGTCTGTCTTTTGAAGTCCTTTACACGAGCGGATGCATATCGACGCCATTTGATCGTTGAAGAAAAGAAACGGACTGGAGTTCCAATGACGGCCGAAGAGCTGCAGTTTGAGGCCGCTACCCATGCGGCCGCGGCTGCAGCTGCAGCCGCAGCAGTGGTAGCAGGTGGGAATGGCGTGGGAGCAGGATCTACTCCGACTCCTCCTCCAGTAACTGGGCCGGCGAATGTTCCTGTGTCTGCTCACTACGGATCGGCATCACCATCGCCAAATCATCACATGCATCACTACACGGGATCCCCCTCCGCGAATGTTGCAGCGTCGAATATGGCGTATCCTACCGCTTGCAGTATACCGTACGTCGCGGTCCCCACTACTGTTGGTGTGCCAGCTACCGCTTTTATTTCACATGGACATCCCCACACACTTGCACATGGGCATCCGGTGTATGCAATGCAGCAGACCGGAACCCAGGAACATAGTCCTTCACCAGGGCCGCCACAGAATGTACAGTCTTACAGTCCTCAGGTCAACGGAAGTGTTTCGCCATCTGCTTCGTAGGTAGGACGCGGATCGAGTTGAAGGAAGGTCCTAGTGTCGCTTATTGTGGGTGTCTTTGGGGTACTTTTGCCATGGAATGGTGAAAGGTTGGCCGTGCCTTCTTTTGTGGATTTAGTCTTTTTATGATATCCCATATTGTGAATTCGTTTGCGCTTGATATTTAGCAATTTGTAATTTGGGTTGATTTTGGATTAAGTTGGCCGAGCCAGTGTAGCCGTGACTTTCAAAAGTTCAACATTGTTTGCCGGACATTTTCTTCGCCATTCTGCAGTTTATCACCATGGACCATGGCATCAACTCGATAGCCAACGTTAGATTAACACAGAGAGTTACTTATTCCAGATATATGAAGCATTAAGAGTTAAAACTATCAGCAATAGGTAGATCATTTATATACACTTCTAAGTCACATATGACGAAAGGCTAGGGCCATTAATGATGTTATTCGCTCAAGTACGCTTTCGACCAAGTAGTTTGGTTGCTATTGCCTTGAAACGCAACTTCTTGCGACGACCAGATCTGATTGCTGGAACAGCGTGGCTCGCTGGGTGCTTCGACAGGTCATTGTCTAGTTTGCCGGCGATACCAGATGCTGGTTCTATCACTTTCTCAGAATCGCTATTGCTGCTTGCATTGCTCGCGGGTGATATCTCGCTATTGCTACTCGCGTCACTTGAAATCGACACTACTGACGTCTCCGTACTTTGGCTGTCACGAGGAGACTCGGCAAGCGATTCGTCGCTTTCGTTCAACTTTGTAGCAATGCGCCCAGGAGGTTGTCGAATGACGACGACCGTCTCTGAAAACGAGACCCAGCGGCTTCCTGCTTTGCTGCCACCAGAGTTTCCGCTAGCCTGTCTTTCGCGACCCGAAGGGTTCGTACTTTCCAACAGGGATGGTGGAGGAAACGCTGCTCTTGCGCTACCTTCCAAATCACCCAATTGAAGCAATGCTGCTGTGATCTCGTTCCCTTCAATGGAAACTTGCGCTGACTCCTGATTACTGCTTTCCCATCGCCCGTTGGCGAGCTCCACTTGTATCTTTTTATATTTACGAGAGTGGCGGAGCATGGTATACATTCGTCGTTGCCGTTCTTGCTCGTCGGCGTCAGAGACGTCGGTCATTTGTTCCCGATGTGAAAGAAGCTGGCTTATAATAGGGTCATTGTGAGTGGGGACTTGGGGTGTATAGTGGGAGGAATACGAAAGGCTGTGGAATGGATTGGAGCAGTGGATACTGGGTTCTTCGACAGACATTAAGGCGGTAAGCAGTGCTAGTAACTGAAACCAAAACGAAAGTGTCTGAAGTCTTTCAAGAGAGAGGAGATGACTACAAAAAGGAGTTGAAATACTTCCAGAGGAAGTATTCCTGACGTCTGCAGAACATTATCTGCCGGGATGGTATAAAAACGACCTGTCCGCATTTATCCGCGCGCTTTTAATAGCTGCATTTCACTAAAAATACGGCATTCTTTACATGAACAATGGCAACGCAAAGCGGATGCACCATTTTAAGTCTACCCTTTCTTTTGTTCTCGATGAATCTGACGTCCGGCCTTTCGGCTAGAGATCCTGATGTCATGGAGAGACAGGACATCGGTTGCTTTCAAGAGGAAAACAAGGGCCGGAGAGTCATAAATGAAAACCAACGTAAACAAGGGAAATGTCCCTTCTGACTTCTTGTTTGCTGTTAACCATGGGTTACGAAACCACTTTCTCTTGGCAAACTTGAAAATGGATCCTAAACTTTATGCCACTTCGTCCAATATTTCCGATGATCTTGTTGTCAATATTGATTCCGCCATGAACCAAATTCGCCGACGTTCTTTAGGTTCTGCTCGCACAGATGCAAATAGTTTGGTGGGGCCGGCAAGTTTGTCGTCCAAACACCAAACATCGAGTGGAGCCAACGAGACATACAAGGAAGGACGGAGCAGCACCGCTAGCGATGCAACGTGCAGTGCATTTGGCTCTTTGGACAACTTGGTCCGGAGTCCCGATGAGACGTCCTCGGATTCCTTGTCATCCAATGGTAGCGAATCTGGGAGGTTGTCACCCACCTCGATTCTATCCTCTTCAGACTCATTGTCTCGACCGTCCGTTGCTAGTGATGCAAGGGTAAGATTTCAATTACCTGGAGATCAAACCAGCGGGACCGGCGGCAAGACTTCGAGTGCTGCAAATCTGGATAACAATGACGCTGGACCAACCTCAAAAAGTGCTCCGCCAGGTGCAGCACCGGCAGGAGGAACAAGCGAGGGAGGGTCACCAGGAGAATCTCCAACAGTATCACCAACAGCTTCACCACCAGAATCACCACCAGCAGACTCATCACCAGCAGTTCCTTCAGCAAATAGTTTCGAAATGTTGAATACAGCAAGACATCGGAACGATAGCTTGCACCATATGCTGATGCAAAGACGATTGCATCAGCATATCTCAACGTCAGACATGTTACATCGCACCGGCTCACTCCCCCGACGAATGGCAGACCCAAACTCTAGCAGTACAAATGTCAATAACGGAAATAATGGAATTAGCCATACTTCATCGACAGGATTCAAGAATCCGTTGCCTACGATTCCTAGCTTCTTTGGACCTGATCTGCCTCCAGAGGAACATACGCACGGCAGTCACCTATCCCGTTGTCTTACATGTGGATCAATGCCAGATGTTCATGATATGCACGCTGGACGACGATATAGCATTAATGGAAGCCTTCACCATCTGCCCGTGCGCCGCTCCAGTGCTTACACATCATCGTCGAAACTTGCGCAACCAATCTCGGCCATGTCATCAGCAAACCCCCTTCCCCATCAGCAAGACATTGAACGTAGCACATCAATGACAGCAGACGAAGTTCTTTCTCTCCATGAACAAATATACGGTGATGCGCCCAATAGAAACACGGAAACCTATGGTGCTGAAACTCCTTTGAAGAGACGGTGGAAATCTACCGCGACCATGTTCACTGGCATGAGCAAAGCCCAGCGCGTGAAAACAAGAGACTTTTTGATGGGACTTGCCAAAGCGTTCGCAAGATATGGGGCTCCGAGCCACAGAATTGAATATCAGTTAGAGCTGGTGGCTCTAGCTTTGGAGCAGCCGGGGAGCTTCGTCGTCATTCCCGGTACGTACCCAGGGCATTATTCAAAAAGATTACCATGCCTGACGCTCCTTCGACAGGCGTCATTTGGGTGTCCTTTGGCGACGAGGATCACACATCATCGACCCACCTTATCAAAGTCGGACAATCCTGGCATATGCACAAACTGTCGCTGGTCAATTACCTTTGCCGTAACCTTATAGCTGGGGAGATTGATATTTTCGGCGCAATCGATAGATTGGCGGAAATTGCCAGCGAGCCAGATTATCCACCCTGGTATGATCTGATTACATGTGAGTCCTGGATAACACTCGTGGAAATTCTTCCGGTGGGCCCTCTGATGCAGATTTCCTAATGAACACATTTAATAGATCCCATGATATCCTTTACGCTATGCTTGATCGGTTTCGGTGCTGGATGGTTGGACGCCGCGGTTTCAGCGGTTTTAGGATTAGCAGTTGGTGGATTCAGCCTTTTGAGCAGTAGTAGGTTCGGTCATTTTGCCTCTACTTGACGCTTTAGTCTTGGTGGCATTTCTTAATGTCTCGTCCTGCAACAGATTTCGCGAGTTTACCCACCTAGTTCCCTTCCTGTCGGCGACATTTTGCAGCTTCATGTCTCGCGTAGTGTTTGCAGCTCTCCGATCTCACCGACCTGAAATTTGTTATAACCATGTGTCGGTGGTTCTGAGCGGTATTGTCATGATGTTGCCGGTACGTAGTGGGTTATGTTTTTTCCTTTCATTGATTGTCGAAAAACGAAGACCGATTTTCCTTCTCCCGATGTAGGGTTTGTCAATCACTGTATCTATGATCGAGATTGCCACTCGGAATATCGTTTCAGGAACTGTTCGAGTTTTCTTTGCACTATTCCACGGTAGGCCCTTATGTGGGCATGCTAAATGTACCTTCTTGCAGATGATTTACATTTTCTTTGTTGCAGCCATGATGTTGGGCTTTGGTATCTCGACGGGACGAGCTCTCGTAACGTGGGGGCCTGATGATCTCGACACCAGTACACCGGTTTGCCCAGGACCTCTCCACCCACTATGGAATTTCCTTTTCTTTCCGCCGCTTTGTGCCTGCTTTATCCTTAACTTTCAAGCCCGCCGACCGCAATTTCTTCACATATCCATTATTTCAACTCTTGGATGGGTGATGTACTTGGTTCTCTCAATACCACCATCCTTTCAAACCGCTACCGGACAAATTGTACCAAACATTATCTCTGCATTCGCAATCGGCGTGAGCGCTAATATCTACGCCAGATGGACAAAGGATGTGGCCGTTCCGGCCATTATTTGCGGGATTGTTATGATGGTGCCGGGAAGCATGGGCGTACGAGCGACTCTGGGATTTTTCGGATCAAATGCTACGAATGCGGTCCAAGTAGTTTTTCAAATGTTGATGATCGGGATGAGTATTGGAATCGGCCTGTTTTTGGCGTCCCTAGTAGTTTTTCCCATCAAAGGCACGCGATACAAGGTGAGTCTGGGATGTCATGGCCTGTTTACATCGTATGGAACTCTCAACGATTCCCCTTCTCTAGTATATGACAATCTAGAAGCAACTCATGGGTAAATAGTACTTAAACACTACACTCAAGAACTTTATGTCACTATGTAATTTACAATGTCAAAAAGTTTTGTTATTCTATGCATCTTGCGAGTAGGGAAACGAAGCCCTGCAAAAGATTTGGCTCATCCACGAAAGGTCCCACCGAGATTCGAACTCGAGTCGCAGGATTCAAAGTCCTGAGTGCTAACCACTACACCATGGAACCGCGATAAGGCGACGCACTCATCAAAAATTATAATTCATACTCATATATCTTGTGCAGTTGAATTCATACGTTTATGCGCAAGTGAGATCAACTACTTTGCATGGGAGCTGAACGGCTAGGAAGGTAGCCTGGTATGACAGCGGCTGGCAACGTTCGCAGGCGCAACGGGCACATTGAATTTCGATTTACCCTAAATAGGATAAATGAGATTAATCACGTGATATAATATTTTTGTTTTTGTTCAAGTCGTTTTCGATTAGCAGATTGCATGTAAACCCGTCTGTGCTGTGCTGGCATGCATTAATTGCGAGATCCTGCAGAAAGGAGAAGCCGAACTCAAGTTTCATTGTGCCATATTATCTGTTTGGCGATATTCAGAAGGGGAAGCTTTGCAATACCGGCACCCTGATTTCCATTCTCCCCCGTCCCCTGACTTGCGTTCTTGCGTAAACCCCGACATACGCAGCAAGAAGAACATACATAACTTAACAGTGTGCACCCTTTATCATTATGCCTTCGAAACGTAAATCATCGCAATTCTCCGAGCAAGCGGTCAAGCAGCAACAGCTTCAGCAGGAATTGCACCAAGCGGTGGCTTTTTCGCTCTCCGCTTTTGATAATGACAGTAGCACCGTAGAAGCGAGTTCAAGTCAGTATTTCGCTGTCGTTGCCCAAGGCGTCGATGCTTTCAGGCTACGGATATGGGACACTAGGACGTCTAGCTTGGCGGCCGAACACGTCGTACCAGCCGGTGTGACTTGTACTGCAGTAGCTTGGGGATCTGTTGGCGAGGGCGTGGACGGCGCTGAAAAGAAGAAAAAGAGAAGAAGATCTGGTGCGGCCGCGTCACAGAGTCACAAGGTGGTTGCGATCGGTCTGTCGACTGGGGAGGTTCAATTATACTCGTTGGCGCATGGAAAAGTTGTAAGGACCTTGGCAGGTGCACACACGGCTAGTGTGTCAGATTTTGCATTTGCAGGGGATGGTGTGAAAGGATATTCTGGTGGAGTCGATGGAATAGTGGTTGAATGGGATGTGCGAACTGGAACTGAACTGGGCAGGTTTGTATCAGATGGCAAACCTGTGCGGCGGGTGAGAGTAAGCCACGATTGCACACGCTTGATATCCGCGGGACATGCAATCAAACTTTGGAATATCGGAACACGAGAAGTCATTCGCACATATCCCGGCCATGCATCTGAAGTGATTCGTATACAGTTCAGCCCGAGTGATAGCTTTTGCGTAACAGCAGCGGAGGACGATCGGCATATCAGTGTGTGGGATACAGGCTTAGAAGGCACCAGTGACCATGTTACTTCATTGACGATGGACTCTGCGCCAACAAATATCGCGATTTCTGGCGGAAATCAGGTTTTGGCATTGACGGAAGAGGGGATTGTTTATTTGTGGGACAAGGTTGACCAAAAGGATGGGACAACACCAGTGAAGAAAAAGAAAAAGCAATCAAATCTTGCAAGACCAGCGCAGGGCGTGTTGTCGATTGTTTCGTCCTCGGATAAGGATGCAAAGGAGCGACTACCGATCTTGACAGCCACATTCTCGGACGAGAAAATTCTCTTTGCTCGGGGTAATGTCGTCAAACCAATTTTTGAACGTGTAGAATACTTGAGTGACGAGGGCAAGATCATTGAGAAGACGACACTAAGCCGCAAACCTGTCACGTCTCTTCTCATCGATGAGGAAGCTCTCGTCGACCAAGCGCAGAAGGATTTGAAGACCCGCTACAAGGAAGATGACGTTCTCGTTTTGGGTGCAGCTGATCTTCCGGCTGACAGTAACACCATGATGGCAGATCCTGACATGCTTACTCGCGACGAGCAGGCTGCATTAAAGGAACCTACCCTGGAGGAGCGCCTATCCGCTTTGGTCGTCACGCCCGCATCGGAAGCCAAGCCTGGCAAGCCTGCACGTCCCCCAACCGCGAATTCCCTCCATCAAATGCTTTCACAGGCGATACATACCAACGATGTTCAACTTTTGGAGCAAGCTCTGCAAGTTCACGACACCAATATGATTGTGGCTACTGTTCGAAGACTACCTCCCAGCCAGGTTCTTCCGTTATTGGACCAGTTAATGTTGCGCTTGCAAAGAAGGCCCAATCGAGCGCGGGAGCTGATTGAATGGGTCAGGGCTGTCGTACTAGTGCACGCGGGTTATCTCATGTCTGTAAGTATCATAGTTCGACGCTGAAATTGAATCTTTCTGTGGATTGTCCATCACCTGACATATTACTGTTAGGTTCCAAATCTTGCTGCCAACCTTGGCGCCTTGTACCAAACCATCGACTCTCGAGCAAGCGTTTTTCAAAAGCTACTTCGCCTCTCTGGACGACTAGATTTGGTCGTGTCACAGATTGCCCTACGTAATCACGCGGGCGCTAATGGGGAGGTTCAAGAGGATGAAGCTTTGGTGGTATATGATGAGGAAGATGAAGAGGAGGAGGATGGAGATGAAGATGCTGTTGACGGTATGGATGTTGAGGAAGTCTCTGATTTCGAGGATGAGGTACTTTGACTCTGGCTGGCCTTGCAAATGTGCGTATCTTGCAACTCGTGCTTATACCGCTCGTCTTTAGGAGGAGGATGATGATGAGAGTGATTACGATGACAACGACGACGAGGAGGCAAGTGATAACCCGGAAGGAGAAGGGAGCGAAGATGGGGATGGCTTGTAAATCTCAGACGGAGCGAGGTCACCTGCATACAGTCCACTGTTCATTCTATAGCTTGCACAATTCTTGTTTTATTACTTATACATTTGATACTGCTCTCTCGATTTTCGTACAAATTAAGCAATCAACTAATTACAAGCAAATAGTTACATATCGAGCAAAAGAACAAATTTTCAAAGGGACTAGCCTAGGAGAAGGCTGTCTAGTTGCCGTGTCAGTTCTCGGCGAATTTGGGGGTCGCTTTCCGTGAGCAGGCGAGATTGGATATATTGGACTTTGAGGGCCCTATGCCTCTCCCCGGACCGTAATAGTTGAGTGGTAATGTCGGGATCTCCCGACGCAGAGCGCTGGCTGGAGAACCATCCTGCGGGGTTGGTGGGGGGATCTGCCGCCCAGCCTGAAATATGCTCGCCTTGGGGGATTCCCGTGCCTTCCTCAACTTGACAGTCGTCAATCAAGTCCAGGATCTATCAAAATTGTGGTCAATGAATGCATTGCCCAAAAAAAGAAAAAGCGACAGTACCTCCTCTAAGAAGCAGCGTATCGGATAGGACTCGAGTTCACTCTCTGCTCCACAGGTTGGACAGGACGATTGATTTGAACTCCTCTGTATACCATGACAAGACATCAATTTGAATCAGAGTTTCACATAGTAAAGCACAACTTACCTCCAAGCAATCTTGACAAACTCCAACCGAGCAATCTGCAAATGTACAGTAAATGGATGTGTCTGCAATGAGGTATACAAACGGCGGACTTACTGGAGCAAACAGTCGGATCACGCATCCTTTCCGAACAGAGTTCACAAGTAATGCTAAAAGTGACGGGTGATTAGTACGCAAAAATCATGCACCTGTAGATGTTTACTGCTCACTATTCCTCAATGCGTCGTCTAACCAAACCCAAAATCTCCATTGCTTCGCTTTGTTTTGATTAGATTTTGGAGATGTCTCGTCTTAACCTTCCCTCGTCTTAACTCGCCTCGTTTTAACTTCCCTCGTTTTACCTCTCTCGAGCTTCCTCCAACCTTCATCAAGCCTTTTCACAAGCCTTCGCTCGAGTATAACTGCTCCACCTTTGGCGATCGAAACTGACGTGCGTAATGTCATGGTGCTGGTACTCGCTAATCGGTGATCAGACCGGTCCATAAACCCCTACATCCAATTTAGACATGGCCGACAGCTTTGACCCATTTCTTTCAAACCTGCGGCAAATATTTGCCGAGCGTGCTGCAGAATCCATATAGAGGAAACATTATGCATAGAAAAAGCCATGATATTGTCACAAATTAAATAAAGCGCTATCAGGCGGTGGTGGATAGTGACATGGCGACTTGGAGGGCGTTATTGATGCATACAATGAACGACAATCTTGCATTCGAACGCCCACCATCCACAGTGACAGCGTCTGGTGGGCGATTGTATGGATGAGCACCCACAATAGATTTCCCGTGTACCATGCTGGCAAGCCCGGCATTTTGCATCTTTTGCCCAAAGATCCGTCTTCGCCGAGAGCTCCCAACTCGTCCTTTTGAAACCAGACGCAATTGTTTTGTGCAATTGATGCCAGCAACGTGACGGGCCTCTTAAGGTCCTTTTTGCCTCGGCATTCTCTTCAGAGATAGGCTTGCACAGGTCGTTGCATTGCCGTGTGAGGCAAATGTTGGAAATGACATGCATGCGAGAACGCTAATATACAACTCCTATCGGCCTATTCGCCGGACAAGCGTAGCATTGGTTGATTTCATTCCATAGGATATAAATAAACTGCATCTTCTGTATTTTTCAGTTATTTTGTCAAGTGCATTGCAGGCACGAGTTCACACTAGTTATAAATATAGATCTATTTAGTCTGCCCACCCTCTTGCACGTACATTTCAAGTAAGTAAGGAAACCCGTCCCCAAAGGCGGCCCGACCACCCCACCAGATGTCTTAACATATCCGCCACCTTCCCCCTCCCATATGTACCAACTCCTCCATACAGCACCAATGCGTAAACATCGTCTTGACCACGCACAATGGCCGTGCCCAGGAAGAACCCACTGCTAATCACTCTCCCTCTGCTTTAGATCAGCGATAAATCGCTTGTGAGGTGTAGTGGGGCCCCGGCATTTACCAACGTAGCAGAGAAAGCAAGTTTTGGTTGCGAACGAGGGCAAAACAAACAAAGGCACGAGAGTGTCAGAAGGGCATCGCGTTGACGAGTAAGATCCCATTGACCTTGAACAGGAGGCCTTGTAGTGGACGTAGCCGTCCGATGGGTGTTTGCTTGATATCCGTGGCCCACATAGAAGTTTTGTTGACCGGGAGGAGGGGCTGTAGCGGACCTCTAGGATTGAAAGTTATTGCCATGTCATATACCCAAGAACAAACACTTGGCTTACTCACTCTATGCCACTTGTAATCAGCCTGGGTCCTGTTGATGTTTCGGGTATCCGACACAATACCACCTCCGGGCCTGATAAAATTCTTCTCTGGAACACCTCCTGCCAATACCAATACAGCAGCAGCCGCAGGATCATCGGCGACAAGCAACAACCCCGTTGAAAACCCCATGCCGGGGACATCCCCGGCAATTCCTCCTTTTCAAGGGCCCGTATATATATTTACAAACAATGTCCGGGGTCGGCCGGTTCGTCGGCTCAACATGCGGCTGCACCTCCGCAATTACCTTTCACGACCGTGGTCGGGCATCACACGGGGTATCCCGTGGAATCCTCAGGAGCCGCGCAGGGATATCCCTGCGCACCAAGTCAAGTGGCCGCAGGAGATCCTGGGCCCTCGTCACCAAGACCATCCGGCCTTACCCGAAACGAGATAATCCAATGGTATTTGCAGATGCTGGCGACCGCAACTGACCCAGAGGATCGCCGGATCCTGCTGCGAAACTTGGACACCTTGTTCTTGTCGCGTGATGCCAAGGATATGCTGGTACAGGATGACTGTGTCGATGCGAATATGGCTTTGGATGAGGGAGCGGCGAAGTGGGATGGCGCTGAACCGTCGAAATCCATGCTTTTCATATAGGCTTGACAACCGACAGTAAGCAGGCAAAAAGGACATTGGATCCACGACAACTGCGTAGGCGAGTCCACTCGGATTGTCAACAAGAAAAGGCAGATCGAGCAACCAAATCTCTTCTAGAAGTTCACTCTCTTCAGCAGTCAATTTCAAACCAGGCCACAGTGAACGTGACCATTCCAAGTGAGGGACCTCCATTTCAATCAGCAAGTCTTCTTCAAAAGAGGGGACCCCAATGTGACAAAGGGGACGGTTTGGAATGCCTTGGAATGGTTGGGACAGGGTCGGCTACGTGCAATGGGTTTCCATCCGGTGTACAATAGGAAGACACGTCGTTGTCGTGATGGAATGACTCTATTTGAGACTCCTGAAGCGGGCCGGCGTGCCCTGCAGTCGCCTCGGGCCGAGAATGGGGTTTTCTGGAATCACATACTGATTGTCTCCAGTTTAGTACACGACCGCAATTGACGAACCAAGGCCAACTGGGGTAATCCAAGGATCTCCGTCCAGCATCGCAAGCGAACAGGCGTCAGCTATGGTAGCCCAAAGATCTCCCATCAGCAGGCGCTCGGACAGCGACGCCAACGCCCTGGTTCCAATAAGTGGACAGCTTGCAAACATCTCCCTCAACAGCCCAACTTTCAATCCTAGAGGTCCGCTACAGCCCCTCCTCCCGGTCGACAAAACTTCTATGTGGGCCACGGATATCAAGCAAACACCCATCCGACGGCTACGTCCACGGCAAGGCCTCCTGTTCAAGGTCAATCGGTGGTGCCTTCCACAATGGGAAACCCCACTTCAACGGGGTACCCCAACAACCAACTGAACTCCACGTTCACGGCTGGCCTCCGACCGCTACGTCCACTGCAAGCAATTTCCCGAGGTCTCCCGGTTCGTCCGCAACACATGCTGCAGGTCCACTCAGTCTCGTAAACCCAACGCCGACAAGTTCAACGCAGCAACTCCCATTCACGACCGTTCTCGGCCATCACACGGGATATCCCGTGGCATCCTCCGAACAAGGAGGAGCGCAGGGATATCCCTGCGCACCAAGTCAAGTGGCCGCAGGAGATCCTGGGCCATCGCCTCCTGTTCAAGGTCCATCGGTCGTGCCTTCCGCAATGGGGAACCCCACTTCAATGGGGTACCCCAGCAACCAAGTGACCTCCACGGTCACGGCTAGCCTCTCTTCGTCGAAAGAAAACATGTGAATCCTGCTCGACCAGGAAGGGTCTTCCGTCCTGAGGCTCGTATATTTCTCGTGCAGGCGTGGGTAGAGCAGAAGTGCTGACGGTGGTTAATTGGCCAGACATGGCGGAGAGGGCGGGTCTGTTGGCGGGATTTGCCGCGTCCGAGCTTTCTGATCGGTCTGCAACTATTGTCCAGGGATCCCGTTGGGTGTTGGCGGTGGTGCTACGTTCCTCAGCATGGTGCGGGAGATCCCAGGTTGCTGACAGTTGCGCACGGTCCCGGAGATGTTGCTGGAGGATATCCTCCACTATCGTTTCCTTGGGAGTCCTATCAAACGTATGCTCAATCAATACATGTCCAAAAGAAATAAGCCAAGAATTCCTATGTAGCACATACCATATCTGGATCCGACACAAGGACATTGTTTTGCATCAATGCGAGCACGGTCAATCGTTGACTCTCTGCCGGACTGTCTTCCGAGCTTTCTCCTCCACTGGCCGTCGAGAGGGGATATCCCCGATTAGAACTCGGTTCCCCGGATGTGTCTTGAGGATCTCCTTCTTGCTCGATATCCTGCCTGTTGGTGCTCTATTCTTCCTGAGCATCGCTAAACCCCAGGATCTATCAAAATTTTGGTCAAAATGCATGCCCCAAAAAAGAATAAGCGAGAAGACCTATATAACACATACTTCGAAGAAGTCGTTTATGGCATTGGGGTGCATACAATGGTAAATTCGAGAGGGTGGACAGATTCTTGAGTGCTCTTGAACCCAATTTAGTACGTAGCATGACAAGAATTCAGCAAAATTGTGGTCAATAACTCCATACCACAAGAAAAAACAGCGAAAAAACATATATAGCGCATACCTCGAGGTACTCGAGGGCTGGAGAGGGTACAAGTCGACGAGGTGACGCCAGCCTCAGGCTGAGGTCATTTGGAGTGCCTTGGAGTGGGTCGGAGGCGGACATCTACGTGCCCTGGGCATCTTCAAGCCTTATACTTGTGAGGACTCCGGGTTCGCGACGGTATTGCGTTGTTCAAAACACCCGAAGCGGGTCGCCAGGCCTTGCGGTCAGATGGGGGAAGTACGGTGGCTTCACTCAATGATCGAAACCTTGCGTTCGAGCGTCTACGTCCCGACCTCAATTTCATCAGGATCAACAAATGTACTTGCGACGAGGTGAACGAATAGGGTGCCCCAATAGCATGGCAGGCGAAGGGAGTGGAGTATCCCAAGCAAGTGGGGTACCCCACGAGGAAGCCACCACAGAGTCTGGAGATGTTGTAGTACGTCCTGGGGGTGGGCTATTTCTCGTGCTTGCGTGTTCGCCGCGACTATGGCTGTTGCCGCAGGAGTGAGTAGACAATTGGCTAGACGAGATGGAGGTGGTTCCTGCGTGGTTCCTGCGAATAAGGTCGGGGGATATTCCGTTCCGCTTGAGATGGGCTCGTCTTGGAAATTTCCGGTGCGTTCCTCAACATCATGCCTCGTCGCCACTTGCTCTTTGTCCGGCTTCAAGGGACTCTAATATCTATCAAAACTGTGGTCAATAAATGCATGCCTCAAACAAGAATAACCGAAAATAGATAACACATACCTCTAAGGAATTCATCGAGAGGGCCGGAGATGGTAGAAGTCAAGGTGTGCACAGAGGGGTCGTGTCCGGTTCATCTCCTTCTGCTCGTCTGCATGCTGCGGGCTGACAGATGGTGCTTGGCTGGGTACGGAAGGGTAGCAATTGCTGGGGAGGTGGGGTAAGTGCGGTGACAGCCAATGGTGCGTTGGTGGGCGTCTGTGTGGGTGAGGGACTGGTAGGTAGGGGTAAGAAGGACGATTGATTGAGGAGAGGTATGGAGAGCGAAGCTTTTGGTTGCAGTAAGAAGCCAGAATGGATGGGGAGAGAGGTATTGGGAGCGAGGCTTCTATAAGTGGGAGGTGGCCCAAGTGACGTGGGATGATGACAATTGCTTTTGCGTGGGGGTTTGATGCTGGGGGCTTGATGTGGTATAAATTGGTCTGCTGAGTAGTAGGTCCATGTGGATGTGAATGTGTGATAAAACGAGGTCGACAGATGGCAGGAAACAATTCTGTATGGCATGACAAGACGCCAGTGTGTTTGTCTTTCGACTGTCTGGCATGCATTAGAATGGGTAGGACGCGGAAGACTGCGTTTGCTTGGCCTGTCAATTCTCTAGGATGTTATTGCGCTCTTTGAGACTTCCGGAGACGTTGGTCGGCGTGCATTTGCAGTCTCCCCGGAGCTCATCTGGCGTTTACATCCAAAGTGAGACCAAACATGTCTTTGGTAGTTTGTGTCAGGTCCCCGACGGCGACTGACACCGACTGACAGCATCCTTTGGGCTTGCTGTGTCGATCATAAACTCACATGTCTACAGTCATATGCCCGTTGTTCCAAAGGTTCTTTTTTTCATTTGGCCCTCTCCAGCCCCCGATCAGCCCATCACCAAGAGTGGACTCTGGAAAATCTATACATCAACACAAAAGTCGCATGCGCTACCAATTATTTCACGTTTCAATTACTGTTGACGGCTGACGGCTGTCAGGCCCCGGTTGCAAGACGAGAAAGCTTTCAGAAGGGTTAGAGGATTGGTCGGGATCTCCCGTTGTTTCAATGGTGCTTTCCATTCACTTGGGACCGGGTTAGGGAGTATGAAGTGGGACATCTCACTATTGTAAAGGAGCTCTCCATTCACTTGGTTCACGCCGTAATTGCAAAGGTGCATTTTGTACAAGCGTGCTTGACCTAGATTTGGGCAGTGCTCATGACACCGCTCACGCCCATGTTGGCTTGGTACATTTGTCGCTGCTTCTGAAGTTGGTGGGCATTGGTTAATCTCCATCTAGATTGCATCTTCATCGTTAAACGTATCTTCGTTAGAAGGCAGGTTACGTAATGATTGCGTGCTGATTACCTAATATTTGATTCATCACTCTCGAATGTCGCTGATTGGTCGAACGTGCGTCGCGCTGATTGGATGAACGCGTGTCCACGTGCAACCCCTTGACGCGGTTGTCGTCTATAAAAGGCCGCCCGTCCATCGCTCCTCCCCTTCTTCTTCATTCCTTCGCATTCGTGCACTCGCGCTCCTTACCTCGGATAGCTCTAGGTGGGTAGGCGGCTGAAAGTAGATGGGTTTCATCGTGCTTTTATCGTCAGCTGCCTCAGTCGGACCTTGGACATCAGTCCTTTACTTGGCGAATTATGTGCATATTCGGGGCTGTCGCCTGCTGGTGCCATACTGATCTGGGGACTGAACTCTTTGGTGTCTGTCCTGAGGTGGGCGGATAAAGGCGGCTCTGGGGACGCGTGACATGAGTTTCGGTTTCGTGAGGTCTGTGTATCTACGGGGCTTTTATGCCTGCTGGGGCCGCACCTCTCCCCGGACTTATATCCGTTTAGCGACCAGAGTTAGATGATGTGAGCTTTGCTGGGGCCGTGACTCTCAGTTGATTGATCAGCTGCGATTCACGGTATCTTTCGGGAGCTGGGCACCGTGTGGGGGGGTTTTTCGGCTATAACGATCAGTCACGCGTGGGCTGCCATTTTGTGCATCTTGGGGAATCTTTCCATACGTCCATCTGCTTTTTGCTAACCTACCCGGTCTTTTTAGATGCCTTGCTTCTCAAGTCCTCCCTTTCATCCCGCTTTCGTAGAGACGGAACTGGCATATAGGATGTTGAACGTCTTTTGTATCATAAATTCCTATTACCTTAATAATAATAAAAAGTATAGTAATGAACATTATTGGAGAACTCGGATGAAAGACTTGCTAAAAGTAGTTACCGAATTATTTGCCATGAGCTAAAAAGTTGTTACCGAATTATTTGCCATGATCGTGATCCCAAACTGTCCTCTTATATGTGCCTAAAACACTTCGGCCCTAATTGCTGGCTCATTCTTCATCGACCTTGCGGGCTGGCCTTGTGGGGCTTTTGCAAATTCCAAAAACACAGTCCGCACAGCTGTTGTTTTTTGGATGTGGTCAAGGCAGTAACGAAAGGAGTTATGGCTGGGGATGGTGATGGTAATGATGCAGGCACTTTGAGACACTCGTGGCGTCTTCCTCCCAAACCACCTGCCAATCCAGATGATTTGGGCACCGGCCTTGGGCCGAAAGCAACAGTTCCAAGTCTTTGTTTTGCCGATATGACGCTGCACGTCGATCGACATCCTAGATCGGCTTGCTGCGCAGACTTATGTCCTCAAATGAAGTTGGACCGTGTGAGCTTGGATAGACATTGAGCAACTCATGGTGTGTGTGCAGACAAACAGTAGTTGTCCTTTGTTGTCAATATTTCTGCACTCAAAACGCATCATTGAACTTCCTTTTTCATAACAGGTGCGCAATGGATACTATTAAGGGATGTCCCGTGCTGGTTTGCTGGCTGGGATAGCCAGTGATAACTCGGGGGCTGCCCAGATGCTTTTCATTCACTTGGAACAAGGTTACGGAATTGCTCCCGCTGTGCTTTTCGTACATGCGTGCCGTCTCTATATATATATCCACCACACTTCACCACGGCTCAGCCGGGTTCATTCTTCTCCGTAATTCTACTGTAATGCGACATCAGGCAGCCGCAGATGGAGATTGTTTAGCGGGCCTACATTCAAAGGAATGCCCACGAATCCAGTGGGCAATCTAGTAAAAGTGATTTTGTTAGTCCACCAATATGGTTAATAAATCATTCGCGTCCTCCTACCTGACAATTGACGCTACAATATCTAGCCCTTCTACATTTTCCACATGTTCGCGTTTTCCCCAAGCTCCCACAAGCAAGACATTCTCGACTTACGCTTCCAGAGCTTTCATCTCCTTCTACCATGCGGAGAATCGTGGGTGTAACTTTGGACCATGGTTGGGTGCGTACATGAGTGCTTCCAGTTACAACGGCATATTTGACTTCGAGGGTGAGACGAGTTTTGAGATCCTGATTTATGACTACGCAGATTGGTTAGCACAAGGTCAAAGTTATAAAACCGTTTTTTGGTCTACTTACTTGGAGGATAGAAATGAAATCGAACAGTTTCTGCTTCCAGGCCTTTCGAGAAATGTTCTACAAGTTTGCGGACATTGTCCAAGGCGAGACAGTTGCCCGCAATTGTATAGTGCGCATCTGGTACTCGCTAATCAATCAGAAAATGGCAGGTTAGTGGTGGCGTTCATCGCACCATAACAGAACGCTGAGTTGGGTGCTCACCCTGCCATCCGCCCCAACCATCCCAAGATAATGGACCATTGCTTTGATACTCGCGATTCGATGTTCTCTTCCCTCCATATTACTGTGGCAGACACCCATTTGATAGTAGATTTCGGCTAGCGCATGCGAAAGCGTGGGCTTTCCCTTTCCTTTTTGGCACTCTTTCCCATCTTTCTGAGGAGTATTGCACGCATTCTTTCCTTCTATGCGATATGCAATCTCATAATCCTTTAGTGCTTCCTCAAAGAGCATCAGGCGTGTTCTGTATCCTGCTCGAAGCACATACGCCGCCACCTCTTCTGCATTTGCTTGTATGACTTTTGTGCAGGCAACTATACCAAGTTCGCATGGACGATTTAGTAGGTTAAGGAAACAGTCCACGAGGAGCGCGTCCGAGTTATTCGGGTCGCGGGCCAAAACAAAGCTGACGGAGACAGCCGCAAGCAGGCGCAGATTATAATGCTGAAGGTCGAAGAGGCCTTCAAAGGCGCGAAACCCCTTGGCGTATTCGGCAACAGCCTGTTCATGCCGCTCGAGTTTACTGTATTCTTCGGCCCTATGGAAGGTGGTTTTTATGTTCTTCAGGTGTGCTATGGCGTCGTAGTTAGTATCTCGGTATTGTTCTAGTTGCAGTAATGTAGGTACAGTTTTTGAGTTTCCACGGTCCTGAAGATAGACTCCTTTGGTAAGGTACATCGATTCAAGAAGAACCTTCATGTCCTTGTATCCATCACTATCCGTGTCATATGGTTCAGTCTGATCTGATGTTACGACACCGTGACCCGCGCTCGCTCCTGATGTAGGACCATTTGTTGCTGTAGCTGAAACGGCAGGTCCGCTTCGGGAAGCCGACGAAGTGAGATCAAATCTTACGGGCGTCCCGCTTATCCCAGGCATGCCGCCCAGTCCTGCATCAGCTGATATTTGTGTGTTAACCAGATTGAAAGGCTTTTCCTGTTCGAGCCCATTCCATATGGGACCATTTGCCTCATTTAAACTGTACCCAGTGATACACGCTTGGTCTTGGGCCTCCGTGCGAATCTTTTGACATCCACATCGGTTGGATGCTCGCTGCCATTTATCCGCCATATCATTGTCCTGCCTGATGCCAATGCCGCTACGATACATGCTGCAGACCGCCCATTGAGCGGGTTGGAAACCCTGCAGTGCTGCGCGGTGATACCAATAAAATGCTCTCTGCATTGGAGTATAGGTAGACTCTGCTGCCTGGGATCCCTTCGTCGTTGGGGCCTCATGCAATCGGCCATCCTGATAGACCTTTCCCATAAGCCATTGCGACCGAGCATGGCCCATTTTCGCCGCCTTGAGAAGCCACTTTTTCATTTGCCGAATGTCAGCCTTTGCTCCATGTTTGGTAGACGAGTGTGCTAGTGCAAGATCGTGCAATGTGCGCGGGGTTTTGACCTGTTGAGCAGCTGCAACCAAGTTGTCATACGTCTCAAACGCCGGATCGAGGGAAAGGGTGGCAAGGCGTACCGCTGACGGAAAGTGCCCGCGAGAGGTGGCTTTCCGATACCATATTTTCGCTTGCATATAGTTCACATTCACGCCTGATTTAACAAGACATTAGAGCTCACGCGCAGAATACAAAGTTTCTACATGTGTTACCTTTGCCTTTCTCCAGCGCTTGTCCGACTTTGAACATTGACTTGACATAACCTTGTTCGGCGCTTTTTTTGTAATAGACAAAGGCAGCCGAGTCATCTCTATGTATGCCTGCTCCCCTCTCATACATTTCCGCCAGGGCTGACAACGCGTTCACGTCTCCGAGTTCGGTGGCGCGCTTCAGGTATTTGAATGACCTATTGTAGTCAGCACCACAACCTACACCACGGCGATACCAATCACCAAGCATAGCGTTTGCTGCAGCAATGACCGCCTTTCTGTAATGATGGTGATTGTGCTTGCTATTTTGTGGTGGGGCATCTGACGATGCAGCTGAAGGGGTTGGTTCGGGTGCTTTCAACTGCGACTGGTCCGACGCTGCGCTGCCGTTCACTGATTTTTGAGCTTCCAAAGGCAGCTCTACCGCATTCAAAAGTACAAAGTCAGACGAACATAAATGCTCAGCACCACAATAACACATCCCATCGTACAAACCCGTATTAGCCGCCTTTGTTAGCCACTTTAATGCCTCCTGATCATCACGTTGCAAGCTCTTCGATCCAGCATGCAGGCATAACGCATACACAATGCATGCGCTCGGATTTCCTGCGGCCGCATCTAACTGAGCTCGAGCGGCAAGGGCCGGGGTATCATCAATGAGTTCAACACAATACTCAAGCTGGCGCATGATATGCCGTAGGTACTTTTCCAAAAGTGAGGTGGAAGCAGGTTGGATTGTTGTTGCTGTCAGTGTATGTCGTGGTGGCGTCATATCTGTGACTGGGGAAGGGGGAGGAGGAGGATTGGCAGGGGAGGAGGTGAATGTCCAAGTATTGTTTTGAACTGCGGAGGATGATGGACTATGGGCTGAAGATGATGGAGATTTCTGCATCGTTGGGTGTTTTATCGCTTGATGTGGAGGGTGTACAGTCGCCATTCCTTGGGTAGAGCTCGAACGTAGGACTCTTCACTAGAGTTCCTTGGTACCGTTTGTAGATCTCTCTCAAGAATCAAGTGTACCTGTTCCAACATGTGTAAACGCTGGAGGTAAAAACGGTCTTTGAAACGTCTACTCTCAGCACACAGCGTTTCTTTATATTTCCAAGAACGGGACGTGTTGACCAACAAAGGTTCCAAGCTGACGAAAACCGAAAGATAAGTTATGACTTGAACAGGATGCGCAAGTCGGGTGTGCTATATCCGGTGGTTATCGCCTGTGCCTTTCCACAGAGGTGAGATTCCGCTCGTCCTCAACGTACAAATTACTGCGCTTGGCCAGCGATCGTTGACAGGTCTTGGAGTAGTTGGGGCGAAATCCGCCAAACGGCGCAGCACAAAAATTGTTAGTAACGCGATCACGTAAGCGCGCGCCGATCATACGCGTTTCAACCAGCTGTCTCGGCAATTGGGCTCTGGGTTAGGGTTAGGCAATGGGCAGGCGAATAGTGTTAAAAGAGTATAGCCATCCTACACAGTTGATTGCGTAGAAAGTAAGAGGTAGATATTGGTGTGATCGGTGCCAGGAGATGGCACGGTATCTTGGATGCCTCATTCACGTCATGTTACTGCTGGCAAAGTAATTTCCACAGTTGGATGAGCTTTTCATCTACTGCTTCTGCCACCTTGATTCTGGCTTCAACATGTTCAACAAGAGTGAAGCTGGTCATCATTATGGTTGTACTTGGTTACTTCCACTCAGCATGGTGCTTTGTGCCTGCGTCCATTGGTGGCTGTCTGTTATGGAAAGATCGGAAAAGTAGCCCAATTACGATTATTTTTGTTGCTCTGCAATAACCATTGAGTTTATGGGTGATGCTTGAAGTGGCTCCTGTCTTTGCTGAACAGTATTCCAATGCTTTGTGTATCCCGGGCGTTCAAGTAGCCACGCCATACCTATGTGCAAAAATGACTATAGTTTGCATTCGGCATGATACGCGGCTAACCTATCAAGAGTCCAAAGGGAAGCACCAGTCTTGTGCTTGTGCGTGCTCGGAATAAGCTGGACTTCATTGCTGTACATAATAGGACATTACACGGCATCTCACTACCATTGGCTTTGTAAGCTGAGGTAGGACAGTTTGTTGTCATAGTAACGCCATCACGATTGAATCGCACGCCTACCAGCCTCATTTGTATGGAATATTTTATGCCATGAGTGACCCTACCATACCTCTCGATGCGATAGTAATTGAGCCTAAAGAGTCTACCCGCAACTCGCACAGCTCTTCAATAAATGTCTCAGCCCAATGTGCACCGGACGAAAACAAAAGCGCTCTAGACGAGGATCAGGAGCCGCGACATGACCCAGCAAGAACGATAGATACCTTTGATAAAGCGACGTTGCATCGACTGTCTATGGTAGCAAGAACCTTGGCTTTGTAAATCTGATAAGACCGCGGATCTTAAACCCAGGACATGATAGAGCTACTTTCTGACGACTTGGAGCGTCAGGATGGATGAGTGGGCGACTGGTACGTCTGGTGAAGAATATAGCCAATATGTCCTATACTTATACAATTTGTTAGCTCTCTTTTTATCCTATATATTTCCGCACACTCTTCTGACCGTCTCTCTATATGGATTCCTCGTCACATTGTTTGCCATTCTTTTCAGCTCGACAGTTGGTTCTGTGGTTGACAAAGTACCTCGCCTTAAAGGTAGTCAAGCAGCATTTTGACATTTTCAGAGTCTCCCTCTGTCCTATGCTGCTGCCGACTCATCTCTGTGATCCTTTCAATAGCCATTCGCATCTTCCTTGTGTTGCAAAATCTCTGCATAGCGGCTTCATCACTGGTCTTGTATGCAATAACCCTGCGGTTTGGATTGAATGTCAATAGGACGATGACATATATCCTGTATTCAGGAAGTCTGTTGCTGGGTATTGCCTTGCGACTGGCGAATATTGGAGAAGTTGTATCCGTGGAACGCGACTGGGTGGTGGTTATTGCCCACGCCGACACGTCGGCATTAAGTAGTGAGTCTGGCAGCCTACAATGCTCCACGAGAAATTTAATTAAGTCTGATTGATCTGTTAGGTATGAACGCCTACCTTCGTCGAATAGACTTGCTGTGCAAGGTTGCAGCGCCCCTCGTGGTGTCTGGTATAGCCGAAGCTCTTTCCACACCGATTGCCATGCTAGTGACTGCTGGTTGGAGCATTCTAACTGCTCCTCTTCAGTGGTGGCTGATTTGGCAAGTGTATCGCCGCGTTCCAGCCTTGGCCATCCCAAAGACAGCCAGGGAGTCAACAGAGCAACGTGCGGACTCTTCTGCTGTGGGTCTTACCGATGTCGATCCCAGCGTCAACCATTCATCCCCCGTAGCGAGCTCCGTACGATCATGTTGGGATCAATGGGCCCGCTTTTTTCGGCACCCTGTGTTCCTTTCGTCCCTGGCCATTGCTCAACTTTACATGACAGTGCTGTCCTTTGGACCAGTAATGATTTCATATCTGCTTGCACAAGGATACTCCTCGGCGCTTCTCGCCGGTATGCGCAGTATTGCGGTGCTTGCGGGTATATCTGCCACCATTGCTATGCCGCGTATGGTCGCCCGCATCGGCCTTGTGCGGACCGGACTATGGGCAATCTGGAGTGAGCTCTGGTCACTGGTGCCAGTTGTGATTTCGTTTTGGATGCCTGTAGGGGGAGTTGCGGCAGGAGTCATGATGTTTGCTGGTACTACGTTGTCACGGTTTGGACTGTGGACTTTTGATATGACCCAAATGCAGATCATGCAGGAAAGGTGCGTTCAATGACATTTTGAATGCCGCATGCATTAGAACATGATTTGATTCTTTCCTAATAGGGTTGACGCAGCGGAAAGCGGAGTTATCAACGGAATGCAATACTCTATGCAGAATTTCTTTGAACTGCTGGCGTTCATGACAACAATTGTAAGAAGTTGGACTTGATTCGCTCTCAACCCGATCCTTAACACTTCGAACTTTCTAGGTTTGGAATGATACTGACTCATTTTACATTCCTGCCATCCTTACTGCTGCGGCAGTCGCATCTGGTTCATTAACTTATTCCGTCTTTGCTCTTCGAAATCGCGGGCATTTGTTTCATTTTGAAAAGCTGGCGCGATGGGGAATATCACCGCCTCGAAGAGAGTCTGGGAGAATTTGATCTCGCCTATTGAATTCCAATGTTATGGACAATATTGTGCTTTGCGTTTCAGCCAAAACATGGGACATAAATTATGTATTGCTAATACTGAGCCAGCTTGCTGCCTTCTACTTGCCTTAGATAATAAGAATTATAACATTCTACTAAACTCCGGGCCATGCTATGAACCAGTTCTTCTTTTTTTCGTAGAGAACGATTGCAGAATCAGCAGAGGTCGTTTGTATCAGATTTCCTCAAATACTCTACATGAATAGAACCACTTGCGACAAAAGGCTGGGAAGAAAAAAGCAATGAACTTGGGATTCCCCATAAGGTCCCACCGAGATTCGAACTCGAGTCGCAGGATTCAAAGTCCTGAGTGCTAACCACTACACCATGGAACCGTTGCTTTCCTATCCAACTCATAAATATGATATTCAAAAACAAATTGACCGTTCTAACTCGCCCGTTGAAAGGACAGTGGTTTGGCTTCTCAGTCGCGGGTTTGGCGTCATGTCACTATCCAACTCTGCTGCATTGATGCCCGTTTTACCTCGCAAGACCACTGGCGCACCTGCGCATGCTTGCTTGGTCAATGCCTCTTGTACCTTGGTAGACAACAAGGTCTACGTTTTCGGTGGGTAAGTTCTTGATCTCCTAAACGACAAGAGTTGAGAATAAACTTGTCACGTCCACCTTTCCCGCAGTTTCCACATGTACACGGATGAAGTGTACAATGACATTCTCGTCTTTAATGTAAATGACAGCCACTGGAAGCGACTTGAGCATGTTAAAGGAAACTGGCCGGTACCTAGAAATAGTCACACAACCACCTACTGGAAGGACGGAAAGTATGAGCTTTGTCAAATTGTAACTTTTTTTGACGACGTTTAGTTGCTAATAACCCTTTTTGCTGCAGATTGGTGATCTTTGGCGGGCAGGACGTGAATGACGAGTTCCTGAACGATGTGTATATACTGCATTTGAGGACCTTAACTTGGGAGAAGCCAGAAGTCTCTGGCGACATTCCGTCAGGTCGTGCAAAACATTCCGCTGTAATTCACAATGATAAACTCTACATTGCCGGTACGCTTTGTCAATATGTAAACCGCACCAACGTCGTTGTTTTAACGAACATTCAATAGGAGGATGCCAAGGGAAGGAAAACGACGTCTCTCGCGATCTTCATGTACTGGACTTGAACACGTTTACGTGGGAACCACATGTCCCATTTGTTCGCCGATACTCTCATTTCTCTTGCATATATCGGAATCGTCTATATATCTACGGTGGAATGTATGCAAGTTTGGATTGTGCTACCGATATTGCCTTTATTGATTTGGATGACATGAACGTGAGCCAAGGTGAGCTATCCATTTTGGATCCGCGGAAGGCTTGAACTGTCCCTAACTGTCACTATTTGCACAGTGGTTGTTAAATGTGAAGATTCGCCCCCCAAGTTGGGTCAGCATTTTGCTCAACTGTGCGGCAATAACTTGGTCGTCGTAGTCACGCAATGCCTCAAATACGATGAAAATGCCATTGCTACTACTACCGGTATATGGACTTTGGGACTTGACTCCCTTCGATGGCGACGTCATGAGAATTCAGACATGGATCAGCGTCATGCGTCTTGGCACTACTATGTGATGAACCCAGACGATAGACGATTCATCCTGTTTGGTACCAATGACCGTGACCCAGACGAATCGAATTTAACCTTAGTGTTAACCTTGGATTTGGAAACGTATGGAATAGTTTACGTTCCGCCCGGAGCAGCGGGGCGTGATTACTCTATTCTCTTCGAAAAGCCCGAATTCGCAGACTTTACTATTATGTCATCTGAAAAGGACATGCCGCCTATTCTCGTACACCGTCTGATATTATCTACCCGTTGGCCACATTTCCGAAATATCTGTACCTCTGGCATGAGTGAAGCTGCGAGCGCAACCCTAACGTTGGAGGACCCGTACCATTCCGTCAGAGCTTTCCTTCGATATCTTTACACTGACTCTCTGGAAGGCATGTCCGTTGAAACAGTGGCGAATCTTTTGGTCATGGGCAATAGGTATTGCCTAGATCGGCTTCAGAAGCTCTGTTGTGCTGATCTCCATGCTCGAATGGACGTAGAGAGTGTTGCGACAGTGTATGCTCGGGCTTGTATGGTGCAAGACGAGGGCCTTTGTCAGAGAGCTCTGTTCAAGATCATGGATGATTTTGGAAGAGTGACCAAGACAGCCGGGTTTAGGGAGTTGACGCATGAACAGTTGATCGCTTTGTGGGATGCGATCCCTCGGGAGGCCTTTATAACTGCGTGATTCGCAGCGGTTATTGCGGCCCCCACAACCTTTTTTTGTTATATAGCATTGTTTGACAGAATTTGTACTATATCCTTTGGCCTCTGGCATTTTCCTGCAAATGTAAAAAAAAGGCCTTGAAGACTGCAGACTTTTCTGACGCTGACATTCCTATTCTGATACATGAGTATTCTTCTTGGTAAAGGTGCTATTGCCTCCCATCTCCAGCACCGCCCTCATTCGGGGGCCACAGCTGATTCCCAATCTCTCAGAACGCGTCTTCACCTAGCCCCAATATGATATAAACCAGTCCTATCAATATATACGCATTGACTCCTGGATGCGCAGTCGATAACCTCCGCGCGGCATTCACAACGAACAAATGATCCGGCATGCTCTGGTTCGGGTTTGGGTTGTTGCTACGTTGTCCTCGGAAAGGGATCTACAAGAAAGGGCGTAGGTTAGCAAAAAGCAGATTGATTGCGCGTTCGCCACGTAGCAAGGTCTTGCGAGATGTAATAACTCGCAGCCAAGTAAGGTGACTGATCGTTGTACAAGACCCTATACGGTTCCCAGCTTCCGAAAGATACTTGAGTCGCAGTGAATACCCAATCAACTGATTGTCAACTAATCGTCACAGCCCCAGCAAAGCTCACATCAGCAAACTCTGGTCGTAAACGGATGATAGTTCATGTGGATAGGCGCCCGAAAGATACACACACCCCGCCAAAACTGAAACTGATTGCCGCAAATCGCAGAGCCGCCTTTATCCGCCCACTTCAGCCAAGATGCCATTGGATCGCAGCCCCAGGATGGTTATGGCCCCAGCAAGCGACTGCCCCGAAAGACACCATAACTCGCCAAAGAAGAGACTGACGGCCAAGGCCCGACTTAGGTAGCTGACGATAAAAGCATGATGAAGCCCACCTACTTTCAGCCTGCTCACTCACTTGGTGTTTTCTCTTCGTTGCAGAAACGAGAAGGATTTGTCGAGTTGTTCAACGTGGACGTGGTGAGAAGAAAGTAAACGCGGGGGAGAACAGGCATGGCAGCCTTTTATGTGTGAAAACAGCGACTGACAGGCGTTTCTGCATGACTACTCTGTGACAAAGAAATAGTTGGCGACATGCGGGAGTTAAAGGAAAGACATGACGGGGGGAAGGAGAAGGTTGTGATAGATGGATTAACGCGTTGGCTTGAAGGACATGCACGTGAACATGCGTTCATCCAATCAAGGGGCGTTCTGATGCCGTCAGCAGCAAGTCAAAAGTTCGTCCGATCAGCAATAGCCATGGTCTGGAAGGATGGCCTTACGGTTCATCACCGAAACCGAGGGCCTTCACAGCACAAACTGGGATGTCGACCAAAGCTTTTGTTCAATATACAAAGCTGCAAGAGCCTCACCATCAACTTTCCTATGAGGAAACGAGTCTGTACTCGTTTAGTTAGCGCATGGTTGTTTCAACAAATAGGATAATTGCGATTTGGTATTTTGTGCACAACCAATTCCCATCGAGATATTTACAAGGGGTAGACACATGAATTGTCAAAGAACGAGTAGTTTGCAGCCTTTTTGTGGATAAGAATAAGGCGCTGAATTTGGACTGACTGTCAGAGATAGTAGCAAACGCTCTGCGGCGACGTTGCAATGTTAAGACACGGCGGTATGTTCTCCTCGAACACTCACCAAAGTGCGATAAGGGTGCACCTTGCACCTGCCTGGTCCTCCTTGATTCATGTGTACCCAGTGCATTCGAGTTGCTGCGACTCGTCATCCATGTTGAAAAGCGCGCATTTGGGCCATGATGTTCGGAATACTCGCTGTTTTGGACTCGCTGCTGCTGCAGACTTACATGAGGAATAAAGAAGCAGCACATTAAGCAGGAAAGAATATGCTCGGCGATGTGACAAATGATCACTTTTAATGAAACGGAAGTCCATTTTTCAATTTAACATAGTTTGGCTGGTATTTCATGGGCTATCCATGCACTCATATAATTCATTTCGAACCACACATATCCGGTGAATACATCGATACAAATTGGGATATTCCGCCCTCTCTACACGTTCGATGGCAAAACCCAACCACCCTTCGCCTGTTAGGAGGTAGGATTGGGAACTGCTAAACTCCTTCCGAGAAGCGTGGATGGTTGCAACATCCATCTCTATGCACATGGGATGAGATACCCAACTTTAACTCTAACCTTAAAAAACATTCCGGATGTCACGCAGTACAGGTCTTGCTCTAAGGTCTCTTGGGGCCATGAACCCATCGACGGAGATTATGAGAAACTGCCATTTATCAGCATCTTGGAAACTCGTTCTTTACGCCCTTCTGCTTTTTTGCTAATCTACCCGCTCTTTTTCAATGTCGTTCAACCCAACGTTAGGTCGTTTCGCACCCCAAGATTTCCCGAGTGTTGAAGACCTCGCAATCATGAGACCGGTCCCGCCGGCCAAGAATCCTTCGTGGCTGTCCTTGTTGCGCGATCTGGCGGGTGATCGTGCTCAATTCCAACCAAGGCGTACCATTCTCACTTGCACGTACCCTTCTCACTTGCCTTTGCAAAAGGGAACACTTTCAAAGATTTGGAAGTAAGCTCTGGTACAAGTCGTATCGATGTATTCACCAGACTAGCGGTTCGAATGGATATATACGTGCAAGGAGGGTGGGCAGACTAAATATGTTTTAACTAGTGTGAACATATGCATGCACCGCACTTGACAAAAGACCTGAAAATACACAAGATGCAGTTTACTATTATTTATATCCTATGGAAGTATAGTTGAAATCGAACCAGTCCTCAGTTTGTCCGATGAATACATCAATAAGACTAGTACTTGCATCATTGGCATCTGATCCATGGCTTAAGGCTTCTCTTCTTCTGAATTTCTCCATTGTATGAGAGAGAAGAGAGCTATAATAGCACGAATGAAAGGAATAAAGATTATAAGGAAGGCATAATGAGGGGTGAAACCAGTAGCCTATAATTCCAATTTACAGGAGAGAAGTATAACTGACCGACCTATCTAATTATAATATAAAGGTATGATTACAATTATCTCCAGCACCAGTACTAAAATGTACTCTTGAGTTAACACCGACTACCGCACCAATCCGCTTCACCACAGCATGAAGATGCAGAACCTGGATACATCCTCGTTTCTGCATCTTCATGCTGTGGTGAAACGGATTGGTGCGGTAGTCGGTGTTATCTGGACCCAGCAATACAGCACCCCACGGACTCCGAAGCCCCCCTTCTTGGGCCTTTCCTCCTCCGCCACAACCCTCTCCTTGGGCCTCTCCTCTTTGGCAGGAGGCCTCCTCCCTATGCCTGATGGCCCCGCACTTGGCCCTGCGCTCGGAGTCACATTTCCGCCCGCCTTGATTTCACCTCCAGAGTCCCCCGGCTTCCTGGTTCCTGATCTGTCGATTGTCCCTCACGGCTCTCTCTCGTGTTTGAGGCGCCTCCGGTGACCACCGTGGTTTCTCCCAATTGAGATGCAGAACCTGGATACATCCTCGTTTCTGCATCTTCATGCTGAGGTGGAACGGATTGGTGCGGTAGTCGGTGTTAACTCTGGACCCAGCAAGCAGTGGCGTATCCTCTATAGTCACATTTCCGCCCGCCTTGATTTCACCCCCAGAGTCCCCGGCTTCCTGGTCCCTGATCGGGCTCCACTTTGAAACCCACTCGGATGCGGTGGAATTCGCAGAATCCCTCAGTCAGCCCCGCGCGATTTCAAACGGGAATTATTCTTCCATACCGCCCCTTGGAAGCTTTAGACAGTGAATCATGTCTAATTTGCCTCTTTTGGCAAATCACATGTGCTGTCCAATCCATTCGGACAATTTCACACTTGGTCTACAGCGGAAGTCGAATATTAGACAGCAACGGCAATACAATTTGCAATGGTATCAAAACCTGATGGCAAAATGTCCTTGGCAATACGATATAGGCAGCATGGACGCTGTCATGAGGACTGTCCATATCCGACGGCTCATACGCTCAATATCAAATCCGTAAAAGTATCTATCAAAAGACCCACTTGGCATGTGCTTTCATGTCATGCCAGTTGCATAAAATGCCAGCAGTACGTCATTTTCCAACGGCGACCTCAGCAATCGTACATGTGGAGAGAAATGTCGTGCCAAAAGAAACCTCAAGGAGTATATGGTTATGGCACGCAAAAGTTTAGGCAGCGCCGTCAATCGCAAAAGGCAATACCTAAAGGCCGCTGTCGGTAAAAGACTGATCCATAAAGCTGGGACAATGATCGGTCTTCTCGACCAACGACAACGGGTCAGAGTAGTATTCCATCGGATGGTACAGCAGCGACCAAGTATTGTTAATAGCATGTCCCTTTAGGACAGAGCTGAGATGTGTATATACAAGTGCGAGCCATACTGCTACACGACGATCCTTTGTTCAGCATGCTCTCCATCAATATAACGCTCGGCAAATTGCTTGCTCCGCTTCATACCCAGACTGTACCGTCCACGTTCACTTAATTAACAAATCATTCACCGATATGCTCCTGCTCCCCTTTAATCGCCATGTTGAACTGGCAAGCTCAGCAGAGTCTTGATCAAGTGGGGGACATTTACTAGAACTCAGTGTACCAAAGGGGATATTCAGCAACGTGAACTCACATCGGAGTAACGAATCCATTCAAAAGAACACAAGTCCATATGACACTCTGCCAAATCTGGACAAACTTTGAGTTGGTCGAAGGAGGAGCGCTACATCCCGCTCTAACGTTGCCCTGCGCGGTCAATGTACATCCGTCATCTTGGACCTCTTGGATCAAACCTCCCTCTTCCTCCGTCCCCCATGAACACGCGAACCCTTCCTCAGCGCGGGAGGGCTCTAATGCAAACCTATTCTTGAAGAAGACGAATACTTTGTATCGGTGATACATATGGAATCGTAGGGAGCTCCGTTCGATCCTCCGATCCCTCCGATTCGCAGTGTGCTATATAGTTGTGACTTTGGATCGGAAGCTACAGCATACACTTGGACTTGTATACACTCCTATCGACGCATTCATCGCCCGCCCCATAGCAGCAATAAAGCACAGGGGCACCCCTATCGCAAATACTTTTAGTCGCCCTTGTCGTCCCTCGTGCTTGGGTCATGCTTGGTTTGCACCTCTGGGCTCCCACCACCATCCGGGCCTCCGTGTACTAGCTATACTTGGTGATGACATGTGGTGGGACAGTCATCAGCACATATTAAACAAATATTAGGAGCAGCAGCATCCGTATGCAACACATGCCTGAATCAACTGGTGAATTAAAAAGCACAG